ACTGTACTGTACACAGAATGTTGTCTATATCACAGTAAACTTAGTATACTGTAACTGTACTGTACACAGAATGTCTACATCACAGTAAACTTAGTATACTGTAACTGTACTGTACACAGAATGTCTACATCACAGTAAACTTAGTATACTGTAACTGTACTGTACACAGAATGTCTACATCACAGTAAACTTAGTATACTGTAACTGTACTGTACACAGAATGTCTACATCACAGTAAACTTAGTATACTGCAACTGTACTGTACACAGAATGTTGTCTATATCACAGTAAACTTAGTATACTGTAACTGTACTGTACACAGAATGTCTACATCACAGTAAACTTAGTATACTGTAACTGTACTGTACACAGAATGTCTACATCACAGTAAACTTAGTATACTGCAACTGTACTGTACACAGAATGTTGTCTATATCACAGTAAACTTAGTATACTGTAACTGTATTGTACACAGAATGTTGTCTACATCACAGTAAACTTAGTATACTGCAACTGTACTGTACACAGAATGTTGTCTATATCACAGTAAACTTAGTATACTGTAACTGTACTGTACACAGAATGCTGTCTATATCACAGTAAACTTAGTATACTGTAACTGTACTGTACACAGAATGTCTACATCACAGTAAACTTAGTATACTGCAACTGTACTGTACACAGAATGTTGTCTATATCACAGTAAACTTAGTATACTGTAACTGTACTGTACACAGAATGCTGTCTATATCACAGTAAACTTAGTATACTGTAACTGTACTGTACACAGAATGTCTACATCACAGTAAACTTAGTATACTGCAACTGTACTGTACACAGAATGTTGTCTATATCACAGTAAACTTAGTATACTGTAACTGTATTGTACACAGAATGTTGTCTATATCACAGTAAACTTAGTATACTGTAACTGTACTGTACACAGAATGCTGTCTATATCACAGTAAACTTAGTATACTGTAACTGTACTGTACACAGAATGTCTACATCACAGTAAACTTAGTATACTGCAACTGTACTGTACACAGAATGTTGTCTATATCACAGTAAACTTAGTATACTGTAACTGTATTGTACACAGAATGTTGTCTACATCACAGTAAACTTAGTATACTGCAACTGTACTGTACACAGAATGTTGTCTATATCACAGTAAACTTAGTATACTGTAATGTACTGTACACAGAATGCTGTCTATATCACAGTAAACTTAGTATACTGTAACTGTACTGTACACAGAATGTCTACATCACAGTAAACTTAGTATACTGCAACTGTACTGTACACAGAATGTTGTCTATATCACAGTAAACTTAGTATACTGTAACTGTATTGTACACAGAATGTTGTCTACATCACAGTAAACTTAGTATACTGCAACTGTACTGTACACAGAATGTTGTCTATATCACAGTAAACTTAGTATACTGTAACTGTACTGTACACAGAATGCTGTCTATATCACAGTAAACTTAGTATACTGTAACTGTACTGTACACAGAATGCTGTCTCTATCACAGTTAACTTAGTATACTGTAACTGTACTGTACACAGAATGCTGTCTATATCACAGTAAACTTAGTATACTGTAACTGTACTGTACACAGAATGTCTACATCACAGTAAACTTAGTATACTGTAACTGTATTGTACACAGAATGTTGTCTACATCACAGTAAACTTAGTATACTGTAACTGTACTGTACACAGAATGCTGTCTACATCACAGTAAACTTAGTATACTGTAACTGTACTGTACACAGAATGTTGTCTATATCATATTATTTGAGTTAATAACAAACTTACACGGGATTATTTCCGCGAATATCTTTTAGACTATTTCATGAGGGTATATATTTCGGGAATCTTACGGTCTTTGGTAATTTTGTAAAATGTTTCTACCATTCATATTAACGGTTTGAATTACTCTCCTCCTCTGCCGTGTGTCTCTACTTATTCGGACTAAAAATAAGTAATCTAACTCACCAGCTAATGAATCCTATGTTATCAGGTGCAATCCTTTGTTTTGTAGAAGTCAATAAATCGATTAACCTCCTGTGGAGACATTTTGATTCAGTGTTTCCCTTTTTATTCTCTTACACAGAACCTGCATCATCATAAAACGCCATTTATACGGCCCCTATATAAATTTGTGTAAAGACGGGGATTTTAAGCACTGATCAGGGAACAGTTGAGGAAGCCTACTACATCATACATGTGACAAAATATCTCGATTGAGAAGAAAATATTTCAATGACATTGCAACTTGGCTTGGAATTCGTATGACATTACATCATGACATTACGATTTCAGTGGGGCGTTACAGCAATGCGTCACTGTAGTGAATTCCATTGGACGTAAAGTGAGGTGTCACTGTAGTGAATTTAATGCGTCATTACAGCAAGGTGTCACTCTAGAGATTAAATGAGTCATTACAGTGATGTGTCACTCTAGTGAATCTAATGCGTCATTACAGCAAGGTGTCAATGTAGTGAATTTAATGCGTCATTACAGTGAGGTGTCACTGTAGCGAATTTAATGCGTCATTACAGTGAGGTGTCACTGTAGTGAATTTAATGCGTCATTACAGTGAGGTGTCACTGTAGTGAATTTAATGCGACATTACCGCGAGGTGTCAATGTAGTGAATATAACGCGTCATTACAGTGAGGTGTCACTGTAGTGAATTAAATGCGACATTACCGCGAGGTGTTACTGTAGTGAATTTAATGCGACATTACCGCGAGGTGTCACTGTAGTGAATATAATGCGACATTACCGCGAGGTGTCACTATAGTGAATCTAATGCGACATTACCGCGAGGTGTCACTGTAGTGAATCTAATGCGTCATTACCGCGAGGTGTCACTGTAGTGAATTTAATGCGACAATACAGTGAGGTGTCACTGTAGTGAATTTAATGCGTCATTACAGTTAGGTGTTACTGTAGTGAATCTAATGCGACATTACTGCGAGGTGTCACTGTAGTGAATTTAATGCGTCATTACAGTTAGGTGTTACTCTAGTGAATCTAATGCGACATTACTGCGAGGTGTTCCTGTAGTGAATCTAATGCGACATTACCGCGAGGTGTCACTGTAGTGAATTTAATGCGACATTACCGCGAGGTGTTACTGTAGTGAATATAATCTATCATTACAGTGAGGTGTTACTGTAGTGAATATAATGCGACATTACCGCGAGGTGTTACTGTAGTGAATCTAATGCGACATTACCACGAGGTGTTACTGTAGTAAATATAATGCGCTATTACCGCGAGGTGTTACTGTAGTGAATTTAATGCGACATTACAGTGAGGTGTCACTGTAGTGAATTTAATGCGACATTACATTGAGGTGTCACTGTAGTGAATTTAATGCGACATTACCGCGAGGTGTTACTGTAGTGAATTTAATGTGACATTACAGCGAGGTGTCGTTGTAATTGGATTTCACGTTTCTTTACATAGCAGCGATGTACCACAATAACTCCCTTGGTCTGCGTAACCTTTACTGAAGGTGAGGGATCTGAGAAATGGACCTGTTTGTGATGGCATGATTGTGTCCTTGGGTATGTCGCTTTATCCGAATTGCTCTTGATGGCATGTGACGGCCTTTCGTATGTTGTTCAGTGTGGTTCTACCATTTACTACAAGGAGACCCCGTCTCAAAATGATTCTGGCTGTTGATAGGACGATAAACCAAGTAAACGAACAATTTTAACAGAGTTATCACTTCGGGTTGTCATCAGTGGACAAGGTATTGGCAAAGATCACAAGACTAGTGGCTTGTTTTTCTCTTGACATACTGTCTATAAAGATTTGAAAATAACATGTAGGCAGGCTGAAGTGTTTAAAACAGTATCCACGCTTCGTTCATTGATTTTAAACATGACGGTTTTCTAGGACAAACATTTCAAGCAGTGCAAATGCCTCCCTTTTTGTTCAATTGGTTTCAGCATGTCACCTAATGGACGTGTGAGGGATGGTTTTTGTGTTCTAATGTTGTTCGAAATGGCAGAGAACTACTTCGCTCTGCTAACCACGATCTGATATGCTTTAAAGCATTGGTATATGCCACATTGTAATTGTGTTACTGTCGGACTTTTCTACAAATGTACCTCTATAAAAGTAAGAAAAATGCAGGTCTTTTGTCGAGTCTAAGGGCGTTAGCAAGATATGTACACATACATCTATCAAAGGCAACGAATTCCCAACCCACGATCCAAATATATGCATCATAGTGACATAATACACATGATGGACCTTGGGTTGGGAATTCGTGACAATCCCTGTGGTATATGTTAGTCAATTGTAATTTTTCCAAAACAAAGAGAAAATTGATTTAGCTATCTTCTCTTATCTCAGACACAGATACAGATAATTCCATAACATGTAAAACATAGCTGTTTTACTGATCAGTATATCACATGTTGGTCAGTATATCACATGTTGGTCAGTATATCACATGTTGGTCAGTATATCACATGTTGGTCAGTATATCACATGTTGGTCAGTATATCACATGTTGGTCAGTATATCACATGTTGGTCAGTGTTGGTCAATATATCACATGTTGGTCAGTGTTGGTCAATATATCACATGTTGGTCAGTATATCACATGTTGGGCTTAGCAGGGTCTCACTTAACAAAACTCTCTCCCCTACCCTTGCCTACAACTTCCCCTCACCAGACATTTTTTGTTTTGTTTATGTGTTTAGAATAACGAATCGTGGTAATTTGAAAAAAAAAGTGAAAAAGCTAATAAGTAAAAAAAAAAAAAAAAACGGAAAGCTTTATTTGACCAAACGATTGGTCAAGTAAATTCCCCTGCCCAACTCTAGACATATTTGTTTTGTTGTTTACGTGTTTAAAAAATGAACCGGAGTAATTTGAAAAAAAAAATGTTGAAAAAAGTTGATTAGTAAGAAAAAAATGAATTGCTTCACTGTACCAAAGTGAAGTCTCATGCCCTATCATCAATCAAAGATTAGGCGAAATAATATCAGTTGAAAAAAAAATATATATATAAAACGGCTTCACTTCAACATTATGGTATTTGACCCGGTTCACTTCAACATTATGGTATTTGACCCGGTTCACTTCAACATTATGGTATTTGTCCTGGTTCACTTCAACATTATGGTATTTGCCCCGGTTCACTTCAACATTATGGTATTTGACCCGGTTCACTTCAACATTATGGTATTTGCCCCGGTTCACTTCAACATTATGGTATTTGCCCCGGTTCACCTCAACATTATGGTATTTGACCCGGTTCACTTCAACATTATGGTATTTGACCCGGTTCACTTCAACATTATGGTATTTGACTCGGTTCACTTCAACATCATGGTATTTGCCCTGGTTCACTTCAACATTATGGTATTTGACCCAGTTCACTTCAACATTATGGTATTTGACCCGGTTCACTTCAACATTATGGTATTTGACCCGGTTCACTTCAACATTATGGTATTTGACCCGGTTCACTTCAACATTATGGTATTTGACCCGGTTCACTGCAACATTATGGTATTTGACCCGGTTCACTTCAACATTATGGTATTTGCCCCGGTTCATCTCAACATTATGGTATTTGACCCGGTTCATCTCAACATTATGGTATTTGACCCGGTTCACTGCAACATTATGGTATTTGACCCGGTTCACTTCAACATTATGGTATTTGACCCTGTTCACTTCAACATTATGGTATTTGACCCGGTTCACTTCAACATTATGGTATTTGACCCAGTTCACTTCAACATTATGGTATTTGCCCCGGTTCACCTCAACATTATGGTATTTGACCCGGTTCACTGCAACATTATGGTATTTGCCCTGGTTCACTTCAACATTATGGTATTTGCCCCGGTTCACTTCAACATTATGGTATTTGACCCTGTTCACTTCAACATTATGGTATTTGACCCGGTTCACTTCAACATTATGGTATTTGCCCCGGTTCATTTCACCATGATTCAAAATACCATGCTACACCGGACTGTAATTAGTGTCTTTGGTAATGGTGACGCAGCTGAATTTCTAAGTCGAAGCTCTGAGTTAATAAAGAAATAAAAAAGAAAGAAAGAAAAACACACACAAACTGGAATGTCGTAAAAATAGGAAACTATAAGTTCTAACAAGGTTATCGATGCAAATAAACTTGTTTTGTTGTGGACACGATGAGGGAATAACGTTTTAATTCACACACCGCATCCACGGGGGATGTGTTTCTACTACTTTTATAAACACTTCCATTCTGTCTCTAACATGAGCATAATAGGTCAAAATGTAGACAGCAATTACAGCATAAAAATGTGAGTATTGACATCAAATTTCGTGTCAGAAACAGAAATATTTTCGGTCTACGTGAGGGTATGAGCGCAGGTTTGCGATAGGGTGTATATGTTGTAATTAAACTTTAAGTGTGTTGAGTGCTAGACATGCTGGTCCCGGTTGTTCAAAGGCTGGTTAGAGATAACCCGTAGATAGTGACAAATTCAAAGTGTTGCTACTGAAGAAACAAGGGCGTTAAAAGTAAACAACATCCAGAATATATCTATCTGTCATGTCCCAACAAATCTATAGCCGTAAAATGATAGATAATGTTCCTGATTTTGTTTCATACATATTGATTTTTTTAACTAACTGGTATTTCACTTACCAGGGCCAGGAGGTCATAACAACATATTAACTTAATTAAAAAAAAAAAACTTCTTATTTGAGCTATTCTTCATCATTAGCAACTGCGTTATACTGCACCAAAAGCTGTCAGAAGGCTAGCGATATCTACAATTAGCACTGTGTAGGAAGCTGTGCCGAGTAATTCTCGTCTATTTTCCCATTCAATTTCTTTTCACAATGAAACGCTTAATAGACGAAAGTCTCCTTTGACAGCTGAGGGGTAGCAGGGAACAGTTAATTTGCCTTTTCTTTGTTTGAAATATACAAGCATAACAGATTGGTTGTGAAAAATTTAACCTTACATATATGTCTATAAACTATGTACACAAACAAAAATCCCCTGATTGCTGACTTTTGATAACCATCGTTACCAACTCAAAAAATGCAAAAATATAACTAATTTCAACCCAAAACTACACCTTCATAGGAGGAATTTATTTCCGGACACCTGTCTAATAATTAACGACGCTGTCACAGTAACATATCACTCACGTTTCAATTGACCCCCAACCCGGAACGGCTTCACAACAGAAACGTGCGAGGACACTACGAAAATTTCACTTCCTATGAAGCTAGTTTTTCGTGCGTTGACACAGATTCGAGACTGCCCACATAGTAATCTCCAACACAGCGCAAGTATATTTTTCTGAAGCCCTACATTGTCCACTTCAAAATAACTAACCAATTTCAGTGAGGATTTATCTATATATTCATTATGCTATATATTCATAATATTATCCGAGGCATAACAAAAAAATTAAGAGGTAACAATATAAAACATAAAAAATGTAGATAGATCTCAACAACAAGAAGGACATCGCCCTTTGGTATTTTTCATACTTAAATTCTGTCCGGGGCATTTCACTACAACTATAAGAGGTATCAACATGAAACTTCACAGGTAGATAGATCTCGACAAGAATTAAAGAAGGTTAGTGCACAAGATCCATCACTCTCTTTTACATAATTAAGGTGTTACTGCCCTTTGCTATTTTTAGTACTTAAATTTTGTCCTATTCGATGAGCATAACCTGTCTCTGACGGCCCTTGTTTGTTTATTTATCTGTTTATTTCAAGTCTTTATAATCTCAGTCAACAGTACAACCAAGCACCTGATCTACAATATAACCCAGCTTCTGATCTACAGTACAAGTCAGCTACTAGTCAACAGTACAACTCCGTACTTGATTAGTACAGCCCAGCACCTGATCAACAGTACAACCCAGCACCTGATCTACAGTACAACCCAGCACCAGATCTACAGTACAACCCACCATCTGATCTACAGTACAGACCAGCACCTGATCTACAGTTCAACCCAGCACCTGATCTACAGTACAACCCACCACCTGATCTACAGTGCAACCCAGCACCTGATCTACAGTACAACCCAGCACCTGATCTACAGTACAACCCACCACCTGATCTACAGTACAACCCATCACCTGATCTACAGTACAACCCATCGCTTGATCTGCAGTATAATCCAGCACCTGATCTACAGTACAACCCATCGCTTGATCTGCAGTATAATCCATCACCTGCACTTAATTAAAAGAACCGGCCTTATATCTAGTAATTACTGTACCTATATCACACCATTACCTTATTAAAGTAGGCTGACTATTATCTTATCTTGTCTGCCCTTATAGGCATTCATTAATAAAGTGTCTGCTCAATTTCAGCACCAGTTTTTATAACGCGAGTATCTGGATAGCACTATTTTTTCAAAGATAACTTACTCAAACAAGAAACCGAGCGAAGCAGATGTTCGTCATTTTCTATACAGTCACTGTCTGGACTAGGAAAGTTCGTCCGTGATGTTTTTAGTCGTCTGATTCGGTTCCTGTCACGATGTAGCCCTCGGACACTAAAAAGAAGAATCTTGACACACCCAGTCGAGACAACAACACACACCGCGAGCAGCAGTCAAATCACATCCAACACTACAAAAACATCTTTGCCGCAGATGAATTATGCACGCGAAGATCCGGTGAAACTAACACTGTATATCCCCAATGTAATTCTATTTAAAGACATATATTTTCATTTGTGTCTAAATAATTAAGTATTAGCGAGAGAGCATCGATTACCCTTGTATACACTAAAACTGTCCTGCTATATAGGCGAGATCCCCGGAGTTTAGTATAGAAGTGTCTAATCATACCAAAGATGAATCTTTAGTTAACACCTGAGGTTCCGTAACATAATCAAAACGTAATTATTTCTTGAAGTATTTTATATGACCTGATGAATCTCGTCACTTTACCAGAAGACACGTACGTTTTTAAACTGTATTGTTTTTAAGAATTATGTAAGACGAATGTGAAATACACAGAGTAAAAGAGATGATGAACGTTATTTCCAAAACGCCTTTAAAACCTTACAAATTCTCATCCCCTTCCTTGATATTAGAGTCCCTACAACTCTTGTAACAGAGGCTTATAAGAGTTTAGAAATGAAGCATCGTATGTCACGCTAGAATAAACAACAAAATATGAAAATAATATTTTGAAGCGTTTAATAAATAAATATATAGTTCTAAAATTGAGATAATTCAACAATCTAATAACAATATGTAACTTAAAGTGTCAACGTAATCAGATTGACAAACATAGATATGTATGCTTCCATTTATTAATACTACTAGTGTCTGTACAGCGGATCTGTCCTCTAACACTAACTGGGTGTCTGTGTGCAGCGGATCTGTCCACTAACTGGGTGTCTGTGTACAGCGGATCTGTCCACTAACTGGGTGTCTGTGTACAGCGGATCTGTCCACTAACACTGACTGGGTGTCTGTGTACAGCGGATCTGTCCACTAACTGGGTGTCTGTGTACAGCGGATCTGTCCACTAACACTGACTGGGTGTCTGTACAGCGGATCTGTCCACTAACACGGTGTCTGTGTACAGCAGATCTGTCCATTGACACTGACTGGGTGTATGTGTACAGCGGATCTGTCCACTAACACGGTGTCTGTGTACAGCAGATCTGTCCATTGACACTGACTGGGTGTCTGTACAGCGGATCTGTCCACTAACACGGTGTCTGTGTACAGCAGATCTGTCCATTGACACTGACTGGGTGTCTGTACAGCGGATCTGTCCACTAACACGGTGTCTGTGTACAGCAGATCTGTCCATTGACACTAACTGGGTGTCTGTGTACAGCGGATCTGTCCACTAACACGGTGTCTGTGTACAGCAGATCTGTCCATTGACACTGACTGGGTGTCTGTACAGCGGATCTGTCCACTAACACGGTGTCTGTACCGCAGATCTGTCCATTGACACTTACTGGGTGTCTGTGTACAGCGGATCTGTCCACTAACACAAACTGGGTGTCTGTGTACAGCAGATCTGTCCACTAACACAAACTGGGTGTCTGTGTACAGTAGATATCTCCACTGAGACTCTACCCAGACACGGTTACCGATCCATCTTTATCTATTTCATAAAAGATTAATGCTAAATTCTGACAATTTTCGTCATATCTCTTTCACTAATTATTACAAAAAACAGTCAGTCCCTTTATAGACTTTAAAATGACTAAAATACACATAACTGTTAAAAAAGGTGAAAATAATGTTCATAGGAAGTAACCATAACTTGCAATATACAAAATTTACAATTAACTAAATCAGAGATAATTATTTATACCTAGAAATGGTCCTCCAATGTACTGCACGAGATTCGCCTACAGCATTTATCACCGTAAAAAAGAACTTGACGTTAATCATCTTGAAATACCAATAACCCAGATTAAAAAATCTAGGACCACACCACGTGATGTTAATTCTTATTTCAAACCTACGAATATGCCTTTAGCCAATTTTGTAGCAGTTTGGAAATGACTTCAAATAATCATTTCGATTCCACGACTTCTGGCAATGAGCTATTTACATCGCAACTACCACTCAACTGAGACCACGAGTCTATCGATATAATTTGTTTTACCAGGCAAATATATCGATAATACGGTCACGTTAAGATCCAACGTCTTGTACAGAATACATTGATGCAAAGACCGTATTATGAACATCTTATATAGAATTCAACAATGTATGAAGTAAATATTTGTAACACTACAGGAAATAAAGCAATACAAACAAACTACAAACAGAAAACACATCTTCATGTCAGACAAATAATTTGATTAAAACAGCACACACTTGATTCAGAAGCTTAAGTTCTATACATAATATTGCATTTGATCTGAGTGTAGCATTGATGAAGGTTCGTCATTTGAGATAAATGATTTAATACCATTAAATCTGACAAGTTATCGGAACTACAGCACTTTAATCACATACTGTATAACAGGTTTTTTCGCGTGCATCAAATTTCCCATTTTCCCCGATATTCGGCAATAACGAAAGTGAACTTTACAATGGCGGAATGTTTCGCCAGACACAGACTAATGTTCATAAACATGTAGCATAAATGACAATAGAGTTAAATCATAGCCAACTGACCGTGACATCAACACAATACAAACTGACTTTTGGTGATACGTGTAACTGTTTATACACACTAAGTGTCGTTGAATCCACCTCCTCATGTTTTGCTGTTACCTACCAGAGAATCGCGAATAACTGGTATCCAAACAGTATACACGTGTCAATTGATTATCATACAAAATTGCATTATTTAGGAATCGCGGAAAAAACCCAAAAAAAGGTGTACGGTACATGGACGGCGCATTTCAAAACATATATTTTCGTAGTTCTTGTCTAGTTTATGTATATTTGGTCTTCCAAACACAAAAGTGGATCTCAAACTCGTTCTTTGGCTTATAACGGTAGGTACGAACACCATTAAAATCCAATACTACACTGGTATAGTAAATCACCAGCTGACATATCACATAGCATAATAATTTACTTAACATAATATACATAATGACTGACCACGTCGGACACTGGCAGTTCTCTTAAAAAAGATATAATTATACAAAATGTCGGTTGACACATAATACATGCAAAAAGTCCATGCAAAATGGTAATAAATATGAAAGATAGAAATTAAGAAAATGTGACTAGTTTGATTGAAGTGATAATACACAAGACTAACAGGGTCAATCAACAGATATTTATAATTATGAAACGTCCGTATTTGATATTTCCTCCAGCAGGACATACTTTTACTTCTTATATAACGTCCGTATTTTATATTTCCTCCAGCAGGACAGACATTTTTACTTATTATAAAACGTCCGTATTTTATATTTCCTCCAGCAGGACATATTTTTACTTGTTATAAAACGTCCGCATTTTATATTTCCTCCAGCAGGACAGACATTTTTACTTATTATAAAACGTCCGTATCTTATATTTCCTCCAACAGGACAGATTTTTACTTATCATAAAACGTCCTCCAGCAGCAGTGGTTCTTTGATAAAAGGAGATTAATTAGATCAAGAGAAAACATCAATAAACAATGACATATGTACTGATAGTTACAAGTCGTCATGACCTTCGTGTTTCAACTCCAACAGGATTTTACCGAGAGATGCAGGGACATTCCGAAAAGACTTACAATGTACTTTTCATAGAGAAATTAGCGGCATTTTAGTTTTCATATTTCATTCAATTTTAGAACATCTGTGTCGTAAATGACTTAGCCCAGGAATTCGGCTCACTGTCAAAGATTGACAGAAAGTGTCAATATTTTTCATTTAATACATAATTGATATTTTTAAAATCTGACCACATTTCACATATTTGCTTCTTACAGGTTTAAGAAAACAGAACAGTATAGAGTGACTAGAAAAATCATTGGAACAGCTGTCATTCCCTGGTGTAAATTCTACGACGCAATTAAATATGTGGTAGGAGTTTGAGTCGACGCTTTCTATTCATTAATCCTACACAAGATTTTTGTGCGGTTAGTAAAAACGAGCACCCCTGCTATTTTTCGGTCTAATATGTCGAGACCGGCATTTTTGAGTTAGGTCTGCCAGTACTTTTCCCCAGTCCTAGTTCATTCTCTTTGAGGTTAAGCCAGTCTTCGTACGTGTCACCAGTCTTTGTTTTTCCAAGAGACCGCAGATACGACCGAAGGTAGCCGGGACCTTTGTCAACGTGTACCGGTGGTGCAGGGTCTTTGTTTGGGCGAGGCGGTAAGCTATCTGATGTGTTTTTTTCTTTCTCTCGCTGTGCTAACCACGTTTCATAGGACTGACTCTTCTCAGCCTCCATCCGCTTCCTTGAAAAGTTAAATAAACGAATTGGAATTTAAAGATAACAATACTATTCATGTCTTTTTTTTCTTTGAAACAATCAAACCAACACAAAGATACCAAGAATCAGATGACCTAACATAACTTTAGTCGTTTCGACAAGTATTTCAAAGTTTTATCACCTGGGCAACTTTTGAATTGCAAATAAATTAAAAAAAAAACAATACTTCAATGTTATGTCAAGTGGTTCTGTCGTCACTACCCAAACTCTCATTTTGAGAACCTTGCATTACTTGATTTAACATAAAATTTCGTATTCGTATTCACCTTTTCTCTCGTTCATTGATAATGAATTTCAGTTCGTTGTTTATATAGCAGTGTTCTGTTAAGTCAAAGCTAGCAAAAAAATTATTTCAAGATTCACCCCCAACCCCCTCAAACAGGATACGTTTTATAATTGCTTTAGAATAGGCCTGTAGTTTGAGGCTAGTAACATCAAACTTTGACATGAAAGTCTACAAGAATTTGTCGGGTAATATCTAACATCTGGTGATCCAAGAATTCCGGAACAAAATTGCAATGTTGTTTTCAGATAAATCTTGTCCAATATCTATTGTGATAAGTTCATAATATACTTTATTATTTTAATGAGTAACAGTTCCTGTAAACAGCAACTTAAAACAAACACAGACAGTAATCTAAGTACTTCGTCGCTCCTAACGAAATCAAACACATTGATGTAAACCATTTTGTATATAATTTAACACGCTCATTATAATTAGCTAGTTGGTTAGTTTTAGAGGTAAAACATTATATACAAATGTAAGCATTAAGTATACACACCAGTCTGCAAAGGAAAAAAAACACGACTAAGAATGATATCACACTTATTTCTTTCTGTTGTAGCATTGACACACAACTCTGAAAGCTCTTTCTATCATGATATATACGCTTGAAATACAAAAAAATATTAGTATTTGCATATATCAAAACGTTACCAAGCAGTTGACAGATTTGTCTGTAGCATATTACTATAGAACACACAGTATGTTCAAGAAACCTACCTGGAAATATGAAATTACGTTCAGAAAGGATATATCAGTATGTAGGAGTTCTATCGAATTGATAAGGGGAATTGATTATAAGCTTTGTACTTGGAATCCCTTACTTAACATTACAAATAACTTTGTTGATAATTATGTAAATCAATATGGAATATTATGGAATTTATTGACATCTGACATTAAGTGTGTATCTCCCCATCTGATTTCTGACGTTGATTTCGACTAATCTTGCTTTTCCCTTGTCACCTCCTAAACATCGACAACTTAAGTCCTTAACATCACTGACTAGTCTTAGAAGGACAAAACAGCTGTATGATACATTTTAATTTTAAATCTGTATAGAAATGTGTTATTCCCTTGTGTCTTCTACACAGTCCTCTCACGGTAAAAACTGAATGTGTCCTGTGTGTGTTTACCAACATTCTACATTAATCTGATAATTTACATTTACCTGTCTGAAATCACGTTAACATCAACCTTATCAGTATCATGTCTGATGCTTTTTTATTTGCTGTAGATTAAGATCCACGCGTTCAATATTGCGGTATCTCGAGGATTAACAATGCATCATGATAATGTTGTCTAACACGTCAGTCCGTCACAACACATGACAACACAAAAACTACACAACCACATACTACACGAACGAAACAATACTAATACATATTCCATTGTTTTTACGACATACAAGATGTATTTTATCATTTAACTATATAATACACACAGAAATTTATATTATTGTTTTTAATTACCGAACCAAAAATACACGAAGGTATTGTTGGCAAAGACACAAATACATTGTTTACACAAACGTACACCTAAATGTATTACATTGTTTACGCAAACGCACACCTAAATGTATTACATTGTTTACACAAACGCACACGTGATAGTATCACATTGTTTACAAAAAACATGGAAGTGTATTACATTGTCCACACAAACGCGTACGGGAATGTATTACCTTGTTTACAAAAGCACACATAGAAGTGAATTACATGGTCTTTACACTAACGAATACGGGAATGTATTACATTGTTTACACAAACACACACGTAAGTGTATTACATTATTTACACAAACGCACACGGGACTGTATTACATTGTTCACAAAAAACACACGTAAGTGTATTACACTGTTTACACATATACACATGGGAGTGTTTAAATCTGTTTACACCAACAAAGACGCAGGAATGTGTATTTTAAAATACTTTATACTAATGGATGATACACTTAGAGGTTAACAATCAGCACAACATTGTACTATATGTAACAGTCGGTGGACACAGAGTGAGGTGTAGATGGGGACGGACTGGGTACAACTTCAAAGGATTCTAGGAATATATGGACACAGAAAAAGTGAAGAGAGAATAAATCGTGTCGGGAGTTTGCTTTTACTAATACCACAGGTGACAATATCAATGTTGTCCAAGCAGCGGTTGCAAACTTTATTTCAAGAAAAAATCTTGTCGTATATGACTGATTCTCTGAGAATTTTTTGTTTTTAGTTTTTAGCAAAATAGTTTCCAACATGACTCTTGGTTTCATATCTTATATAAAAATATCATGTAAACGTTTTTGCTGTATACTTATATGACATAATTGTTTATCCTTAACATGAAATAGTATTACATATGTATATGTTATAACAAATGTTCAGTAAGGAAAGAAATAGCCTATAAAACCAAAAACGTCATGCAATGCTCGCGACTACATTAACTACTAACACACTGGATTGTAATTTAATTAAGATCAGATTACTCTCTCTGCTGCATCACGTGTTTTTCTGTTTCAATTGTAGAAGACACTCTCTAAGATCAGTTCACCCAGACCAACGTCCAAAGACAGCATGTTACCACTGATCTTTGAGAAATATCTTCAATAGCTAGTTCAAACAAAATATCAACATGTCCGATTTCATTTAGTATTACAACAGATATATTACACCTTACCATAGGGGTGTCTGATTAACATCGTTCGGAATCTCTTTTCTATAAAACGTTCAGTGCTAATGGCAATATTTCATTCGTCTGAATGTTGAATCAACATCAGTAATTTATTTAAATATTTATCAAAATTAAAATACCTTCACCTAATATATGTTAATTTGCCACTAACAGTATTCGTTTAGAGATCATATGTTCAGATTTTTCAGAAAGTATTGTGTAGAATCATTTCTGTTGGAATCATAATACTGATAATTTTGACCGGCAAAACGTTTAATACGTAATGTTCGTTATGTAACAAAACAGAATGGAATGCAGGAGAGTTTGTAATCAACGTTTTAATTAAATTGCCTTGATTGGTATATCGTGTGTGTCACTCAATCACTCATATACTTACTCGAAATCTTTTCTGAATGGCAAACACAAATGGTTGATAAGTTTAAAAGACTTTCTATAACGTTGTACAAGAGAGAACTACTATAAAAGACACCGAGCAGTACTGTGCTAGCAGAAACAAAAAATAAGGTACCTAGCAATGTCGTTAGGTATGGTTCTAGAGTACCCAAGTGCACTCGTGTCATTTTATATACCAATACTTAATGTTCTATTCACACAGTAAGGGTATCCACTACAGTTTCCTTTGCCTTCTTTTATTACAGAACGAATGTCAAGTCTACACATTTCATGAAGGACACATCACCCAATGTCACTGACAGATCTTAAAAAGACGAGCGAAAATCGTCATATCTGATGACTTTGTAACAACAGTAGCCTCTTGGTAAAGAATTGATATGAATCACGTAATCATCATAAATGGACGAGCTCATGATGTGGTGAAGGTTTCCCTATAAAGTAACCCTGTAGCTGGCGCCGTGCAGGAGACAATCACAAGAACGTTGTTTTGATATATGCAGTGTTAAAGCTCCCTTCGTCGTTAGGTATGAAGCTGTTGTGCCGAGGCAATCTGTTCGGGCTGTTAGAGCTTTCAAAATACACTCTCGGGTTTACATGGCTGCTCATGTATCACTCAAAGATACTTTCAGTTACACAGCTCGTCATTATGGGTCATCCAATAGGAGAAAACAAATATATATACAGCTAGAAACAGCTTTGTAAGTCACTCGAGATAAAGCTTTCTATATATATGTGTGTATATATAATACTTACTCAAAACGGCTTCTAGGAAAAATAAGAGGGAAAGTTTACATAATGGTTTTGTCTATTCACAACCGAGAAATGGTGATAACTAGTTCATGAGTGTAAGAATTAAAATGTACATTTGGGAATTCTAATAAAGTTATGCAAAGTCTTTTAGTAAGATCTCGCCGTTTGTATTACATTTGTATGATACGTCCATTGGCTGAATCGGTCACAGCTGTTACTATTGTACAGTATATACAGCTGTAATTACAGTACCAAGGCAATCATGTCACAAAATTGTCAGACTGTTACATTCATCAATATTGTGACATTTAAAAAAAACATTAATTTATGTGTACTTATTTGGGATCTATACCATCACAACAGATGTGGTGACATGGAGACAGTGTCTGTTGAAAATCAGTTTACCCAAGGATAGTAACGTCATCACAACGACGGCAACGTGCTTACCAGTTCTAATGTTCAGTCACCTCATTAAAGCAAACGTTTTACAGACCTGGCCCCACTTGTATAAAACATCTCCACTTGAGATTTCCTCAAGTCGAGATTTTCCTCGGCTGATATCTCCTTGAAAATATCTTGTTTGAAAATTCCTCAAGGAATTTCAGGACATCCTAGCCGATGCCTTCCTCCTGTTCCTTGAGAAAATTTTATACAAGCCGTTTTTGAGGAGATATCAGCTGAGGAAAATCTCAAGTTGAGATATTTTATACAAGTGGGGCCTGGCTTGCAGTAGTCTGAGGACGGGAATACAAGCCTTCCTAATGCATAAAGCAGACATACAATACTGAGGCCAAAATTGATGGATAAGGGAAAAAACATTTCAAATACTTTAAAAGAAGAAAACAGAGACCCCTAAGGTTGATAAAAAGAGCCAGTCTCAGATAGAAGATGCAAATTTCTTGAACTAAGCAATGGATAGAATTTATTTCAAACCTCAAACCTTTAATGGTAGCGTCTACCTTTTATTCAATAGAGTGTTATTTAATGGAAGTACTATTCTATACTGGCATATGGTATGTATTCAGTGTACCCCTGTTAATGAAAATGTCCAACACCTAGTGTCCCTCATTGAAACGTTGAAGGGTGATATATTTTTTTCTATTTAAATTCATCATTCAAGTCTTACCGCCTTACATTTCAGGCTTACGTTGTAACAAGTAAGTATTCAGATTTCGAACATACATCTATAAAGTGTTCTTAAAGTTAGATTTTACATTCAACAAGATATGTATGTCAGATCTTGCTACTAACAAGATATCTATGTTAGATCTTACTACTAACAAGACATATATGTTAGATCTTACAGTTTACAAGACATTGATGTTAGATCTTACTACTAACAAGACATTGATGTTAGATCTTACTACTAACAAGATATCTATGTTAGATCTTACCACTAACAAGATATCTATGTTAGATCTTACTACTAACAAGATATCTATGTTAGATCTTACCACTAACAAGACATGTATGTTAGATCTTACTACTAACAAGATATCTATGTTAGATCTTACTACTAACAAGACATGTATGTTAGATCTTACTACTAACAAGATATCTATGTTAGATCTTACCACTAACAAGACATGTATGTTAGATCTTACTACTAACAAGATATCTATGTTAGATCTTACTACTAACAAGATATCTATGTTAGATCTTACCACTAACAAGACATGTATGTTAGATCTTACTACTAACAAGATATCTATGTTAGATCTTACTACTAACAAGATATCTATGTTAGATCTTACTACTAACAAGACATTGATGTTAGATCTTACTACTAACAAGATATCTATGTTAGATCTTACCACTAACAAGATATCTATGTTAGATCTTACTACTAACAAGATATCTATGTTAGATCTTACTACTAACAAGATATCTATGTTAGATCTTACTACTAACAAGATATCTATGTTAGATCTTACTACTAACAAGATATCTATGTTAGATCTTACTACTAACAAGATATCTATGTTAGATCTTACTACTAACAAGATATCTATGTTAGATCTTACTACTAACAAGAATTTTTTGTTAGATCTTAAAGTTTATAAGAAATTGATGTTAGATCTTGATCTAAATGGTAATAAGATAGCTAAGTTAAATTTTACAGTTTACAAGATATCTATCTTAGATTTCATAATCAACAAGATATTTTTGTTATATCTTACAGTTAATAAGATATTGATGTTAGAACATGATCTTACTGCTAATAAGTTATTTAAGTTAGATTTTACAATTAACAAGATATTTATGTTTTGTTATGTATCAATGTCATGTTGTCAAGTTCACCTACCACCTATATAATGTCTATCATTTTACAAATCAATGATTTTGTAATTAGCACTGTATCTATATATAGTAGTTTATTTATTTTCAGCCTGAAGTCTTTAAAATAATCAAGATATTTGTATGAAATATAAAAGTGAACATTTATGTGTAGAGTTTAGAATTATAACACAGTCTATGACCCTGACATTTGATATGATATATAAACAGTGAAAGACCTCCAGACAAGATAGGGATGACTGATATGTAGAGTAATGTGAACAGATTAAATACGTGACTACAATCAGGACTACAGGTAGCAATAGAATTTTGTATTCTTATATGCAATACACCCATAGGAAAAATTAAGTACTGATCATGATGTGTCACAAGAATACGCTGATATCATTAAAGGGACATAACTTCATAAAAGGAGAAATGGGAGCTAAACACCTGATACAGATGCTGACAACACAAGCCAAAATTTTATCAGATAATGATCGATAAGATAGGGATTTTTGCTAAGAAAAAAATCCATAAAAGAAAAGGCATGTGGACATTATTATTCAAACAGCAATGGGTAGAGTATTATAACATCCCTTCTCTCCATCAGCAATAAAAACTCATTATTTTTTTTCACACAAAGAAAAACCTTATACCATTCCTCAGAACCAACAAACTAAAACTCCATATTTCTTGATCACCACCAACCAATACAAGCCCTGTAAAAACCTTTCCCAGTTACTAATCATGATAGATATATGACATTAAGGGATATAGAACTTACTGGTCTTCTTCCTCTAATCTCTTCTTATCCTCTTCTTTTTTCCTGGCATCTATCACCTTCTGTTCTACTGCTGTCTTTTTTCCAAGCCATTCACGAAATGTGATTTTTTTCTTCCTGTTAAGAACAGAGTAAAACATAATCTTTTAAATCAAATCATTTTGTTGTTTTTATATGCTTTAACTGGCTAATTTAATCACATGACAACAGCTTGATAATTAGAAGTAGACTAATCAGGTCAGAAAGATAAAGGAGTCAAACTGAGGGTACTAAGGTGTAAATTTATTGACATCTTACAACTAGCCAAACCTATTCATGAGGACATCAACACATGATGACATGTATGCAACATTTTCTTTAAGTTGGTTGTGATGTATATTAATATATTCAGAAATAAATAATTGATAATCGTATTAAATAGATTTGAGGGGATTCAGGTAATGTTATTTATGTCACATTCTTAGTTCTCAAAAATATGCTTGTATTTGTAACCAAAGTTGGACATATGATATATAAAATATTGATGTTTTCCATTTTTGTGAGCAGTGCTTGAAGGATTTTCTTTCCCATTTCATTCAAAAATCCTTTTCTTTATTTAGGACATCATACACATATTTTCTCGCTTTTTTGGGTTTTTTTTTTTTTTTTTTGTAAATATAAACCATTGTCAAAAATGTGTTTTGGTACAACTTTTATCATTTTTCATGTTAGCAAGCTTTTAGCAACCTAACTTTCACCTCAACATGATTACTAAGGCTTGTTTCAAACAAGTCTTTGTTATTTAATCATATATGAATCTATGGTTATAAAAGGAAAGGCAAATTCAGTAGTAATGACAACATTTTCTTAGGCTGACTCAATGTGTGTTCATAACATAATGAGTGCCATTGTCACATGGTCAGGTTATTTTAACTATACGTGCTAGGAAAATTGAAATTAAAATCAATTAACTATCAAATTTATTAAACAATGTGTTTCAGAGTATTTTTTATATGTTGCAATAAGCAAACAAGGTATTCAATCATGTGGATTTATTTTTGGATTCAAACAAGTTCCATTTAGCATCCATTTATCACACAATTTCAAATCATAAATACCAAATGTATAACCACTATCACACACGAAACTGACAATATTTAAATCACACCAAGATAAAAACTGACAGCTGTCTCAATCTTGGGAATAATTTACATTTCTCTTCCCCAATCCTTGATGTCTCAGTAATACTGATGCTGCCAAAACATCTACAGAGTGCTATATTTGAAGTTACATAATATGCATTACTGCGTGCCATTAAACACGACTGGTAGTAAGCACCAGATGTACCTATGTCTGAATACATCACCAATAGTCCTACGACTGCCCAACATATATCTCACTTTGTATTGATTGTTCAGTTTTAAAAGATTGTTTGGGGAATTTTTCAGCTTTCTTGAATCCTTTCATCTGACAGTGCAGAGTATTGCTGTATGTTTTCATCTGACAATGTCCAAGATGGCAGACCAATATATTTCTCACACTCAGTATTCTTCGATAACCTCAGAATCACAGGTATCATCTACATATCTCCTTCCCTCCCACCCCCCAACCCCCCATCCTCCACCCCAATCTTTTCCTTCAATCACCTCAGACTCATACATATCTCCTCCCCCCCCCACCCACAATCTTTCCTCTCCATCACCACAGAGTCACAGGTATCATTTACATATCTCCTCCCCTCCCACCCCCCACCCTCCCCCCCCCCATCCTCCACCCCAATCTTTTCCTTCAATCACCTCAGACTCATACAATCACCTCAGACTCATACATATCTCCTCCCCCCACCCACAATCTTTCCTCTCCATCACCACAGAGTCCCAAGTATCATTTACATATCCCCCACCCCCAATGAATCTTTCCTCTCCATCACTTCAGAGTCACAGGTATGATTTACATATCCCCCCCCCCCCCCACACACACAATCTTTCCTCTCCATCACCACAGAGTCACAGGTATCATTTACATATCTCCTCTCCAATCTTTTCTTTCGATCACCTCAGAGTCACAGGTATCCTTTACATATTCCTCTCCCCCACCCCCCCCCCCCACCCCTCATCAATCTTCCTCTCCATCACCTCAGAGTCATAGGTATCCTTTACATATCTGTCCCCCCCACCCCCACCACCCATCAATCTTTCCTCTCCATCACCTCAGAGTCACAGGTATCATTTACATATCTCCTCTGAATGTCTCGGGTATCATTTGTCCACTTAACCTCTGTTAATGTTAATATAATGTTTAACTCATTGAAATAAAAGTGAGAACATAAAACACTTACCCTGTCTTCTTTGCTCTTTCCTCACGTATAGCAGGCAGCCTCATCCCCCCTGTATGACCAATGGAAAAAGACATTTTGAAATCATACATCCCATGTTACATCAAAACTTTTAATGAATTGTTAACATTATATTAGTTTTTACTATCAAAATGCTCATTGAATTGTATAGAGACTCAAAAACAATTAAAATCTTGATTAATGAGACACAGGAATGATTGGAAATAATGTCTGAATGTAAATGCCTATTCATTAAAAATATTACTGAAAAATGTAGTCATTTTGGAGCAATCAAATAATAGCACATTATCGCCAAGTAGCAAAATCATATTGGTTACAGATAAACAAACATGATTCTATCTAATATATCACCCAGAATGCATTAATGAGTCAAATGGAATCTATAAACACATTCTGACAATCACACAATTTCTTGTTAAGATATTTATTAGGATTTGAAAAGAATATAATGAAAAGGAATATTACCAAGTACTAGGGTATGGAGGGAATTGCAACTTAATCCACTTTATAAAACCATGTATCTTTACCTTCTGAACATTCTATGATTAAGTCTTTATCATCTATTCAGCAAGGGAAGCCATACAGACCTTGTGATTTCTCTAAATCTTTATACAGAGTATTGGCTATTTGGCACTGATAAAAGTGCGATAGAGTTTGAAATGTATAGGTTCTATGGAGCTAAAGATAATACCTACCCTTTTGAACATAGTCTCCATCAATGTCTATTTCAAAGTCATCATCTGTACCATTTCTATAGCAACCAGGTCTAAATGGATTGGAACTGACTGGTCGTTTTAGAGGTGAACATAAACCACTGCCTTCAAATTCACCCGGTGGTAAAATATTGGTGTAGTAGAGTTGACACTGTCCTCCCTTTAGCCACACAGGGAAAGCTGAGTCAAAATACTGATGAGCCATTCTGTCAGGATCATCACTTTTCTGAATTCGTTTTGCACGTTCTTGCCATCGAAATAAGAACAAATGTCGTTCACAACTTTTATGACCAAATTTTGCTGCTATAGATAAAGCAGTCGCACCATCTTCATCTTCAGCATCTATATCGGCTCCTGAATCGATACAAAAAGACATCACCAATAAAAATAGATAACATGTACTGTCAATATAAAGTGAATTAAACTATCTCGGGAAAAAAAATCCTTCAAATTTTCTTCTATATTCATACATAAGTATTTTTTTTCTCAGAAGTTGAGAAGAGTTGGTTGAGGGGGGGCGGGGGGAGGGGTTGTTGTTTTGTCTATTTTCACATGTACAAAACCTATGTGGATCATTTTGGTTTGTTTTCCTCTTTGAAATTTAGCAAATTCTTATCTATTGTGACAAACTGCAACAGGTAACATCATATATATCACATTACTGACAGCACAACAATGTAAAATGGAAATAACATATTACAGAAATAAGTTCAGATACCCTTTTCAAGAAGCACATCAACTATATGTCCACGGCCCTGAGCAGCAGCCACATGGAGGGCAGTTCTGCCTAAAGGTGTACAGGCATTTACATCAGCACCTGCAAGGTAAAATCCAGGTTAATGTCACTATCACTTACAACTTCTCATTCAACCAGTAAACAACACCTAACAATGGACCATTGTTATATCAAATGGACAAGAAACATGGCATGGCCAATATCGAAACATTTATATTCCATCTGACTATCATAGTAGAAATGATTCATAGCTGGAAGCTTCTGATGTATGTTAATGAATATCTCCTTCACTTCATGGTTATGTAGTAGAAATTTTTTTCTTATTTCAAACATCTTTGTTGAAAACCTTAACTATATCAAATTACATGTAGTATTAATTTGGTAACTATAAGAGCCTTATCACTGTAAATGTTGCCATCCTTTTCATCACAATACTCACCACAATCAATTAATTGTTGAACTAGTTTGTCATGACCCCTGTGAGCTGCTATGAACAGTGCAAGAAAGGCTCGCTCCTCTAACCAGATTTTTCTGGCTCGTTTTGTCATGTAGTCACTCTGTGGAGTTTTATATGTTGTTGGATTTGTGACACCTAAACTGAATACCTGTGCAAAAAGCATGAAATATATCATAAGTGGGTATCACACATTGATATAGACGTAGATATATAGACACAATTTTCTTTGTTGTGAATAGATTGTCAACCGAACAAGTTAATTTTATGGCACTTTTAAAAAATGTATTTTTGGTATTGGTGGTGCAACTTAAATGTCTCTTGAATATCGAAAGTATTAAATCTACTCAGTGTAAGACCTACCCATTCTGCGTCATTTGATGATGCTGCATCTATTAATTCCTTCCACATCGGCCAGACATTTAGATTCAAGGTTGCGTTTGGAACAATGTCATTGGATCGTATGTCAGATCTGTCAAGAAGGTCACCTGAAAAATTCCATTTTAAAATGTAACCCTGTTCAATACTAGCCATAATGTATCATTTGGCTAGAGAGATCTTCTATTGAGTTTGATTGGTTGAGTGCTAGTTAACCAGTGGTCCCTGGTTCGAATTCTAGTGGAGGCATTGAAATAAATAATGACCTTTGTTACAAAAACAGGACCTCAAAATTAATTTTCTTGTTTGTACTGTGTGTCAACTTGGTGAAACAATAACATCATATCAATTAGATTAAACAAAGTACTTAAGCTAAATAAAAAGTCACTTAATGATACCAAAAATAGCAGAGAGCAGGGGTCAAAGAGTAAAGTAGGTAAAAAAATGTGATCATATGAAAGACATTAATTAAGGTTAAATACAAACTGTAAAAGACGCATTTAACATAAATCATAACCACTACAGGTTGATCAATTCAAATAGCAGAGGCACAATATAATTATCCACTGAGTAGGTAGTACTGAAATATAAGACTGATTTCCGACTGATATGATCACAACACATGTTAAGATAAAATCAATGTCACGGTTCATGCATCCTCTATGACAATAACACTGTGGGAATACAGCTCTTTGTACATGTACATCTGTTCGATTAAATATCTAAGAGGCTATCAAACACCAATATTATTTAGATTATTTAACTTACCATCATCTAGATAGCTTATCCTTTGCATGTGGATTGGTATTCCTGTTGCGAATTCCATATATTGCTTCAAGTCTGATATTTTCATGTCACCGCTCATATTTTTCAGGGGAAATATTTCTCCAGTATACAGTCTCACATTTATAGTGAATGCATGTCTCTCCCGGCCTGTCTGGGCGCGACTCTTTGCCCGTAAAGCCATTTTCATAATCTGAATAGTCACCTGTCAAGCACCGTAATGTTAAATTTGTCAACTGTCATAAACTGTCAGTTTCACAATTCACTTTCTCTTTTTTCATCAGATGTAATTTCCTTGATGGTCACTAGATACCACGTCAGACGATATCCGAGGCATTCACAGATGATTTAAATTAACTTTCTACATAACGATATCGCCGTTTCGATTTGTAGCATGAAGAAAATCATTGCGGTTTTGCCGGTTCACTTCTTAACGTCTTCCTCCATATTGTTTACATTTGTGACCATAGTTTCGTAGTACCGCACAGAATAATGCAAAATAAATATATGTATTTATCAATCATATTTTCCTTTTATTTCTATTCCTTACACGAAGTGACATCAAACTCGTATCATAAAATACTCCACAAACCCTGTCTCTTGTTTTATAAATAAAAATAAATCATTCTGACCGTTACTGCTATACACAGGAACTACTTCCGGTATTACCAAAAAGATGCTGCGGTCACTCAGAAAACTCCACACATTAGCTGTATGTATTAAGCTGTTTATGATGTGCAACATTTTGTTTTATTCTTTGAAAAACATGTAATATAATGCTTCTATGTGGTTATTTATAATGCAATGACGAATTGGAATCGAACATCAGTTTTTGAAATACATGGAGGTCATTTGACTTCTGAAGTTTTCCTACGTCGGATCACAAATGTTTCATAACAACGTTGCTGGTCAGTTTATTGGATGGTTATCGTCACTTTTTTCAATACACTGCAATATTTCTACGTTGTTGCAATATATATATATCAGTGAAGTGGGAAAATGAAAGGTCACCTTTTTCATTGTTGGCAATGTTGCGATATATTGCAATGGTAATGAACAAAATGTACCAAAATGGAATTGATTGACCGGGTTGTTTTCTCTTTATTTAGAAACAATTCATGATTATTTTATTCCTCTGCTTTTGGAAGATTCCCTGTCTCCTATGATACAGATCACGAGCACTGGTCTCCCAGAATGATATAAAAAAGAAATGGGTATTCGGGAGAAATGCGTGGTTAATGTCTTTAAATCAAGATAAATGTAAAGTCCTCCACATAACATAAAAATCCTTATCTTTGGCAACAACCTTCATGGACAGACCCCTCAGCAAAATATTTAGGCCCAACTTAACTGAAAACTTAAAATTTTCCTTGCATACCAATAACATCAGCAACAAAGCCAATACATCTCTAAGATTTATCAGAACATTAAGACATCTGATGTAAAGACAAAAGAGTTTGCCTACAAAACATATGTATATGCACCTGAAATGTTGTAGCCCCATTTGGGATCCATGGCAGGCAAATTTACAACATTGAAATGGTCCTTAGAAAAAAAGCAGCCAGATTTACATTTGGTCACTAAAGACACACCAGCAGTGTCACAGACATGCTCATAACTCTTAACAGGCCTTCTCTTGAACATGTATGAAACTTGCTTCTATCTGTCTATTTTACAAAATAATAACTTGTTCAGTTGCTTGTGATGATGATCTCTAGTTCTTACAACATACTCAACATCAAAAATTTCAGATACTTCACAGGACTATAACCTATTACTCAAAACTCATTCTTCCTCAAAACAAACAGAATTTGGAACAGCCTGCCAACTCGCATTACCAACAGCAAGACCTTGCGTATTGACAGTATTATTGCACTTAAATATGGTCACAATCAGTAGTAGGCAGTCTCTTATTCCTTCTTTCTTGTAAGAGGATAAGGTAGAATGTAGTTTGTTATGTGGTATAAATATTCCAAAATTCACTAAACATCCTTTTGCTATCATTGATCTTTATAACAGATTTTAAAATGACCTTATACAGTAATGTCAAGAACTTTTTTTATATCAATCTTTACGTATGGACTTAATAAATTATCTTTATTCCAGGTGGGCCAATTGAGGACCCTGCACAGATCAGTACCTGCATGTGGTTCCGGTCCACTTCCTGTGGTGAGATATTCAATATTTAGTACAAAGAATAGGGATTTTGTTTGTGGATATCATCACTTGAAGGATGAACAGTAACATGTACAGACTGAGATATGAATTATTTATATTGTATGTATGATACGTCATGTTGAAACTTTGCTTTGATTCTGTGCTAAACTTTCATGATGTATTTTCAGCACCGCGACTCTCCAGAAAATAACCCTGACACACCGTTTGAATTCTCAGCAGAAAATAAAAAGGTAGTACTCTTTGTTTTTAAGACGTTCAAACATTGTAGATACTATCAGTAACTATAAAAATTTGTAGTTAGATATTTATTCTCTGAGCTTCAATCACATAATTTCATATATATATTTTTGAATGTTTATAAGATGTATTAGATAAACATCTAAAAACCTAATATTTTTGCTTAGGTATATATTATTATATATGAAAAGTTATGTTAGGGAGTGTATGTATCATTTAGACAAATTATAAACTCTATAGAATGTCTGATGATATATAGTTTATGTGAAAATACATGATATTTATTTAGAAATGTTCTACAGGATGCATTCTGGTAAAAGGTTTATGGTGTGACAGTCACTTAATACCCTGCCTGTGTCAGAAGCAATAATCCTGTATGTAAATACTTAAGTAATAGATATTGATTAACATAGTGTTTTACCGGTAGATACTCTCCATGATTGTTTCAGAGAGCAGAGTTGATTATAAACAACTATCCTGAAGGACATCAAGCAGCAGCAGTCATTCCGATCCTTGACATAGCCCAACGACAACATGGTACACACTTTAACACTTCAAAATGCTGCCATGGATAAATGATTTAGAGAACAATCTATAGTGGATGGCACTAGGACAAAGAATCTTGACATAATGCATAACAAATTCCTTTTCTTTTTACTGAAGGGAAAAAGACAAGAGAAAGGCTAAGTGCTATTCAATCTATCAGTTCTTAATGTTATTTGGAGGAGGGGGGTGGGGTGAGGGATTAAGTAGTAATTGTGTCAATGGAAACACCTGGAGCTGCCTTTTCCTGTTTGTTTTGTTGAGTAAGAAACCTTACTACCAAGAAAACAGAGTATATTTTATGGTCATGTTAGGGTGAAGGGAGGTAACTTTAGCTATTCTTTTTCATCCAAGGTTGGCTACCAATATCTGCTATGCATAAAGTTGCTGATATGCTGCAAATGCCGAAGATGAGAGTTTATGAAGTAGCAACGTTTTACACAATGTTTAATAGGTAAGCAATGTTTTATGCTATTTGGTAAAGATCTGATGAAAAACATTTTGCACAATGTACAAGGAATGGGAGATCCAATGTCAACATAAACTATGCAGTAATGTTTTGTGATGTCCAGCTGACAGACTCCACAGGGAATACAAGAGTCCAGCCATAAAATAGAGTCATCCATAGGTAAAGGTGACAGTGTCTGGCTGGGTTGATCTGCTTTAATCAAGGATGTTGACTAGTTTCAACACTTAGGAGTGTTGTCATCAGAACAAATTTAAAATATGTGTATAACCATTTGGTATAACGTACAAAACATGGTGCCTAGCTTAGGAACAGTAACAACAATGCTGAAGTAAACGATGTAAATCAAAGTACACAGTCAAATGATGTCAGCTACTGTTGATGTCATGTAATTGTGTACTTTGTATAATAGTTGATGTCATTATGTACTTTGTATTACATCATCAACTTTATTTTCGAACATTCTCTTGAAAATATATAAGAATACTCTTGCTAACATCAGGTTAATATTTTTAAGTTGAAATTGAATTTCTGGAAGTTATGGAAATGGAAAGTGCTTATATGGTGCCTCATTGAAGTTTGTATGGTTTGTTGACAGAGAGCCTGTAGGTAAAAACTTTGTACAGATATGTACGACAACACCATGTATGCTTGGTGGGGTGGGATCTGATGTCATTCTTCAAGCCATCAAAGATAACTTAGGTAAGCCATGTTTCTACACACAATATTCACAGATACAGCACTGTTTAGATCCTATGTTTGTAATATAACTTGTTTTGGTGAATGGAATTTGAATATATCATTTGATTTTAGCACTTTATATCAACAAGTTCACAATGAAATACAGTTTCTATTCATATTTTTTATATGAATTCAATTGGCACTAATTATATTAATTTTCCAGTTTTGTTTTATATTGTATTACAGGAATTAATGTTGGAGAAACAACAGCTGATGGACAGTTTACCCTTATAGAAGTAGAATGTCTGGGAGCTTGTGTGAATGCCCCCATGGTCCAAATCAATGACAACTATTATGTAAGTGGAATCTGGAGAAAGGGCTTTGACTAGAGATTCTTTATTTTTAAGTTGCAAAACCCTTTAGGGTAAATAGAAACACTAAGTTTATGGCGTGACTGTGGGGTAAAGGGATAGATATATTAGGCTTCTGGTGGGGTAAAGAGATAGATATATCAGGCTTCTGGTCTGACCCAGGATAAAGAGATAGATATATTAGGCTTCTGGTCTGACCGTGGGGTAAAGAGATAGATATATCAGGCTTCTGGTCTGACCCAGGATAAAGAGATAGATACATTAGGCTTCTGGTCTGACCGTGGGGTAAAGAGATAGATATATCAGGCTTCTGGTCTGACCCAGGGTAAAGTGATAGATATATCAGGCCTCTGGTCTGAACCTGGGTAAAGAGGTACATATATCAGGCTTCTGGTCTGACCCAGGGTAAAGAGATAGATATATTAGGCCTCTGGTCTGACCGTTGGGTAAAGAGATAGATATATTAGGCTTCTGGTCTGACCTTGGGGTAAAAAGATAGATATATTAGGCCTCTGGTCTGACCGTTGGGTAAAGAGATAGATATATTAGGCCTCTGGTCTGACCGTTTGGTAAAGAGATAGATATATTAGGCCTCTGGTCTGACCGTTGGGTAAAGAGATAGATATATTAGGCCTCTGGTCTGACCGTTGGGTAAAGAGATAGATATATTAGGCCTCTGGTCTGACCGTGGGGTAAAGAGATAGATATATTAGGCCTCTGGTCTGACCGTTGGGTAAAAAGATAGATATATTAGGCCTCTGGTCTGACCGTTGGGTAAAGAGATAGATATATTAGGCCTCTGGTCTGACCGTTGGGTAAAGAGATAGATATATTAGGCCTCTGGTCTGACTGTTGGGTAAAAAGATAGATATATTAGGCCTCTGGTCTGAACCTGGGTAAAGAGATAGATATATTAGGCCTCTGGTCTGACCGTTGGGTAAAGAGATAGATATATTAGGCCTCTGGTCTGACCGTTGGGTAAAGAGATAGATATATTAGGCCTCTGGTCTGACCGTTGGGTATAGAGATAGATATGTTCTGGTCTAAAGTTTTTATGATACCTTTAATAAGATATGGATAATGTATTTAGGTAAATTGAAGATTACCTGTGTGCAGTTTCAAATTCAATACTTGATTTTTTTTCACAGGAGGATTTAACAGTAGAAGACATTAAGAGAATATTAAATGAAATTAAAGCTGGTAAATCACCGAAGCCTGGACCTCAGTAAGTGTTCACTTGCTTTGATCTTTAAACCTGTGATTTATTCTGAAAGTATTTAGTTGGAAGTATATTTCTTATTAAAAAAAACCATGAAATTGGAATAGGTTCTGCAATTGTGTTGTAAAACATTGGTTCAAATGATGTACAAATTTCCTGGCATTTTGTTTACAGGAGTGGCCAGAATGGACGTTTCGCCTCAGAGCCTAAAAGTGGCCTCACTTCCCTCACAGAGCCTCCAACAGGGCCAGGATTTGGTGTGAGATCAGATCTGTAATTTGTGGCACATATAAACATAAGAAACAAAGTCAGGACTTTACTGGGAGACAAAGTCTCCCACAAATGTAGAATGTTTTATTGACGTGTTACATTTTGTATATATTTAAGTTTAAGGAAAATTTCCTTGAATAAAACTAGTATGAATTTACATATTTGTTACATATTTTCATTATTAATCATCAAAATTTTAATAAAATGTATTGTAGAATTTATTTGGAGATCTCCTTCCACAGTTTTCAACAGACCACTTTCAAACTTACTAGGAGCTTAATCACTATGACATGAAGTTTTCTTTCCCAGAGCAGCAGTTAATTAGCTGCATTCGGAATAGTTTGTGCTTCCAAATTTCTTTTATATTAATCTTTTGGGAGATCCTTATTTTCAACTGATTTCTTTGTGGACTTAAAATTATGATATGAAATTGTGTTTCCTGAATAGCAGTTCAATTCAATAATTTACACTTGTTTTTTTGTCGGTGGGTGGGTGGTGGGGAGGCATTTTTACTAATAATACAATTTATGAGTATATGAACATTCATTATGGCCTAGTAAATCATGACTTTCTTTGCCATGAGGCAGGTGTATGCTTTTTCACCCTGGGGTACTAGTGTTGGCAAAGTAGAATTATTTCTCGTAAAAAAAGAATGGACTGACTTTGTGCTTTGTTATGTAACCTGTGATATTGTCAATGATTAGTCCCAGGACAACTGTCATGACATCTTTATGTGAATGAAGAGACCAATATTATTTTATGGTCCAGGAGACGAGAAATAATAGTACATGACAGAAGAGACTGATATTATGTTGTGGTCCTTCAGACAAGAAATAACACATGATTGAAGAGACCAATAATACTTTGTGGATCCCAAGACAAGAAATAATAACACATGACGGAAGAGACCAATATTATTTTGTGGTCCCTGTGACAAGAGATAATGACACATGACTGAAGAGATTGATATTATTTTAAGGTTCCACTGACGAAATAATTAAATGATAGAAGAAACCAATATTATTTTGTGGTCCCCAAGACATAAAATAATAACATATCACTGAAGACACCAATATTACTTTGTGGTCCTCAAGACAAGAAATAACAAGATAACTAAAGAGACTCATACTGTCATCAAAAATTGTATTGTATCAAAAGTCTTTGACAATTTTACAATCATAATGTTATACAATTTTGTATGATGTCCACATCAGTTTGCACCTATAATTTAGTTTTTTCCTGAATATCTTGACGCTAGATATTGCACATACATTTCTAAATATATATTTTCACACTGATGAACAAAATGATGTACCACATATCTTGAATTCTTTACCAAATGTGAGGTTCATTGACATAATATATTGAATATAGCCATGGCAATTTAATCACATCTACTATGAAATGGAAACAATAACTTACATCATGACAATCTATTCATAAAATGCTGTAATGTTGAGAATTAAGGTTTACCATTATGTTATATATTTCTAGTAAATAGTAAGAGAAACATATATACCAGCTTTTATCCTAGGTTGGGATCCATATAGTGTACAGTTACATTATATCCAGAATAAATAGCAGAAAACTCTTCCATCTGCAATGCATTTAAGAATTAAAACAGCTTTTCAGTCTTAATCAAGAATAAGTGTCAATCATTCTGAAGAAAAGTCCCTATATAATTTGTCCACATTTGTACAAAATTTTGTAAGAGTCTCAAATTGTCGTATAATGTTAGCTATCCTCATTTCTGGAAGTTCTGTCGTGATAATTGTAAAGAGGTGGCCAAAAACTAAACTATCCAATTCTGTTGGTCTGAAAAAAAAAAGAAAATTACACTTCAATTTTTTTTTGTCTTTTTCTTTCAGTTGATAAACTTTACTGTATATGTTGCTATGAAAGTATTTTGAAAAGAAATGGCAAAATTTTCTTTTTTTTCTAAGTAAGTTCAAAACATCATAATGATATGTCATATCTTATCATTACATGGCAAATTTCCAACTCTCTACATAAACTTTTCATCACAAAAGTTCACCCTTAACCATAAGTCACTTACTTCTCTCCGAAGAAATATGGATTTGTCCCAAGTCTATCAGACAATGCCTGACAGCAAGTACTGACCTCACAACAAACCTGCAAAAAAATGTCAAATCAGCTCTTCAAATTTCAACAAACCATCTATTAAGCATCAAGTTATCGTTCAATTGTATGCAATGCATTTTTGTAATTATAAAAATAAATTATGGTTTGTGTCATATAGCATGATTAATTGTTAATTGATAGGGATAATTGATGCTGTTCTTGTTTCAATGTAATTCTTCCACAAAGTGTACAGAGTTTTTCATTGTCAAGAGATTTTTAATGCCCTGCTTACAACAATACCTCATCAAATGTCTTCTTAGACCAGCCTACACTGCCTAGTCTCATCTTAACATCTCGCTGTTTTAATCGGGGAAGTATCCAGGATAACGGCTGAGGCTGTACCACACTATAACGTGGTATAGTTACCTGAAGGTTTGTAATGAGAGCATATCACTTCATAACACAATCAGCAGTCATAAGACATGCCATAATTCGGTATTGTTATGTGTCGGTCTGTAAGATTGGGAAAGAAAGCATACAATGATGTAAGAAATCATACGGGCAGCAGGCACTTGTAATCTAGAATTTATATACTTGCTATGAATGCTTTTTCATAAGGAAATATAAATGGAAAATCTTTACTAAATGTATTTTTTTCAGCAAATGAAACATCAGAGTATTGATAAAAATCTAAATGCAGGTCATAAATATAACAGAACAAATGTATAGATATAATTACCTCTTTTACAACATCAGGAATTATCCAACTCAGGTACAACTGAAAATAGAATATACATTCATTATATCTACAACAAAATATATACACCAACACTGACACAGAATACTTAATATTTAATATTATCCCTAATAAATGTCTCCTAGCTCTGACCTGGTATAAATGCCTGTGAGATTTAAAACGTAACCATGTAGTGATACCCATTCTTGTCGATCAGAGGCCAACTTATAAATTTCAGTGGTGAAATCTTGTTTTCTCAAAGTTATATACTGTTACCATCCAGGTTTTATCCAAATCGGAATGTAAGAGAAAATGATTGACTATGGGAAATGGTTTATGAGAGATTGCTGAATAAAAATGTTTTATGTATATGTTAATTTAAAAGGTGGCATGAGTATGTTCATCTGAAACTTACAAGCATTTTTTTTCTCTTTTTTAACTTTCCTTTTCTAATTATGACCTACCAGAAACCAAGAGTAATATTGCCTGACAGAAATCACAAATATTACATTGTAGGTGGATGATATAAAGAAATTAACTGAAAACAATCATAACAAGCATACTGGGTATTACTAAAGCAATACATGGCCCCTACTTGCCACTTTTAGTTATCAAACTGTATTGATTTATAAAGATAGTGCTGTTGCTGTTAATTTGGTTAAAAAAGGAAAAGTATACCATGTGATAAATAAGTACAACAAGCTGACAAGTTTCATTACCAATGTGTAATGATGTGTTATGTTCATTTGTAAGCAAGGAATGAAAACTAGAGTGCTGATAATGACATTATAAATAGTAATGGTGACCTTGATCTTGACCCAACAATCTTGAAACTTAAGCTTGTTCCAAAATATGTTAGCCCTTAAACGTGTGTGAAATTTGATGAGAAACCCTCAAGGAATGAAACCTCTAGAGCGCTGACAATGATGTTCTGAAAATAGTAACAGTGTTAAGAATACTTAAGACTGACCCTCAGGTCAGTGTTTTATGTTAAGAATAATTAAGTTTTCCCATCAGGTCAGTGTATAATGTTAAGAATATTTAAGGCTAACCCTCAGGTCAGTGTTTTGTTAAGATAAAAATCCTTACCTCTGCATTAACAAGAATATTATCAACCATAGCCATGTATGCCTTCATATCTGACCGCTGAGCATCATCTAAATGATCACTTATACTGAATCCCTGAAACAGTGAGAATAAGTGTTATTATACTGCTTGTATACTACATAAGCAGTTGTTGTCATACATAAAAGGTTCTTATGATAAAGAAATAGTCTTTATGGTTTATAACAGTATCTGGGTCAATATACTATTTTTTCATATTTACATGGCAGAACTTATGCATAAATCAGTCTGAGACTTACTATTATCACTAAATTTAAAATGTACACTACGTCTTTAATGTCACTAAACTTTATAAAGTAAGATATTCTTTCTCTGAATTCATGCCTTTTCCAAAACAGGTTGGATAAATACAGTATTTTACTTACCCTTTGATTAACAAATGCTACTATAGGCTCAAACTCTGATGTCAAAAATGGCCCAACTTTTATAAATGGCACTTTACCTAAAATAAAGTTTCATATATATTTGAAAGTTCTATAATACCACTCAACAGTTGAACATTACACTGATTTTTATTTTTGCAAATGACAATCACATGCATACCATGGCTATCAACAGACCTTGATCCTAAACAAATGTAAACCTGAATCCTTTTACTGTAGTGATACTGAAGTGTAATTGGTTATCGAGGCAAACAAGTGATTGATATAAGCTGATAAAAATTCTATCAAAGTTCTTTTACTGTAATTAAAATTTAGAAATTTTTGTTTTGTTTTCTGTTTCTTGTTTTTTTTAATGGGACTTTCAGCTTTGTATAAATACACTTTTGCAAGTTCCTGTTACAACAAAAAGTAGACAGAGAAACTCATCAGGGTTATAGATAAAGATCATGATGTTGTTTTAATAAGAATCAGACATTGTTTGAATCATTCATAACATATATTATATTAAACACAGTGGATATTTACCTGACGGAGACATTTCTTCTGCATTAGTTCTCAGCTCTTCTCTATAATTTAATCCACACATGTGGAGAAAAGTTTTCACACTAAGGCAGGCAGCATGGTCAGGGAGTGTGATCTGTTCAACTGATAAAACATTTTAATTAGAAAACGTTTTTGACTAATCCACATTAAAAGTGATATTCTTCTTATCTGAAAATTGAAAACCCATTTGAATGCAGAGTCATGGTTGAGTTAAAAGTGCTCAAATCTCATAGTTATATTTTCTGTTCTAAATATCCTAATTTGATATCCATATATTTATTTTCAGGTTGGAGGGGGTTATCATATTCATTCTGTTATTTATTAGATTAATTCAGCATACAATTTGTGTGTGTTTGGACTGCTGATATCATCATTTGGTCATCAATCCTTCTGACCTGGGGAGATATTTACCAGGCAATATCATTACAAAAGGTCATAAGGTCAATGATCCTGTAGCTCAAGGGAGATAATGCCACTACATCTTGGTCATATGGTCACTGGTCCATTACTCCGAGGGACATAATTACCAGGCAATATCACTATACCTTTGTCATAAGGCAGGGCTCTCAATCTGCCAGATTAGGGGCCGATATTCGGCCCCGTTCCCAATGCAAAATAGTATCTTTTTTTCCAAATTTAGACCCCAAGTTTTCCCAATTTTAAGGAAAACACCATTATTTTTCTTAATTCTAAGGGCCCCGTGCCTCAGTCCCAAAATGGGGTGTGAGAGCCATGTAAGGTCCATGATCAATCAGACCAAGGGAGTCAATTATAGGTAATATCATTACATCCTGATCACAATGTCACTAGTTCATCAAACCAAGGGAGATAATTACCTAGCTATATCACTATACCCTGATCATAATGTCATCAGACCAAGGGAGATAATTACCTAGCTATATCACTACATCATCATAATGTCACCAGTCCATCAGACCAAGGGAGACAATAATAGTAAATATCACTACATCCTGGTTATAATGTCGCCAGTCCATCAGACCAAGGGAGATAATTATTTAGCTATATCACTACATCCTGATCATAATGTCACCAGTCCATCAGACCAAGGGAAACAATTACCACCTATATCACTACATCCTGATCATAATGTCACCAGTCCATCAGACAAAGGGTTGCCACTTCTTCAACCCTTGGGAAATAATAATATGCAATAACACTAAACTCTAATCATGACATTATCAGGCCATTAGACAGTGGAGGTTTTTTGAGCAATATCACAACAACCAATAAGAACTTCAAACATACCTTGGTATTGCTGAAAAAACTGCACATCATCTGGCCACCGTTCAATGGCTGAAGAAAAAAAATCAATATTAATCCGATTATATCTATTTTAGGCATCGATAAACAAGTCAATAATTTGCTTTTGTTTATAAATAGAACCAACATGACATCACATTGTTTTACTTTGAGTATTTTTTGGATTTTTTAACTAACATAAGTATTGGTTTCAATTTGTGTAACCTATAGTTTATCAGAATAATCATCCTCTTTAATGTTAAATTTTTAATGACATGTATACACATATATCACATTATATTTCAATTTATGTACTTCTCTGCAGAGTTAAAAAAATCCAGTATTATACATTTTTTATGATGATGAGTTTTCAAAAGGTTTGATTTTAGAAAAATCAATATGTTGCTGCACTACTTCTCAGGTACAGGAATCAGAATATGTGCAACAGGAAATAATTCATTCCATATTATTATTATTATTTTTTCCTAAATCACAGAAATTCTCTTTTATTTTGACAACAATATTTTTTAAAGTAAGGGTATGATACCATGTGAAAATCCTTAGTTTTCAATTAATTTCAAGTGCTTTAAATTGCACAGCAAGCAAGTTCCAAAAAAATGAATAAGATATTTTTCATGATCAAAAAAGAAGGGGACTCTGCACTTTATTTATTTATTTATTTTTTTTTTTTTTGCAATTTTCCCCCTATCAACCAATTTTTTCAACATCAAGAAACCAGCTGAAATATGTATTTTTGGGTCATCCAAAAAAAATTGAAATCTATGATTGTAATGATAATTTATGTAAAATTGAGTTAAAATTTACCAAGACTTCCAGAGTTTATACTCAAAAGAAGTAGCTTAGCAACCAGAAAATGTTGAAATTGTTATCGACCAAATCACACCATCAACTACGTCATTACAAATGTAGTCCATAAATCATCGCTTTATAAGTCCAAGTTTTTATGTTGGAATTCATTTTACATTGAATTATGGCTTACATTTAATTACAGTAAATAATCAGAGGAGTACATCCTTAAACAAGAATGTATGGTTAGTTGTAAGGGTGCATATTCGTCCATTCTGCAATTGCTATATAGTGGTCAACAATTTTAATATTTGTTCATAGTTAAGCTAAATTGTACTTCTCTCAACTATAACTCTGGAAGTCTTGAGTAGATTTCAACGAAATTGTGAAAGAATTATCACGCACCACAGACTTGAAATACATGAATCCTTACTTAATGGATTATTTTCTTTTATTTTCAATAGCCAAAAAAAACATTGCGGTTTTTTAAGCTGTTATCCCTTCTTTTCAAATCATGAAAAATGTCACCTAATGTTTTCAAGATAGCACTTCGAGACTTTTCTTTGCATCAATGTGTCTGAGTTCAGAGAATTTTTTTATCCTCTTTAATAAGATGACGCGTTAGATTTCCAGTGCATTCTCGCAAAGGCGGTTATCTCTAGAAGCAGTACAGTGTAGTGGTTCAGTAAGGTGTCTTAGTGTAGCCTGGTCTGTTAACTAATTGACGCTACTTTCGAAATGGTAGCACATCAGCTACAGATAAACAAAAATCGTTTTAAATTATTAATTTGTACCACCAAGTTCCGTCTGTACAGCTTCCGATACCAAAGACGACATCTTGCTGTATCCGACAAGGTTGTGTTGTCCTTCACCGGAAGTTTTTCTTTCGGAACAGACTCATCGGAACATACTAGTATTTTACCATGCATTTGCTTAATGGTTGTCTACTTTCACTTTGACAAAATCATAAAACACTATATATCACAACAACAGCTAATCGTCTTTTCTATATTGTCATCCAACAATAAAGGTCGTTCGCTGGTTTAAATTATACAAGGGAGTATGAGAACCAACAAAAAGCTCTGATGGTTATTGGAATAAAGAGGCAATATTGTGATAATAGTTTGATTAAACATGCGCGACTGTACATGTGAATATGACAGAAACGAGGTAATGATGATGTACGTGATGATTGTCGGAAAAAAAGAAATAGTATATTGATATTGAATGTCATAATAAAGGAGTAATGTTGTGATGATTGTTTAATTTTAGAGGTGCGACCGTGGTTATGCCGGATGAAAGACGTGATAATATTGGATTTCGGATTAAAAAGGCGATATGGTGATGATTGTCGGATTAAAGGGTTGACAGAACTGTTATATTTTCGAATTAAAGAGGGTATATTTTAATGATTGACTGTTAAAGAGGAAATATTGTGATCATTGTCAGATCAAATATCTGTAATTGTCGTCGGATCAAAAACACTGATAAATGACGGATTAAAGAGATGATACTGCGATAGTTGTCGGATCGAAGAGATGACATTTCAGTGGTTTACGGACTAAAAAGTGAAAGTTTGATGGTTGTTTCAGATTAAAAAGATGTAACTGTGATCGTTGTTGTACTTCAGAGGTGACATGCTAACTGCCAGTGTCATTACATTGTATTCACACAATACTGACGGCCGGATTAACGGGTCAGTAGGCTACTCGGACATTGAACAGCTTTAGTGTTATGCTTGCCGACACACTAAATAGGTGGTACTGCAATTGCCGGCAGATTAATTAGGGACAACGTTCGGACCTGACCGCGGCCAAACAGTAAACATTATGGTTACTGACCGCCGGATTAAAGGGTCCGTATAGTAACGGATACCCGAAAACAGAAAAAATCACTGCATTGGTCGTTGGATTAAGGGGGTAGTTCTGTGTAAGCTAGAATTATGCGTTTACACGACCACACGGAGGACAGTGCGTCCCCGTGGTGTACCTCGGTATCAGATCAATACTCTCTCTCTAGCATCTCCTGGCTCTAACGGTGTACCGTTATTCTAGTGCTGTAAAGCTCGTAGAGTTCACAGCAATGTCAGAAGAAACGGCACCAGAGATGACTACTGAGACTAAAACAGAGGAAACTGGACTTCCCGAACCCGCAAAGAAACCACAAATGAGGGCTATCACCCTTACGGGATTCGGTGGACTGAAGATGCTGAAGACTGTACAGAAGGATGTGGCAAGTGTGAAGGAAGGCGAGATTCTGATCCGAGTGAAAGCCTGGTAATGTTATATAGCGCCACCAATATCGATTCAGGGTTGTACACGGTAACATATGGTTAATGTTTTAAGCGTGATTGACAGTAAATACCGTTCAGATTTATACATAGCAAAATTACTTTTTGAGTACATTCATAGAATTTGTAATTACATTATATTTTTACATTGTTATCATACCATTTCGCTATTGTATTTTAAGTATCACCCGTCTGTCAATGTTGATGGATGCTTAAGGAAGGTCTACTATTGATACGATTCACGGACGAATCAATAATGTCCTTGCTACTGAACATTGTTTACTTCTGAGCAGCGCTGTTCTCGTTACCAAATGCTAAGTACGTGTCCAGTAGGTCAGATAATACAGATCGACAATGTCATTGACAAGAAATAGTAGAGAAATTGAGATTATTGTTGACACCAATCTCTAACCATCACTCTCCATATGTCGTCTTTCTATATATTCATATATCTCTATCGCTTGACATCTTCCCTCTATCAACACAACGAATACATATTCACAGCTAAATGGTTCTCTTGTCTCTAGTGTGGATGGTAAATTACTGTCATGTACAAATTATCTCGAGTTTTGACACAAATCGATGCCCGCACTTGACATTCTCAATGCTGCTCTGATTTGTGATTGATTTTGCTGTTAATTTCCTATAGAATAAAAGATCACGGAAATGCAAGGTCACCTACATTGGTTCAGGAATACAAGACAGTTATATACATGTCCACCACGCATGCCATTGTAATGTATTGGCGCATTGTTACTAAAATATACCGATTTTACACACTTCATCCATTTCTTTCTTGTCAGGGGAGTATGTAAACATGTAAATGTTAATGTAATGGTATGATTTGGGAATTTAAAATGCAGTTTTTATAGTACCATCGAAAACGACAGTGTGTGCTATCGATTTTTTTGTATACGGTATAGTATTATGAAATCAATTTTTTAGTTTTTATCCTGGCTGGAAGTCAAACATCTTAAAATCCAGACTTGTCTAACAAAATTACGCCTCGTTATTCTGAATGGAAACTGAAAACTCCAAAATAATAGTCGGTGACGAAAGTCAATGCCAGGCAATCAAGGGCGACAGTTGTTAAATCCCGAATTCTATCGACTACGCACACAATTAAAGTCTAAGTATGTTATCAAATTTTTAACTAAAAAAGTAACCTTATTATCGACAATAAATAAACGTCTGTGAAAAAACATGTCAATCTAGGTGTACTGTCAAACAATACACTATTGACCTTGATGTACTGTCACACAACAATACACCTCACGTCTTTGATGTACTGTCACACAATAATACACCTCACGTCCTTGATGTACTGTTACACAACAATACACCTCACGTCCATGATGTACTGTCATACAACAATGCACCTCATGACCTTGATGTACTGTCACACAACAATACACCTCACGTCTTTGATGTACTGTCACACAATAATACACCTAACGTCCTTGATGTACTGTTACACAACACACCTCACGACTTTGATGTACTGTGACACAACAACATACCTCACGACCTTGATGTACTGTCATACAACAATACACCTCACGTCCTTGATGTACTGTCACACAATACACCTCACATCTTTGATGTACTGTCACACAACAACATACCTCACCTCCTTGATGTACTGTCACACAACAATACACCTCACATTCTTGATGTACTGTCACACAATAATACACCTTATAATCTTGATGTACTGTAACACAACAACACACCTCATGTCCTTGATGTACTGTCACACAACAATACACCTCACGTCTTTGATGCACTGTCACACAACAATACATCTCACGTCTTTGATGTACTGTCACACAACAATACACCTCAAGTCCTTGATGTACTGTCACACAATACACATGACCTTGATGTACTGTCACACAACAGTACATCTCACGTCTTAGATGTACTGTCACACAATACACCTCATGGCCTTGATGTACTGTCACACAACAATACACCTCACGTCCTTGATGCACCGTCACACAATAATACACCTCACGTCTTTGATGTACTGTCACACAACAATACACTCACTTCCTTGATGCACTGTCACACAACAATACACCTCACATCCTTGATTTACTGTCACACAACAACATACATCACCTCCTTGATGTACTGTCACACAACAATACACCTCACATCCTTGATTTACCGTCACACAACAATACACCTCACATTCTTGATGTACTGTTACACAACAATACACCTCACGACCTTGATGTACTGTCACACAACAATACACCTCACGTCCTTGATGTACTGTCACACAACAGCACACCTTACGACCTTGATGTACTGACACACAACAATACACCTCACGTCCTTGATGTACTGTCACACAACAATACATCTCACGACCTTGATGTACTGTCACACAATAACACACCTCACGACCTTGATGTACTGACACACAACAATACACCTCACGTCCTTGATGTACTGTCACACAACAACACACCTCATGTCTTTGATGTACTGTCATATAACAATACACCTCACTACCTTGATGTACTGTCACACAATAACACACCTTACGACCCTGATGTACTGACACACAACAATACACCTCACGTCCTTGATGTACTGTCACACAACAACACACCTCATGTCTTTGATGTACTGTCACACAACAATACACCTCACGTCCATGATGTACTGTCACACAACAATACATCTCACGTCTTTGATGTACTGTCATACAACAATACACCTCACGTCATTGATGTACTGTCACACAACAATACATCTCACATTCTTGATGGACTGTCACACAACAACATACTTCACCTCCTTGATATACTGTCACACAACAATACACCTCACTTCCTTGATGTACTGTAACACAACAACACACCTCATGTCCTTGATGTACTGTCACACAACAATACACCTCACGTCTTTGATGCACTGTCAAACAACAATACATCTCACGTCTTTGATGTACTGTCACACAACAATACACCTCAAGTCCTTGATGTACTGTCACACAATACACCTCATGACCTTGATGTACTGTCACACAACAGTACATCTCACGTCTTAGATGTACTGTCACACAATACACCTCATGACCTTGATGTACTGTCACACAACAATACACCTAACGTCCATGATGTACTGTCACACAACAATACACCTCACGTCCTTGATGTACTGTCACACAACAATACACCTCACATTCTTGATGTACTGTCACACTATACACCTCACGTCCTTGATGTACTGTCACACAACAATACACCTAACGTCTTTCATGTACTGTCACACAACAATACACCTCACTTCCTTGATGTACTGTCACACTATACACCTCAGGTCCTTGATGTACTGTCACAAAACAATACACCTCACGACCTTGATGTACTGTCACACAACACACCTCACGACTTTGATGTACTGTCACACAACAACATACCTCACGACCTTGATATACTTACATACAATAATACACCTCACGTCTTTGATGTACTGTCATACAACAATACACCCCACGTCTTTGATGTACTGACACACAACAATACACCTCACGTCCTTGATGTACTGTCACACAACAATACACCTAACGTCTTTCATGTACTGTCACACAACAATACACCTCACTTCCTTGATGTACTGTCACACTATACACCTCAGGTCCTTGATGTACTGTCACAAAACAATACACCTCACGACCTTGATGTACTGTCACACAACACACCTCACGACTTTGATGTACTGTCACACAACAACATACCTCACGACCTTGATATACTGTCATACAACAATACACCTCACGTCTTTGATGTACTGACACACAACAATACACCTCACGTCCTTGATGTACTGTCACACAACAATACATCTCACGACCTTGATGTACTGTCACACAATAACACACCTCACGACCTTGATGTACTGATACACAACAATACACCTCACGTCCTTGATGTACTGTCACACAACAACACACCTCATGTCTTTGATGTACTGTCATATAACAATACACCTCACTACCTTGATGTACTGTCACACAATAACACACCTTACGACCTTGATGTACTGTCACACAACAATACACCTCACATCCTTGATTTACCGTCACACAACAATACACCTCACATTCTTGATGTACTGTTACACAACAATACACCTCACGACCTTGATGTACTGTCACACAACAATACACCTCACGTCCTTGATGTACTGTCACACAACAGCACACCTTACGACCTTGATGTACTGACACACAACAATACACCTCACGTCCTTGATGTACTGTCACACAACAATACATCTCACGACCTTGATGTACTGTCACACAATAACACACCTCACGACCTTGATGTACTGACACACAACAATACACCTCACGTCCTTGATGTACTGTCACACAACAACACACCTCATGTCTTTGATGTACTGTCATATAACAATACACCTCACTACCTTGATGTACTGTCACACAACAACACACCTCATGTCTTTGATGTACTGTCACACAACAATACACCTCACGTCCATGATGTACTGTCACACAACAATACATCTCACGTCTTTGATGTACTGTCACACAACAATACACCTCACGTCATTGATGTACTGTCACACAACAATACACCTAACGTCTTTCATGTACTGTCACACAACAATACACACTGTCACACTATACACCTCAGGTCCTTGATGTACTGTCACAAAACAATACACCTCACGACCTTGATGTACTGTCACACAACACACCTCACGACTTTGATGTACTGTCACACAACAACATACCTCACGACCTTGATATACTGTCATACAACAATACACCTCACGTCTTTGATGTACTGACACACAACAATACACCTCACGTCCTTGATGTACTGTCACACAACAATACATCTCACGACCTTGATGTACTGTCACACAATAACACACCTCACGACCTTGATGTACTGATACACAACAATACACCTCACGTCCTTGATGTACTGTCACACAACAACACACCTCATGTCTTTGATGTACTGTCATATAACAATACACCTCACTACCTTGATGTACTGTCACACAATAACACACCTTACGACCTTGATGTACTGTCACACAACAATACACCTCACATCCTTGATTTACCGTCACACAACAATACACCTCACATTCTTGATGTACTGTCACACAACAATACACCTCACGACCTTGATGTACTGTCACACAATAACACACTTGATGTACTGACACACAACAATACACCTCACGTCCTTGATGTACTGTCACACAACAATACATCTCACGACCTTGATGTACTGTCACACAATAACACACCTCACGACCCTGATGTACTGACACACAACAATACACCTCACGTCCTTGATGTACTGTCACACAACAACACACCTCATGTCTTTGATGTACTGTCACACAACAATACACCTCACGTCCATGATGTACTGTCACACAACAATACATCTCACGTCTTTGATGTACTGTCATACAACAATACACCTCACGTCATTGATGTACTGTCACACAACAATACATCTCACATTCTTGATGGACTGTCACACAACAACATACTTCACCTCCTTGATATACTGTCACACAACAATACACCTCACTTCCTTGATGTACTGTAACACAACAACACACCTCATGTCCTTGATGTACTGTCACACAACAATACACCTCACGTCTTTGATGCACTGTCAAACAACAATACATCTCACGTCTTTGATGTACTGTCACACAACAATACACCTCAAGTCCTTGATGTACTGTCACACAATACACCTCATGACCTTGATGTACTGTCACACAACAGTACATCTCACGTCTTAGATGTACTGTCACACAATACACCTCATGACCTTGATGTACTGTCACACAACAATACACCTAACGTCCATGATGTACTGTCACACAACAATACACCTCACGTCCTTGATGTACTGTCACACAACAATACACCTCACATTCTTGATGTACTGTCACACTATACACCTCACGTCCTTGATGTACTGTCACACAACAATACACCTCACATTCTTGATGTACTGTCACACTATACACCTCACGTCCTTGATGTACTGTCATATAACAATACACCTCACTACCTTGATGTACTGTCACACAATAACACACCGTACGACCTTGATGTACTGACACACAAAAATACACCTCACGTCCTTGATGTACTGTCACACAACAACACACCTCATGTCTTTGATGTACTGTCACACAACAATACACCTCACGTCCATGATGTACTGTCACACAACAATACATCTCACGTCTTTGATGTACTGTCATACAACAATACACCTCACGTCATTGATGTACTGTCACACAACAATACACCTAACGTCTTTCATGTACTGTCACACAACAATACACCTCACTTCCTTGATGTACTGTCACACTATACACCTCAGGTCCTTGATGTACTGTCACAAAACAATACACCTCACGACCTTGATGTACTGTCACACAACACACCTCACGACTTTGATGTACTGTCACACAACAACATACCTCACGACCTTGATATACTGTCATACAACAATACACCTCACGTCTTTGATGTACTGACACACAACAATACACCTCACGTCCTTGATGTACTGTCACACAACAATACATCTCACGACCTTGATGTACTGTCACACAATAACACACCTCACGACCTTGATGTACTGATACACAACAATACACCTCACGTCCTTGATGTACTGTCACACAACAACACACCTCATGTCTTTGATGTACTGTCATATAACAATACACCTCACTACCTTGATGTACTGTCACACAATAACACACCTTACGACCTTGATGTACTGTCACACAACAATACACCTCAAGTCCTTGATGTACTGTCACACAATACACCTCATGACCTTGATGTACTGTCACACAACAGTACATCTCACGTCTTAGATGTACTGTCACACACACCTCATGACCTTGATGTACACACCTAACGTCCATGATGTACTGTCACACAACAATACACCTCACGTCCTTGATGTACTGTCACACAACAATACACCTCACGTCCTTGATGTACTGTCACACAATACACCTCACATCTTTGATGTACTGTCACACAACAACACACCTCATGTCTTTGATGTACTGTCATATAACAATACACCTCACTACCTTGATGTACTGTCACACACACAATACACCTCACGTCCTTGATGTACTGTCACACAACAACACATCTCACATACTTGATGTACTGTCACACAACAATACACCTCACGTCCATGATGTATGTACTGTCACACAATAATACACCTCACTGTCACACAACAATTGATGTACTGTCACACAACAATACACCTCACATTCTTTATGTACTGTCACACATCAACACACCTCATGTCCTTGATGCACTGGCACACAACAATACCTCACACGTCTTTGATGTACTGACACACAACAATACACCTCACGTCCTTGATGTACTGTCACACAACTTGATGTACTGTCACACAACAACACACCTCATGTCCTTGATGTACTGTCACACAACAATACACCTCAAGTCCTTGATGTACTGTCACACAATACACCTCATGACCTTGATATACTGTCACACAATACACGTCATGACCTTGATGTACTGTCACACAACAGTACATCTCACGTCTTAGATGTACTGTCACACAATACACCTCATGACCTTGATGTACTGTCACACAACAATACACCTCACGACCTTGATGTACTGTCACACAACAATACACCTCACGTCCTTGATGTACTGTCACACAACAACATACCTCACCTCCTTGATGTACTGTCACACAACAATACACCTCACATTCTTGATGTACTGTCACACAATAATACACCTTATAATCTTGATGTACTGTCACACAACAATACACCTCACGACCTTGATGTACTGACACACAACAATACACCTCACGTCCTTGATGTACTGTCACACAACAACACACCTCACGTCCTTTATGTACTGTCACACAACAATACACCTCACGTCTTTGATGTACTGTCACACAACAATACACCTCACGTCTTTGATGTACTGTCACAAAAACACACCTCACGTCTTTGATGTACTGTCACACAAAACACCTGACGTCCCCGATGCACCTTCACACCACTTCTAGAATAGTCCTTTAAGAAAGTTAAACGCCGCACGTGAGTTGAATAATGGATGAATCTGTTTTGTACGATAAGATCAAATCACTCGGTTTTATTGGAAAATCAATCCTATGTTTTCAAACTCACTTTAGAATTACATGCGAGATTGGTTTTGCAAGAACTGAATCCAATATTCGGTTTTGATTTTTACTATAAGATTACGCAAGCTTGTGATGGTTTTATTGACCATGGCTGGTACTAGAGGCGTACTGATCAGACATGACAGGACATGGAGAGGACTACATGTATATTATACTGTACAATTTGTTAGTCTGGTCGCTTTAATGTGGAAGAGTTGCTAGGCCTTATACTATGTCACGCTAGTCAGGATAGTTAACTGTAGGCCTAAACTTGCAGGGTATTCCATTATTCATCTCGTTAGACCCTACATCTCGCTTTGAATTTCACTACTCCGGAAAGTTGACTGTAAACCTCGTTGGTCAGAACATTTTTATATAAACTTCGTTTGTCCGGACATTTGCAACTGTAAAACTCACTGCTAATGTGTATAACTGTTATTAGATATTTACACATTTTTTTCCATACAAATGTATTCGAAATAGAAATGTTGATAGTTTATTTGTGTTATTCAGGAATCGTCAATTATTAGCGTTCTATTAAAACTGGTTAAACCTGCCTTAAACAATTCTATATAACAACAACCTGTCTATAACAGCCAAGTGACTCGGTGACCTTTATAAGCCCGCCTGTTTATAAAGACCACTAGTGTTTGCTCAATATGGTAATCATTGTAAATGTTTTTGTTACATTTAATTAGACGAACACTTTGTCCTTGAATAGTTTTTAACTTTACTCCTCTTTATTCCTTCACTTGAACTTAATTGACACACTGTGTGACCTCTGACCTCTTTGTAACCATATATTTTTTCTTCTAGTGGACTTAACTTCCTGGACTTAATGGCAAGACAGGGCGTTATCGACAGCCCTCCGAAAACTCCGTCGACTGTTGGGTTCGAGTGTTCTGGTGAGGTGGAAGCTATCGGTCCCAATACCAGTGGGTTCGAAGTAAGTCGCAATTGTTGACATTTACAAACATTTTCGTGTTTGTCGGGTCCATAGTGTAAGCCGAAATTCGTATTGGCTGTTCAGAACGTGTTATAACAGAGCCTTATTTCTTGTTTTATATCTAGTTTTGCACGGTCGCAAGGCGACAGTTTCTGATGAATAATCATTCTGAAGTTGAATGAAACTTTGAATGCGAAAAGATAAAACAGCCCTGATTGAGGCAATAAATAAAACAAACAAAAAAATACATGAATTATAACTATAAATTAAACATGGGATAAATGAAACGTTTTCTCTATAGAACATAAAAGAAATGATACAGGTTATTATGGTAGAACTAGGACAAACACCGAGTCTAAGCTATAGTCCGGATTATCGAGGTATCATTTAGGCTCGATCGGATAAGCGTACGCCACCCGTCATGTGATCAACCTCTTTCAAAGGCACTGTGAAATGTACCAGTTTGGTTTACACTTACCCAGGATGAAAATTTTAATTCGATTTTCGGTTTAACGTAGCGTCATAAATGTTTGATACTGAATTCTTGGCCTCTTTTTGACGCTTAAACGGCCGAGCAAGCGTTTTTGTCTTTCTGACGAGCAAACCTTACATTTTAAACATATTTTGGCAAGGCCGTGGAAGCGATATACAAGTGCCTCTGCCTAACTTGTTTGTACTCAGAGCAACCATCGATTTTCTCAACCTTGTCGCTGCCATTTTGTATAAAATCTCATTTAAGTGTTGTAGATCGACGGAAGTTATATCTAGGGTTATAAGACACAATCGACATCGTTATCGGTTAATTATGTAAACTGTACCAGCATATCTATTGAATCTACTATTGACGTTAACGGTTTTATAAACTAGAATAAAATACGTTTGTTGTGATGTGTGTTTAGGGTTTAAGGTTAGGAAGTTTTTTTATCACTGGGGATTCGCACGAATTTCTAAGCTTGCGTTTAGTTCGGTTCGTTCAGTTAGGATTAGACATTCTTGTTCATGTGTGTTGTAAGAGAGCATTATTCTTGGAGCATGCTGTACGGAAGTGGGGTTTGTTCAGATTGTTGGACGACAGCGAGGCTTAAGTGTATTGTATAAAAGCGGAGCTTTATGGTTTGTACTGTATTGAAGTAGTGTTTGTGAAGTGTGCTGCACGTAAACTTGATTTGTGATGTGTGCTGTACGGAAGAGGGGTTTAGGGGGTGTGCTGTACGGAAGAGAGATTTAGGGGGTGTGCTGTACGGAAGAGAGATTTAGGGGGTGTACTGTACGGAAGAGAGATTTAGGGGGTGTACTGTACGGAAGAGAGATTTAGGGGGTGTACTGTAAGGAAGAGAGATTTAGGGGGTGTACTGTTCGGAAGCGGATTTGTGGAGTTTGTTGTACGGGAGAGCAGTTTGCGTGATGTTTTGTGCACAAAGCGGTGATTGTGACGTGTGTTATGTAAGCGGACTTTGTGTAATGTGATGTGGAATTTTGGAGTTTATAAAATATATTGTAAGGCAGTCGTGTTTGTGGAGTTTGTTGTATGAAACTGAGGTTTTTGAAGTGGAATTTGTGGAGATTTTGGTATTTGTACTAGATACTGGTTTAATACCGTAAAGTTGGAGTACTGGGATAATTAACACCCATATACAAAACCAAGGGTGATCCTAAAGAATTGAACAATTACAGAGCAAACACTTCTTTCATACATAGGTAATATTTTTACATCGATTTTTAATATCAGGTTATACCAGCTAATCGACGGAATCGATCGTATTAGAAAAGCTGAGGCGAGTTTCAGGAAAGGTCATTCGACAATGGACAATATGTTTATATGTACTGATATCATTATAATTGTCTTTCGGTTAAAAAATATATTGCACCTTCATTGACTCAGTGTGGCGTGTCGGTTTATGGCAAAAGATCCTTAAGAGCAATATCGCTGGTAAAATATTCAAGGTTTTACATGGTATGTATACTGATACCAAATTATGTGTGGAAAATGTGAATGAACTATCTGAAATGTTCCCATTTGTTATCAGGTGGATACAAGGAGAACATTGCTCACCTTTTATATTTGCCTTGTATCTTAATGACATTGAACCATTTTTACTCAAAAAAATGTTGATTGCTTGCTTAAAATTGATGAAGTATATCGTGATTATATTGACATGTATGTGAAAATGTTTGTTAGGTTATTTGGTGGCAATAAAGCCCTGTTATCGGAGACAGCTGATGGGTTACAAACAATTTTAATTGAATTTCAAGAATAATGTCAGAAACGGAAACTTGTTGTAAACACAAACAAATCCAAAATTGTTATATTTTCTAAAAGAAAGACAATGGTGAGAAACATGTTTTTTATTATTGTACAAAACGTTACCACCATCGGACACGTCTTCTGTTAGCGTGTAACAGGAGTGATGTACAGGAATGATGTTCTCAGGTCTTACGTCGTCCCTTTGAACAGCCGCAAAAACAGTTTTACTAGCAGGACACCACTCTTCCCCACAATGCTCCAGTATCTATGGGGTTCTTTGCACAGAATAATGTGAATGTCTTCCTTTGGCCGTCTCTTCCAACGGGTATGATACCGATAGAACACATTTGGGATGAACTCGGGAGAAGAATATCTGATGGTGGAGCTCCGTTGACGCTGGCACAGCTGGAACAGAGACTCCTCCAGGAATGGAACAATTTTCCCCAGGCATTCTTCCAGATTCTCAGCAATTCAATGAGACGACGTTGCACAACATGTATCAATGCCCAAGGCCGACAAACGCATTATTGACTGATTTGTGATTTTCCTTTCATGGGGGTACCTTAATTAAATAGACATTAGAAATAGTAAATCTCACGAAATGAAATCTAGCCACATTTTGTTTAATTGCAATTTTAACAAACTTTTGAATAAATCTGTAAACATTTAGTTTCTGTTTTTGATTTCTTACAAAAACGTATCTTAAGCCGGACTTGTTATTCTTTTAGGGCTCAGTATCTTATGTTAGTAATTATTTAACTTTTCTAGTCCTCTATATTTTTGCCTGTCATAATCCTAAAATTTAAATTTATGCAAAGAATGTATTGTTACACACTTTGTATGTCCGAGATGAATAGATAGATTTTGTCCTGTAATCTTGTCTTGCCGAGGATGATGTAATTAGTAGAGGTTTCGCAGTGCGATATGCTGTTTGGAGTTCATGAAACCTGCTATATGGAAGCCGGATTTGTGGAGAGCGTTGTTGGGAAATGAAGTTGGTGAAACCTTAAACGGAAGCTGGATTTGTGGAGAGTGTTGTTGGGAAGTGAAGATTGTGAAACCTTTTATACGGGAGCTGTATTTTTGGAATATGATAACATGAACTGTGGTTAGCAAAAATTGACTTGTGGTAGAATTGGAATGTTTTTGTGAACGAAACTATTTTCAACAGGTATACACTATAACAGTACATTGTTAGCTAAATATAAAATGATTTCAGGTAATTTTTTAATGAGTATTGTGAACAACGAGAGAGATATTCTAGTGTCCTCAACCAGTGACAATAATAATATGAAGGAATCACATCACTCACGCGCGGTCTCGAAAGAAGATGGATGACACACTGCTCAACGAACAGTCCAAAAATTAATGAAGATTTATGTCAAAAACAAATGTACAATTCCCAAATGTAATAGAGGTTATTACGGATCGTTCATGTTAACAAGCAATAGTAGAAATAAATACCGATTCCCTTCGAAAAAAAATATGAAATCAATATGCTCTCTGGGAAAGTTTCCAACGCTTGAAATTTGATGACATCTTTCTAAAAGACCTTTATATGGCAGATTGGTGACCGCGTGATCGGGTTCTGTGACTATGACGCTTGGGCGGAGTTTGTCGCCATTTCCGCTCACTATGTCTACAAAATGCCAGAAAGAATGAGTTTCCAAGACGGCGCTGCACTAGCCATGAATTACCTGGCTGCTTACATGATGCTGTTTGATATCGGAAACTTGAGACCTGGAAACTCTGTCTTCTGTCACTCTGTCGGAGGGGGCGTGGTAAGTAGGGACAGAATAATGTCAATTTACTTCGGCCACAGTGGCGTACTGCAAGGTAATTATAGTCGATATAATTGCAACTCACCAATTGTAATCCCGTAAAACCCGCTAAGGGTTTCTTGAAATAGAAGGCTTATCTTACATTACCGCCAATATTTTCGGACATATCAATTAAGGGCCCGCTTATAAACATGAAAAAAAACAACAAAACAGCCACTGTAACGTCACTTTACAGCGGGAAAAGATTCAATTTTATAATCATTAACGGAAAATGGAAAAATGTAGAGGTTTTAATTTGGGTGATGTTGTATGTAGACACAAAAAAACAACACTACAAAAAAGAGATGATGTAGTAAGTAGGAACAACAAAATCACACTCCATCAGAGAGGTGGTGTAGTAAGTAGGGACAACAAAATCACACTCCATCAGAGAGGTGTAGTAAGTAGGGACAACAAAATCACACTCCATCAGAGAGGAGGTGTAGTAAGTAGAGACAACAAAATCACGCTCCATCAGAGAGGAGATGTAGTAAGTAGGGCAACAAAATCACACTCCATCAGAGAGGTGATGTAGTAAGTAGGGGTAACAAAATCACACTCCATCAGAGAGGAGGTGTAGTAAGTAGAGACAACAAAATCACACTCCATTAGAGAGGCGGTGTAGTAAGTAGGGACAACAAAATCACACTCCATCAGAGAGGAGGTGTAGTAAGTAGGGCAACAAAATCACGCTCCATCAGAGAGGAGATGTAGTAAGTAGGGCAACAAAATCACACTCCATCAGAGAGGAGGTGTAGTAAGTAGGGACAACAAAATCACACTCCATCAGAGAGGAGGTGTAGTAAGTAGAGACAACAAAATCACACTCCATCAGAGAGGAGGTGTAGTAAGTAGGGACAACAAAATCACACTCCATCAGAGAGGTGGTGTAGTAAGTAGGGACAACAAAATCACACTCCATCAGAGAGGAGGTGTAGTAAGTAGAGACAACAAAATCACACTCCATCAGAGAGGAGGTGTAGTAAGTAGGGACAACAAAATCAAACTCCATCAGAGAGGTGGTGTAGTAAGTAGGGACAACAAAATCAAACTCCACCAGAGAGGTGGTGTAGTAAGTAGGGCAACAAAATCACACTCCATTAGAGAGGTGGTGTAGTAAGTAGGACAACAAAATCACACTCCATCAGAGAGGTGGTGTAGTAAGTAGGGACAACAAAATCACACTCCATCAGATAGGTGGTGTAGTAAGTAGAGACAACAAAATCACACTCCATCAGAGAGGTGGTGTAGTAAGTAGGGGCAACAAAATCACATTCCATCAGAGAGGTGATGTAGTAAGTAGGGGCAACAAAATCACACTCCATCAGAGAGGTGGTGTAGTAAGTAGGGACAACAAAATCACACTCCATCAGAGAGGTGGTGTAGTAAGTAGGGACAACAAAATCACACTCCATCAGAGAGGTGCTGTAGTAAGTAGGGACAACAAAATCACACTCCATCAGAGAGGAGGTGTAGTAAGTAGGGACAACAAAATCACACTCCATCAGAGAGGGTGTAGTAAGTAGGGGCAACAAAATCACATTCCATCAGAGAGGCGGTGTAGTAAGTAGGGGCAACAAAATCACACTCCATCAGAGAGGAGGTGTAGTAAGTAGAGACAACAAAATCATAGTTGGAGGTAACTTCATAAACTGTTGGTGTATTTTAGTGTCTTTGACTTAAGGTCATTTGACATGCCAATATGCATTTTTTACAATATTTAGCTCATCTGGCCTGAAGGGCTCAGTGTGCCTTGTGCCTTGGTATGGCATCTGGCTTTTCCATTTAAACAACTCAATAATCAAAAGATCAAAAGTCATGATAGCTGAAAGTTCTTTGGATGAAGTTTGACAAGTGTTTGACAAGAAATGACAGTAACAAATGTTGAAAGTGACAGTAGTCATATTTGTTGAAATCAAGTCACTCTTGCTCATTAACCAAAAGGACTAGAATCATGATAGTTTGCTGGTTGGTTCCAGGATAGAATCTTGACAAAACAACTTTGATCAGTATCAGAGATTACACTGATCAAATTTGTTAAAATCTTTAAATGACTTCTTCACATTAACCTTGACTTTAAATATCAATTATGTGAAATATTAACATATTTGTGGTACAGACCTGTCAGGCATCTAGTTTAGTTTCCTGTAGATGAAATCAGAAGGAGGGGACCACAGTTTTCCTCTCAGTGTGTCTGTTCATATAACACAAAGATTGTCAGCCCTCTTGTTGCTTCATTCCTTAAGAGATTGTCATCAAAATTCACACACTTTTAAAGCATCAGAATATCTTGATCAACTGTCATTTTCAGGAGTGTTGGATTAAAGACCACAGTCGCTAAATATCTTAGAAAACCCATTGCCAGCAATGTAATGACCTCACCCCTTGAGGGTTAAAGCACTAAAATCTCTTGAACATAACTGAGTCAGGGTTGTAGGGTCAAGGTCAAGGTTACCATTACCTAGTTCCAGAAAATGGTTAGCAGCACGCTAGCAGCTACACCATACAGAATTATGAATTGTTGAAGCTTTTTTTTTTGAGTGCATGAAATTGAAATTATGATCAATTTATAACCTCAACACTACTATCCTCCATTTTTAGGGACAAGCAATCTCCCAGTTGTGTCGGACGATTAATGATGTCACACTGTTTGGGACAGCATCATATTACAAACTGGAGTCAGTCAAGGACAATGTCACTCACCTGTTTGACAGGGTAGTGGACTACTCTCAGGAGGTTCGAAAGTAAGTATATACATTTACTACAGAAGGATACACAATTTGTGGATGTAGGTTTCAGTAACATTGATGTTTATACTCGATTCACCAAAAGCAACAAGAGAGCTGGGCAAAGACACTTTCTCTAAGGAGAGAAGACCATACAATGGACTGAAGGTTTTAATAGGCTAGTTGTTATCTTGAAAAAAAAACAACACAAACAAATAAGAAATAAACATAAACAAGCAAACCACTGAAGAAGTAATATGGCAAAAAAATGTCCATTTTTGATTTTAACTTTTTTCATTTGCTTTTCTTCTCAGAGAGTACTGTTGTGGCCAATCTCTTAATTTATGTTTGAGCAAAGTTTCAAAACCTGTTAAAACACGACTAACTTGATGTCATATAGAGTTCAGCTTACTCTAGTTTTTTTTTTTTTTTTACTTTTGAAAGTGTTATTGCTGTTGAATTTTTCTCACATCATGACATGTAGTTTTGCTTTACATCACTTCATGCATTTTCAAGTTTACATGTCTTTGACAAAGGACATTTAACTGTTTCATTACTGCTGATGATTATGTTCTCCTTTGAGGAAGTAACATTACTTACTGACTTACTTACATGTTGTCCCTGAAACAGATGATGTTTGCCCTTGTGGCACATGTGATATAATTATTCTCCAGGTATTGTCTGTGGATTATTCATTTATTTACATTCTGCCTCGTCACATCAATTTCGAGTTAGTTGCCATGTCTGTATTTTCTCACTGTATTCCTGTCACATGGCAAAATTGCTTTAAATCTTAGGTCTTCCACATTATTCAGATACTGGTCAACAGTCAACAGAAAATAAAACAGGAAAGAGAGAACTTACATATCTAATAGTGCCAACCCAGACCCCTCTGGGTTATCATTTATTTAACTGTAAAGCTGGAATTTTGATGTCCCTGCTACACATAGGGCTACCCATGTCCTGATTCAATGTAAGCACATAGCAACTTCATTCTTTGAAAGATTTTGGTCACAATTTACACATACAAAGGTCAGTTATGGGTATACTGTGAATATCATTGTGTTTCAAAGGGTCAAGGTCACCCTTTCTATATAAAGAAAATCTTTAATTGTTTCATTTTAAACACTATGCATTTTTCATGGATATGCCTCCCCCCTTCCTCCCCTTTCATGGATACGCCCCCTCCCCCCCCCCACTCCTCCCCAATTAACTAATTTCTCTTGTTGGTTGGACATTTATGTTTTACAGACATTTTTCTAGTTTTCCCATTTAATTGCAGACTTTCACCAGAGGGTGTTGACATAGTCCTTGACTGTCTCTGTGGGGATGACACCAATAAGGGTATCTCTCTTCTGAAACCTATGGGCAAATATGTTTTATATGGTGAGTAAATGGGCAAATATGTTTTATATGGTGAGTACATAGGCAAATATGTTTTATATGGTGAGTTAATGGGCAAATATGTTTGATATCACAAGTTCATGAGCAAACGTTTTAGATGGTAAATAAATGAGCACATGTTTATTTGGTGAGTACATGGGCAAATCTGTTTGACTTTTTAAGTGCAAGGGGAAATATGTTCAGTATAGTGAGTACACTGGCTAATACGTTTTATATGGTGAGTACATTAGCAAATACATTTTATGTTTATAGGCAGTAAATTCAAAATATTTTCAACATTTCAGGATCCTCGAATGTGGTGACAGGAGAAACAAAAAGCTTCTTTAGTTTTGCCAAATCTGTAAGTACTAAGAATTTGTACCCTATATTCATGCCTTTTGAAGTTAATTAACAATAAACTGTTCTATCTGCTGGTATATAACACATTAAGGTCTAGGGGTTTGGATGGTGTAATGTAATCAAATGGTTAAAAGGTAAAGGTCACTATGCTGTTTGTTTACACTAACATGAGATTATTTTTGTATTTCCAACCTGACAGTAAAAAAAAATATACAAGATGGTCTATTTTACAGTGGTGGCAGGTTGATAAGATAAGTCCTATCAAATTGTACGATGAGAACAAGAGCATTGCTGGCTTCCAATTGAGGCAGCTTGTCTTCAGACAAGGTCAACACGAGTATGCCCGTAAGGTGATGAACCACCTCATACAGCTGTACTCGGAGGGCAAGATCCGACCAAGGATTGACTCGGCCTGGGCATTTGAGGATGTAAGTCCATTGGTGTAACCAAAGCTCAACAGCAAACACACATTCTCGTATAAAACATTCTCTTTTTAAGTCTTAACATTTAATAGCTTACACCGTGTGTTGTTTTTATCTTAAAAAGGTGACACACACCATATTATTTATATCTTAACAACTGAAAATATCCTGTTGATTTGATGACATTTAACACATATGCACTTGATTATATCTAAACAACCTGTTTTATCTTTATTATATAGACATCCTATATTGGTTAATTTCTGTGTTAAACACCTGTAATACTGCTTTATTTTCACAGGTTGGTGATGCCATGCAGAAAATTCATGATAGGAAAAACATTGGAAAAATTATTCTTGATCCAAGTTTGGAACCAAAAGTCAAGGTACCTAGCCCCATATAGTTTCTAAACACATAAAACCATTAAGTATTTTTCATGTGTAAAGACATTTGTTTGATTTTATTAAAGTTGTTTTGTTTATTATCTTGAAATGACAATAACCACATATTGTACTTACACTGCTTACACACAATGCCATTTACAAATGGAACAGTTAATACACTTCATACACAATTCAGTTGATCCATGATATAATATTGAGCATGTCAGTTTACACATGAATTAGTTTACATAGCAGATACATGTCACACATTATTGTTAGGTGTCTTCCAACAGTAAGAATTTCTATGTTAACTCTAACTAATGATAACAATGACTGTTTTCTCCTGTGTGTCCAGCCAGTAGCCCAAGGTCAAGCTCGGACCCACACGGACAGTACATGTAGTGATGAAAAGGAACCAGTGGTCAATGGGGAATAGAATGGTCAGTATTAAAACCTTGTTTGAGGACTGTGTTAATGTGAATGATTTAGAAATTTTACAATGTTCTCGGTCTTTATGTGATATATGAAGATTGACTTGTTCTATGGTTTTGTTAAATGACACTAGTATATTGCTTGGATTTAACCAAGGTTATTTTAACTGGTGTTGTTGATGAAGAAGATGCCACTAATCCTACTGGAACAAGTAATCATGCATTTTTCTAAGAAATGCCATGAAAGCTTTTTTTCATATTTCACCTTCTTTCTGATCACTCTGCCTTCTTTGTGTCCTTTTAGTCCATTCTGTCTTTTTTGCCCTCATTCTCTCAAATTAACCCTCTATTTAGGTCATCTGACTCCATGTGTCAAGATGACCTTTAGCCATTGTGTTTTATTCTTCGTCATGCACCTTGCATAAACTTTCATTCATATAACCTATTCTCAGTATCCAAAAGGCCCAAGGTGCTGATATTAGGCCAGTAGCATACTGGGATGAAGGGCTACCAAGTTCTTCAAATGAATGACCATGCCAACTTTGAAGGTCACAAGAGTCAAATGTATTGACCTATTTAAACAACTTCTTCTCAATAACCAAAAGACCCAAGGTACTTACATTGGATCTGTAGCATGCTGGGATAAGGGCAACAGATTTGCCAAATGAATAACTTTGACCCACTTTCAAGGTCACAGGTGTAAAATGTGTTAAAATCTTAAAAAAATCATTTTCTCAACAGCCAAAAGGCCCAGGGTACTTATATTGGATCTGAAGCATGCTGGGATAAGGGCAATAGATTTATCAAATGAAGAACCTTGACTCACTTTCAAGGTCACAGGTTTCAAATGTGTTCAAATCTTGAAAAAACATTTTCTCAACAGCCAAAAGGCCCAGGGTGCTGGTATTGGGCCGGTAGCATACTGGAAAAGAGTGCTACCATTTTTTTAAAATTAATATTACAAGGGCAAGATAGTCAGGTTCAAGGTCATTGGTGTCAAACATGTTTAAAAGGCAACATCTTCTCAATAACAATAATAATGTTGTAGCGTGCACATTTAATATTGGTCCTGTAGCATGATTGGATGAAGGACTATCAAGCTTATCCAAATGAATGACCTCGACCCATTAAGGCCGCAAGGGTTTCTTTATAACCAAAAGGTCAAAGCTATTGATATTGGTTCTGGATGAAAGGCTAATGACTTTATTCAAATGATTGACCTTGACCATTTTCAAGGTCATGGAGGTCAGTTATGTTTGATACCTTTTAATTTGTTCTCAACTTGTCCTGTATCATCATATTTGTGCAGTAGCATGCTCCGGGAATAGGATTTCAAGCTAACAGATATTGACTTTGTGAACTGACAAACTCTTCTCTTTAACAGTTAGGCAACTCAAGCTCATTGACCTTCTATCATATTTATATGTTCTTTATAAATCAGACGAATGTCTGTCTGTCTAACTATTTTGCCCTCACTCTGTCATTTAATTTACCTCTATCTATTTTCTGGTTCTGTACATTTAATCTCATAATTATGGTTTAGTTTTCTCATCTGGATATGAGGCTGTAAACAAGGTCATCAGTACTATCTGTTTTTTTGGATACTTATTGTATATGTGACATGTTTTACAAACACTTCATGTTGTTTCACAATTCTTTTATTACAGATGTAATCATGAGAGTAAGTGCTTTGGAAGTCATGGCACTACACCAGTGTTACAGCTGTACCTTGTGACCTTAGGCTGGAATTGCAGATCACATTCACAATTCCTAATAATGCTGCATGTACAACTGCTGAAATTCCACCTGGTCTAAGCAACATACTCCAGTGCATCCAGAAATTAAAGTAGACTTGTCTGATTCACATATTCCACAGCATCCAGATCTGTAGCTATAATATCCCTACTACAGTGTATTTGGTGTTTGAGTCAGAACTCCATAATAATCCCTGATAGTACCTAGAACTGCTTTAAGCATATAGCATTGGAGCGATATTTAGTCATTTATTAGATATACCTATCAGTGCATATTGCACACTGAGCAATTTACAGATGAAATTTTAGTTGTAAACTGTGTATATTGTCAATATTCCAATAGAAGGACTAGTCAGGTGTCTCTTGACAAGTGAGGGTTGTGTCTGCACATTATATTTACCTGACCAGGTTGTCTCATCGATTCCAACACATCATGTATATAATACATGTAGGATAACAAAGACTAATTCCATATTACAGTATCTAAAAACAAGCTATATTACAGTATCATGGAATTTGTTTCCGAGAATTTATTCAGTATTAAGGTATTTGATTAACCAAGAAATTTTCTATTCCAATATTACTCAAAAAATTGAAAAATTTACATGTAAATGTAAGATATGTCAGTCAATGACATTTCTGGGAAATTTCTCCCTACGTAACAGCAAGAGTTAACTCCCCTTACCAGGGTAAAATCCAGTGGAAGTTATTTGGTTTTGTGGTTCTAATTGAAAAGAAACATTTCATGTAATCTGGTTGAAATTATACAATGTCCAAACAACTAATGTCAACAAATCCATAACATCTTTAACGGTTAGCCAAAAGTTTTTATTGGTGTCAATCTAAAATACAGTTGAAGGAACTGAAAGATGGTGTTATATGTGTACTGTTGTGGACGACAGTAACCATGGCCTGGTGTGACAGGGTAAGAGTGATTGTTGAATATAAATGTATTGTGTTATTAACTTATTATAATTGTTATATTGTGGTATTACAATGCTCTTTTTGTTACATGTTCTGTCTGTCAAATAAAGATTCAAATTCTAGAATTCATTTAATAAACAATACGTCATATTTATTGATTTGTGAGCTGAAAAAGGTTGACCAAAATATTTGCAGTTGATAAACTAGCATGTCCGACAATAATCCTGTAACAATATATAGCCATTGTCTATTTATAGGCTAGCACTGCAGACCTGTTACTATATATAATCATTATCTATTTATAGCCTAGCACCCATTACTATATATAATCATGACTTATCCATAAGTTAGCACCTAAGACCTGCTACTATAAAATCATATAGTCATTATCTATTAAAAAATTAACCACATATAATCATTGTCTACATTTCTATTTATCAGCAATTAATCCAGCTGCCATATATAGCCATGTCATTATTCATTTGTAGGCAAGCACCTTCTTGTTACCATATAAAACCATCTATGACTATTAATTGTTATCATATATAGTTATTTATTTATAGGCTACCACCTATAGACTTGTTACCATATATAGTCATTATTGATTTATAGTCTTGTACCTCAGACCTGTTACCATATATAGTCATTAAGTTATAGCCAAGCACCTCATACCTGTTACCATATATAGTCATTATTTGTTTATAGCCTTGCACCTCATACCTGTTACCATATATAGTCATTATTTGTTTATAGCCTTGCACCTCATACCTGTTACCATATATAGTCATTATTTGTTTATAGCCTTGCACCTCTGACCTGTTACCAAATATAGTCATGACTTATTTATAAGCCAGTACCTCAGACCTGTTACCATATATAGTTATTTATTTATAGTCTATCACCTCCTACATGTTACCTTATATAGTCATGACTTATCTATAGCCTAGCATCTCAGACCTATTGACCATATATAGTTATGATTTATTTATAGCCTAGCAACCTCAGATCTGTTACCATATATAGTCATTATTTATTCATAGCCTAGCACCTTAGATGTGTTACTATATATAGTGATTGTTATCTATTTTGTATTGTTTATCATTGTTTTCATAACTCTGTTGTTGGTGAACATTTTAGAATGATCTAATGTGATAATTGAAAGCTAGCTATATATATAGAGGACTATTTTTAGAGTGTTTATATATATATCAATATAAAAAGAAAAGAATGAATAATTGTGTATATATAAATACCAGATAATTAGAACTGCACATAATTGTTTCATTTGGAAAAGTTTGGAAAGTTCCAATAAGGGAATTCTTGAAATAACGGTTCAAACACTATGTACATTATACATACTTCTCACTGACTGAAGCTATGTTTATGGGCTAACAGGTCCATTCTGATGTGACTTTCCAATATATAAATTATTAAAACCTCCCTGACATGACAGTCCAGTTTGGATGTATGCTATCAAGTATCTGGTGTCTATATGTACTAAATCATCACTGTTTTATTTAAAGCTTCCTGTCCAAATACAAGCTCCAAGCATGTGGTGTTTGTGTTTTTCAGGAAGCTGAGGAATGGGTAGGTCTGTGCTGATGTGATTGTGTGTGTGTGGGTAAGGCACATTTCCTTAATTACTCTGAATGTCACCTCCTGTATGTTATGCAGTGTGGTGATCATACCCTACTACAAGACCCTGCCACAAAATGACCCTGGCTGTTCACAGGATGATAAACGCATTAAACAAACAAACCCAATACAAGTACTTTAGTAGGATCCATTATCACACTTTTTAATCATGTGATGTTTCAGCCCAGACAGAAGGTGTTAAAGTTCATAAATTGTTATCAAAGGGCCTTCTACATGAATAACAATGTCTATAGGATGAAATTTACCACACTGTTATTTAATGTAAAATTTCTTTAAGATTATACATAAAAGAACACTGTAGTTAAAGATATACACCAGGGCAAGCTACACATTTGTTTACAAATAAATAATCTTGCATTTTCAGCTACACATAGCATATCGGCTGGTCTATTGTTTGTGTCAAAATTATCAAACAGATTTCCATTTGTCAAACCATATACCGTAAATAACAAAAACCATATAGCACAGTATTGAGCAAGCAGTTGAAAAGCTATTGTTTGTAGCGTTATATAAATCCATCTTGGACATTGAATTGGATTGTGATGCTATCAAGAAAGTAGGTCATCATTGACTCATTGTTATCAAAAGTAACCAATTAAAATGCACTATGTGATTGTTACCATTACCTGTCAACCAATCAATGCAACCTATCACTCGTTATATTGTTATCTTAGTGCTTGTGAGAAAATGTTGTTAGAGAAACCACTTGTATAATTAAAGGTATGTAGATTGTATTTACTGTGAACCTTGAAACTTTATAGTGAATGCTGTATGGTAACCAGAAAGTAAATGTGTATATGGTATTGCTGATCACTTGGGAAACATGTGGATGATTTGATCATGTCAAGTTCCATAGAATAGTTAGCATACACTTGAGCAGTATGTAGTTTAAAGTTTATCTCCCCTGTATCTTTGTCCAGTCGTGTGTCAGTCATCAGTTGGAAATAAAAGTTGTATTTTGACAAATTGTTGATCAGATTTGTTTTTAGTAAATAAGAAAATGCTGATACGACCTAAATAATCCTCACTTCTATTCATCATCAATATCAAAGTATCAATATTTGGCAAATTTCTGGAAACAAAAATGGTCTTGGAACCATGAAACAAACTCATCTGAGGTTTTATCATAGTTAAAATTTGTGTAAAAGCAGATTGAAATCTGTCGGCTAAGAAATGAAACAGCTAGAGTGATAACATCTGGCACTGATATTGGATGGAGGGGGCGGGACTGACATGGGTACTACTTTATACCATCTGTCAATGACAGGACATAAACATCTTGAACACTGATCTATTCTGGACACAGATCGTATGTCCCAGTCCAAGTGGGATTTCAACAAACAAAACCTAAAGTCATAGGAAGTTTCTGCTATGATGACATTGAAAACATTCAGAACCAATCCTAATTTGGAGACACTGGTAACATCACATCAATAAAGTACATCCATTCACCATCAAAATCAACACTTCTGTACTTTTCTCCATTAAACATCCTTCTCAACAGTCTTTGGAAACTTCTTCAATTGTGGTTTAATTCATGTTCAAACTATAGTTTATTTCATGTCTACCTCATTCTCTTAAACAGTTGTCAACTTCACATCTACCTGAATCTCTTAAACTGTGGTTATTTCATATTTACCTATATATTTTAAACTGGATTATTTTACATTTATCTGTATCTTTTAAACTCTTTTTTTCACATTTACATGTATCTGTTAAACTGGTTTATTTCACATTTACCTGTATCTTTTAAACTGTGGTTTATTTCATATCTACTTGTATCTTTTAATTTGTCCTTTATTTCACATTCACCTTGTATATTTTAAATTGTTGTGTTTTTCACATTTACTTGTATCTTTTAATTTGTCCTTTATTTCACATTTACCTGTATCTGTTAAACTGGTTTATTTCACATTTACCTTGTATCTATTAAATTGTTGTTTATTTCCTTTACTTGTATATTTTAAATTGTCGTGTATTTCACATTTACCTGTATCTTTTAAACTATTTGACAATATACATATATATATCTTATGCGATTTTCAAATTTTTCAGATTTGATGTCATGATCATAAAAATTTAACTTTATTATGTAAGGACAAACACCTTAACTATATACAGGTATCTGCATTAATGACACAGGACCCCAGTATTTTTAACTATAAATTAGCATTATGAAATAACAGATTCAAACCTGCAACGATACACTTTAAATGGCATCAGGCACAAACTCCAGAGACAGTGAAACCAATCTTACACAAACAGATTCAGAATGATCAAACAAATATTAGTCAGCTTCATTGAAGAATGCTTGTACAGATTTCTCTTCAAATTTTTAGAGTAAAAACAAACACGAGATTTTCTTACCAACATCTGTATTACTATTTCCTAGTACCATCTAGAAACTAACAATGACATAAAACAAATACTTTTGCTCTGTATCAATACGGTACAGCACTCGGCTGTCATTGCCTCTGTTTGAACTGTTAAAAGATAATTGTTCAGCAAAGACAGGGTCAACATATAAGTATTTAGAATAATGCTATTTCAAATATGTTTAGATATAAATGAATAGTGGTCATGTAAATTACACTCATACAATGTATATTCAGAAACTACAATAAAAAATAATATCAAGTTGTAATTTTGTTTACAAAAATTTGTCTCATATTTCGCATTACCACATGACGATAATAAGGAAGTACCACTTCATGTAAAGCTAGTTTTTGATGTACAGACAGTTTTGAGAATTATCAAAAAGTAATTTCTAACTACTGGAATTTGTTTCCTGAAAAAAGCAAAGTCCTAATTTTGTTTTCAATTTTGGCAAAATCATTAATAAAGGGGTGATGTAATGTAAAATTCCTAACCACATCCGGAAACTGTTACTGATATCATGAAACCCAGTTATTTCTAGCATATGCTTTCAGTGGATCACTACAACACACTACAGATTATACTGTAATCTGTCTTCACTGGAACATATGTTCTATGTTTCTTCCATCTGAATAATGGACATTTACATTTTAATATTTAGACACATGTCAGGTATTTCCATTATTACAATCTTCACGTTTCAACAAGTGAGACCATTGTTTTTTGTTTTAGAAATTGAGATAAGAGTAGAGATTGATTAAATAGCGCGATACATTTTTCTAGAGAGTACAAAAGTCTCCCCTGTCACTAATACATCAACAAAACTGTTATATTGTTTGTACACAGGTAAGATAGGCCAAGTCTGTTCCCCAGATTTACAATGTGTATCAGCAGTGTTATAGTCCAATGGTGTAGGAACGTCCAGAAGGATTGTGGATAGGAATCACGCGAGGTTTGGTGACGAGCCATTCATACCAGACGTTCTTGGTACTCACACAACGCCAGATGTCTACAGAAAGGGTTTCTCCCTTCTTCAAGTATTGAGGTGTCTGAAAACAGATCAAACCATTACAACATATTTATTCTAGAACTATTCAACAGCTTCAGTACACAAACTATTTCCAAAATGTGTTCTCTAACATTGTAAGTTAAATGGTACTGTAACGGTACTGTCAATAATCTCTGATACCTTACTATATACCTACCTTTATAGGAAACAAGATGGGGAACCAGCTGAACATGCCTGTAGAGTGAGTGGAAGGAAGAATACCTACAAAAACAAGGGTAATTAATAAACACAAGGAAAACTTTCATATTCTTACACATTTTTACAATTCTAAACTCATGAAAATAACTCTGTTGTTTGTAAATCACGCAAACAAGGTTACCTTATAAACACAAGGAAAACTTTCATATTCTTACACATTTTTACAATTCTAAACTTGTGAAAATAATTCTGTTGTTTGTAAATAATACATTATATTTTGATATTAGCACTGCAAATTTAATCATCAACTGATTGCTCTATAAATCTCACAGAAAATCAGACAAAGTAGAGAACTAATTATTACAGGTAAATATGAGGAAAAAAGCAGTGAATCAATGAAGTGATAAACCTATACATGACTTACTAAGCATCACATCACCGTAAAGTCTGGTATCAAAATATCCAGCCAGACCATGTAGCACGGAATTCTCCTCTACGGTGTACTCCAGTGTGGCATAACGGCAGTTATCTATCACTTTGTCTGAATCAAAAGTAGCTGTTGGTCTTACAAAAAATTCATACACAAAATAAAAGCAACTTACACCCTACAAACAGTAGTATTAATCAATAGGAGATTTTACAACCAATACTTGTGACCAGTTTTTGTCTCTGGAAATATCAATAACACAATATTTTGATGAATTGTAAATGTCACATATGACAATACCTAAGAAGAATTTTGGGTACTAAGGTCATGGGTACTATATATATAAAATCATCAACTAATTTGAATGGGATCGGGGACATTCCTGCAGTTTAATCATTTTGCTCTGTAGTACCTAATTACAAATTGGTATTGACAGGTGTTATTCACCCGTGAGCATTTTGTAATTAGACAGTTTTCTCTTAGGCTGGATATGAATATGCAGTCTTTAAAATATATCCATGTGTTGTTCCTGGTTAATGGTATGGCTATATAAAAACATCAGTAATTTGCAAGTTAGTTGCTTTATATTACTCATCTTGTAGTTAAAACATAATAACAGTCAGAGGACAACCTCACAAGTCAAAGTAGAACACGTCTAACTTACCCCGATTAGGGTGGTGGAAGTGGAAGACAGGCTGTGGTTCTGCAATCAGCTGGCAGTTGTGGAGACGTACTACATACGGCATCTCAAAGTTGTACTATAAACAGCAAAAAAGTAGTGACCATGAGGTTTAAGGATGTGGCAGGGATAGTCTCTAACCTTTCGAATGTGATGGTGATAGCCACTAACCTTTGGAATGTGATGGTGATAGCCACTAATCTATATAATGGGGTGGTGAAAGCCACTAGTCTATAGAATGTGACAGTGATAGCCATTATCTTTTAGCCACTATCAAATCCATGAAAAGTGCGTTTGAACATCTAAGAATGACTGTAATACAGTATGTAACTTTGACTACTAATCTTACCTCTAGTGGCTTGTCCTTTTCCTTGCAAGATTTGACCTCATTGTGGAGTTTCTCTGACTGGAGAGGTGCCAGGTAGGACTGATATTCACAGGGAATGCTGATCCCATCATCTGCAAGGGAGATTACTCATATTTTCATTTAAAGTGCATCTCCATGTATTCAAGTGATCACATCTCACTGACAACAAGTAAATACTTATAACTCAATAAGAACAAATCTAATACTCATACAGGTGATCTAACTTTTACACACTTTTTCCTGTAGGTTAACAAATAGAACCCACCTCATCATCCCTCTATGTTCCTAGCAGCAGGTGACAAATGACCCCAGGATAAACAGTGAAAATGGCTTCCCTATAACAGTATATTATACTATTGTATGATATTTGTCAATTTCCTATTAAAACTTTCCTACTGTGATTTGCTTGTTCTGTTTACCTTGTAAGAATCTCTGAGCCCCGTCCAAACATTCAGGTGAAAGTTCATTGTCCCCAAATGATCCAAGTAGCTCACTGACAAGTATATCTGCCTTTTCTGGAGCCTGCCACTGACGCATATCACAGGATATCACATCCACCTGGTCTCCCCACATCTCATCTTTCATGTTCTCCAGACTAAAGAAGAGAAATCACGGGAAACCTCTAGTTAACAACATTAATATTATCAGGACTGTCTCCCTTATCAAAACAACTGTTTTTAGAAGCATTACAATTATCTGAAACGAGAACACATTATTATTAAAAGTTATGTCCCATTTCCACAGTAATTGTTTTGGTACACAGATATCTGTTATGAGCAAAATATTTCATTTCAATATCAGAAACATACCAGTTCTGTTTCTTTTACGGGAACAGAATTTTCCGCTAGCCACTTACGTAACAACAGCATTGGGATTCTTTTCCACAGCGTAGAGTTTACGTATTTTACGGTCAGCCTGGTGGGCTGCTGCTAGAGCAGCCCTTACAAGTGGTCCTCGGCCAGCTCCCACCACCATTAACACACTGCCAACAAAACAATACACCTTTAGGAACTGCAGTTTGTTACAATTAGCCTGCCAGGGTTGAAACCTTCTATGGTTTGTTGTGATTAGCCTATTAGGGACTGAACCTTCTATGGTTTGTTGTGATTAGCCTATTAGGGACTCAACCTTCTATGGTTTGTTGTGATTAGCCTATTAGGGACTCAACCTTGTATGGTTTGTTATGATTAGCCTATTAGGGACTAATCCCTCTGTGGTTTGTTGTGATTAGCCTATTAGGGACTCAACCTTCTATGGTTTGTTGTGATTAGCCTATTAGGGACTCAACCTTCTATGGTTTGTTGTGATTAGCCTATTAGGGACTCAACCTTCTATGGTTTGTTGTGATTAGCCTATTAGGGACTCAACCTTGTATGGTTTGTTATGATTAGCCTATTAGGGACTAATCCCTCTATGGTTTGTTGTGATTAGTCTATTAGGGACTCAACCTTCTATGGTTTGTTGTGATTAGCCTATTAGGGACTGAACCTTCTATGGTTTGTTGTGATTAGCCTATTAGGGACTCAACCTTCTATGGTTTGTTGTGATTAGCCTATTAGGGACTCAACCTTGTATGGTTTGTTATGATTAGCCTATTAGGGACTAATCCCTCTATGGTTTGTTGTGATTAGCCTATTAGGGACTCAACCTTCTATGGTTTGTTGTGATTAGCCTATTAGGGACTCAACCTTGTATGGTTTGTTGTGATTAGCCTATTAGGGACTGAACCTTCTATGGTTTGTTGTGATTAGCCTATTAGGGACTCAACCTTCTATGGTTTGTTGTGATTAGCCTGTTAGGGACTCAACCTTCTATGGTTTGTTGTGATTAGCCTATTAGGGACTGAACCTTCTATGGTTTGTTGTGATTAGCCTATTAGGGACTCAACCTTGTATGGTTTGTTATGATTAGCCTATTAGGGACTAATCCCTCTATGGTTTGTTGTGATTAGCCTAGTAGGGACTCAACCTTGTATGGTTTGTTGTGATTAGCCTATTAGGGACTCAACCTTCTATGGTTTGTTGTGATTAGCCTATTAGGGACTCAACCTTCTATGGTTTGTTGTGATTAGCCTATTACGGACTAATCCATCTATGGTTTGTTGTGATTAGCCTATTAGGAACTCAACCTTGTATAGTTTGTTATGATTAGCCTATTAGGGACTAATCCCTCTATGGTTTGTTGTGATTAGCCTATTAGGGACTGAACCTTCTATGGTTTGTTGTGATTAGCCTATTAGGGACTCAACCTTCTATGGTTTGTTGTGATTAGCCTATTAGGGACTCAACCTTCTATGGTTTGTTGTGATTAGCCTATTACGGACTAATCCATCTATGGTTTGTTGTGATTAGCCTATTAGGGACTCAACCTTGTATAGTTTGTTATGATTAGCCTATTAGGGACTAATCCCTCTATGGTTTGTTGTGATTAGCCTATTAGGGACTCAACCTTCTATGGTTTGTTGTGATTAGCGTATTAGGGACTCAACCTTCTATGGTTTGTTGTGATTAGCCTATTAGGGACTCAACCTTCTATGGTTTGTTGTGATTAGCCTATTACGGACTAATCCATCTATGGTTTGTTGTGATTAGCCTCTTAGGGACTCAACCTTGTATGGTTTGTTATGATTAGCCTATTAGGGACTAATCCTTCTATGGTTTGTTGTGATTAGCCTATTAGGGACTCAACCTTGTATGGTTTGTTGTGATTAGCCTATTAGGGACTCAACCTTGTATGGTTTGTCGTGATTAGCCTATTAGGGACTCAACCTTCTATGGTTTGTTGTGATTAGCCTATTAGGGACTGAACCTTCTATGGTTTGTTGTGATTAGCCTATTAGGGACTCAACCTTCTATGGTTTGTTGTGTTCAGCCTATTAGGGACCAAACATCATGGATATCTAAGAGATCTATTCCAATCGCCTACAGTGGTGAAAACACTTCTCTACTATCAGTACGTCACAGCTTTCCTAGTCATAGTGTAATGCATATAATATAGTGATCCTTCTTTTCACATTTATGCCTCTCATTTCTTTAGATACAAGTCTAGGAATATGTTTGCTTATAGACATATGATTCTGTGATTTATCATCATCTAATTGATCCATATTATTGAATACTTACATGCTCTTGGTATCTTTATCCTCCGGACGTATTTTGTCCAGTAAAGCACAATAGATTGCCTAAAATTTGCAGAAAGAATATAACCTGGTGTTTGAATTCAATTTTTTCATATTATTAATTTCTATTTCAATATAAAACACACATTTCTAAGAATAACTTAAAACAATTTCATATATTAATGAACTTTTAACTTTTTCATATGACCCCAAAATGCATTTAAAAGCCTTTCTAATATGACAATTTTATTTAATAAAGACTGCTTCACATTTTCATCTTCTACAAATAGTAATTTTCACAAAAAATGAAACAATGAAACATTGTAAAATTATCCCAAGAAATGACTTACGTTATCTTTCCCATAGACATATCTTTTTGATTGGTTTCTAACAAAAAGAATTTTTGAAAGAATCCTAAAATATCTTTCTAACATGATCCAGACAATCTCCTTTTTGAGATGAACCCCCGAAAGAAAACTTTTGAGAAGAAATTTACAGAATGTACTTTTTTCCCTGTTCCATAAGTTGACACTAACATAAACGTACCTTTTGATACTGTGAGTATTTCACAGGATCCTTCTCAAAAATCTCATAAGTCTGTGACTCCAGGTTGTCCATTAATGGCTTTAATAAATCAATATTTAGGTAAAAATGATATGAAAGCATTGGAAAAGATTGGTGGTTTATCTTAATACTAGGTTCAAAAGATTTCTCATGTGAACAAACAGCTATACATTATGGTATATACACCTATATCACATATTTCACGTACCAACCTATGTATTAAAGGGACTGTATGTTAAAAGCATGTATTTGTTATTAATTGCACATGTTTCACACATTTCAATTTACATTTCTATGCTATCCAGATATTCACAGTCAGTTTTCAATGTCAATCTTGATCACTTCTTTGCTTTAGAAATCCCCTCACAAATTTAGCACTTATAACACTATGTAATAGTTTTGAAAACAAGGAAGTTCCTTATGTTAACAAGAACACATGGTGGCAGAAATGACAACAACAGCATTGACACATGAAGTAAAATCCAATTTTTTTGTACAAGATTTTGTTATGAATACAGTAAATGCTATTTGAAATAAGTGCCATTAATCTGCAACATTTACTTGACAGGTTCAGGTGGGAAGCCGTTTTATTTTCTCCAGGCAACAGTATTTTGTTTTGATGCTTCATCATAAATGAAGCAAAAATTTATATCCAGACTGTTGATCAACAGATCATAATTTCATTTTTATATTTATTAATTAAACTCTTTATGTGTATATCTCTGTGAAAACCAACTGTCATTATTCCTAAGGTGATACACCCAATATATATGTGTATATATATATAGGCAATATCAATAAAAAATCAGTTTTACTGTGATGTCCTTTTAAAACTGGCTGTAATTATCTAGATAGTATTGTAGCATTGTTCTGTATCTGAACAGATACATCAAATACTGTTAATTTATTTATCCAGTTATAAAGTTGTAACAACATCAGGGAAATATTTCCAGTTCTACATTTAATGGTAAATACTTCTAGTCCTACATTTAATGGTTCCCTGTTGGTAAATATTTACTTATATCCCTACTTATAACAGACACATTTAATGGTTACTGTTGGTAAATATTTCTATCCCTACTTATACTATCCTTACTTATAACAGACACTGTAGTAAATACTTCTAGTCCTATTTAATGGTTCACTGTTGGTAAATATTTAACAGACACTGTAGTCCTACCTACTTATAACAGACACTGTTGGTAAATACTTCTAGTCCTACATTTAATGGTTCCCTGTTGGTAAATATTTCTAGTCCTACTTATAACAGACACTGTAGGTAAATATTTCTATCCCTACTTATAACAGACACTGTAAGTAAATACTTCTAGTCCTACATTTAATGGTTCACTGTTGGTAAATATTTCTATCCCTACTTATAACAGACACTGTAGGTAAATACTTCTAGTCCTACCTGTAATGGTTCACTGTTGGTAAATATTTCTATCCCTACTTATAACAGACACTGTAGGTAAATACTTCTAGTCCTACATTTAATGGTCAACTGTTGGTAAATATTTCTATCCCTACTTATAACAGACACTGTAAGTAAATACTTCTAGTCATACATTTAATGGTTCCCTGTTGGTAAATATTTCTAGTCCTACTTATAACAGACACTGTAGGTAAATACTTCTAGTCCTACCTGTAATGGTTCACTGTTGGTAAATATTTCTATCCCTACTTATAACAGACACTGTAGGTGAATGCTTTTTATCTTACCTGTAATGGACACTGTAGATAATCCTCATAACCTTTAGCAAACTGAGTGACTGGATCAGGAGCAGGCTGAGTCTGAAATGTGTAAAAACATTTACAAAACAGATCACATTACATATGATAGACAAGTGATATCACCCATGATACACATGTGATATTACATATGATATACAGGTGATATTACCTATGATACACAGGTGATATTACATGTGATAGACAGGTGATATTACATATAATAGATAGGTGATATTACATACGATAGACAGGTGATATTACATATGATAGACAGGCGATATTACATATAATAGATAGGTGATATTACATACGATAGACAGGTGATATTACATATGATACACATATAATAGACAGGTGATATAACATATGATACACTGGTAATATTACATATAATATACAGGTGATATTACATATGATACACATATAATAGATCGGTAATATTACATGATACACTGGTAATATTACATATAATATACAGGTGATATTACATATGATACACATATAATAGATCGGTAATATTACATATGATACACTGGTAATATTACATATAATATACAGGTGATATTACATATGATAAACAGTGACATTTCAATAAAAGATCCTTTGTCCTATCTAGCTAGTCTAAGAATAAGTTATGATCATTCTAAGGAACTCTATAGTAGCAAACCAATCATATAACAAGCTGTCTTGAATACTAAATACTAGTCCCTATGTCACTTGGCAAATAGCTCATACTGTGTGAATGCCTGCTGTGATGGATTGAGACTTTGTTTCAGCAGTTTCTATCATCAAGTTCACTTCAATAACTGTTACTAAACAAATGTTAAACTGATTACATCAAAACAAAAATGTTAACTTTTTCTTCATACACAGACAATACATCTATTATATTTACCACACTGGATTTACACCAGACAACAGATACTATTAAATGCAGTGCTGCACAACTTACCTGGAACAAATGGTCAAGATATTGCTGGTAAGCATGGACTCCCTTGTCCAGGTGACGCTCCACACCAGTCAGGACCAACTGGACATCCAACTGTTAGAGGTATACAACAAAACATATAGAGTGTGTCCCTTCAGAATGTCAACAGGAATTATGTCAGTGTATGGTAAGTAAGAAGTTTCAGATTTATGAGAAAAGGTAGCTCTCTTTCCCCGGAACCAATCATGTGAATAAAAGTCATCATTTTTAACTGGTGCTAATTAATGTACTATCATATAGAATATACATGAAGGATTTGGCTTTCAACTTCTCAGCTTCTAAATATCTTTATTAAAAGTCTTTTTTTTTCTCTCAAGATCTAAAACAGTAAAGATGGCAAGTCACTGTTAATGCCATGGAAAATCCCTGTCAGCATTACCCTGAAGAGTTTATAGAGAAATGCCTGATGAGCCCTCGACAGCACAGGATACCCTTTCTTGTTAGTCATGAACAGACTGGTTGAGATGTGGACACACTTGACTGGTTCTGCTAGCCATCGGTCAAGGATATGATCTGGAGGGAGGTTAGCACACAGCTCTAAAGCCACCTTTATTCTCTTGTTACCATCACACACTGTCCGGAATGTGTGCCACCTGTAACAAAGTAAATAACACTGGTATTCATGAAATTATCCTATGTGATTAAGGATGGTCTTTTATTTTCCCATTGTGTTGTACACTTTAATTTTCTGGTACAGAAAACAAATAACTATCTTTATATTTACATTAATATGCAATGATTTTCAAAAAAACTAAAACACATGATGCTATATGTATCTTTGGAATAGCGGCGAGTTCAATTGAACAGCCACTTTCTACCGTAATCAATAGGTGGTATCACTTTGTAGATACAGTATTATGTAACATTATGATGAGATGTCTTACATGTTTTTAAATATAACCTAAAAAACCTATTTCAACTTATATTAATCACTCTGTTGGCCCTGTGAGCACAAGAAAGGTCATGCTATGGGAGGACACAGGAGTACCCGGGGATGACCTGGGTGATATCAAAATTTTCTCATGGTCCCCATTGACTTTGAGATAATGAGGCTGGATTTTTATTTTCTAAGTAAAAGCACATATCTATATACTATTTAACAGCTTATTACCATTCCCATGTATCCTCTATCTGCTCCTCTGTTTTCTCCTCTTCACCCTCAATAAGACAGTCAACCTGATCTCGGGCAGACATCAGAGGAACATGAATCCAGTATTGCTGTTAAAAGTGGAAATCACACTTACTAACAAGGAATAAAAACAGTCACAACAGCAACTGACTGTCCTGTGATCTAAATTGTCCTGCTTCAAGGACACAGTCACAACAGCAACTGACTGTCCTGTGATCTAAATTGTCCTGCTTCAAGGACACAGTCACAACAGCAGAGGACTGTTCTGTGACATAGAAACCAGGATATAACTAAACACCTTATATCTTCACCTGCGGTTTTATTAGCTCTATCTACTGACTAAGCTACTGCAGTCCCACATTTTCTATAAACTATAAATACAACTACTGAATTGCATATGTTTTTTTCTCATCAACCATTACAGTTACAGTAAACCTTTCAAAATCAATCACTGGGTATATAAAAGAAGAATCTCTTTCTACCCACGCTGACTTCCCTTCATAACACAAATTCAAAAAGATCACTGTAAAATATCTAATTGAATATATATCAAAAATCATATCTATGTTGTTGAGATTAATGTTTATTGCAAGTAATATAAACAAAAATTTAATTTGAAGATAATTAAAGAAGTTGTACAGAAAAAAATTCATCGAAAAATGAAATAAATACTTCCTCCTGTGGTTTTCCTTATACCTGTTGGAAGTAGCTGGATATAAGCTGCTGGTTCAGACACCTGGCCACGTTGCTCACATTCTTGTTACGTAGGGAGATGAGTATGGCAGGCAGACCCAAATGTGAGGCATAAGCCAGCTCTTGCTTGAAAGCCTATGTAAAAAGATTAAAGACACAGATTGTTGGTAAAGCTTGTGAGTAAATATACAAAGGCTTATGCTGGCCCACAGAATATTCAGCACCTGCTAATCAAATAGCAGGGTTGTGCTTGTCATGTTACAATTCACAATGGAGAAATACTCAACAAAAAAAGTATAACATTAATGAAATGCATGTGTAAGAAGCTTGACCAAGTGAAGACTATTAATGTTGTTGTTATGCACTGTCGAAAACCACCTTTGGAATGAGATGACACTGTCACCTTGTCATCTCCATCCCCAACACTTTTCCAAAACAAAAATGGCTGATTATAACTAGTTCTCAGAAATTCAGCATCAAACAGGGTCAATGCACTCTTACATATATATTTCAGGAAAAGTTATAATGATCAGTTCTCAGGAACATGAAACTATTTCTTTTTCATTCATAGTTTTCAGTTGGACAGAAAACTGATACTGCATTTAAATCTTGTTACTTAATTCAACACAGGATAGATTGGTATATGTACAACCTGACACATTTCAACGGGTTTACGTGAAAACAGCTGATACATGTAAAATTCTTTTAAGACATTGAAACATTCATATATGAATATAATTACACTTCTAAGCATTACTACTTACTTTTTATGTCACCCTGATAAAACACCACATGCTGAATAATGTCTCTGATTATCACTCTTGAAATCAATTGATATGTATCAGTCTTTAATTCCAAAGTTTTTTTCTCAGTAAAGTTACTTGTGTCACTGTGTATTTTAAAATATATATTTCAGTACAACAACATGTAGTGATGCTAAGAATATGTAAAAATAGTTAGTGTCAAAATCCATGTTATATTTACTAAACACATATCCTACCTACTTGTTAAAAACCATTTGTCTTTCACATTTTGTTTAGTAACAGGACTTACCACTTCTGAGTTCTTCCTGATGGTCTCTACTTTTGAATCCAGTTGAATCCATGGGGAAACCTTGCCCACAATGAGAGTGTTCCAATCTGTATAACATAGAAATAAGACCACACTGTCTTTTTTTCATCATGTTAGTTTGACCTGCTGAGGTAATGATGATAGATTTCTCCTACAGCCAAAAGGGCTAAATATTACTTTTGATTGGGGGATGAATTTGACAGTACAATGATATACCATTCTTGGTAATCCTACTGAAACTCCCATAGATGGGAGTGATCACCTGGCATGGGCTTATTTATGAATGTTAACCATTGTATAGCATTTCTATGGTGTAACCTAAGCTTACAAAGTTCAGTTGTGTTTTACTAGCTCATGAGCTCCTAACGGTGAAAGACTTGCAAGTAATGAAAATTGAGCATACCTCGCATAATAAGAGTTCAACACTGAAAGTGATCAATAAGCATTGAACAGCATTTAGTAGGTAATCACTGAATTTACTCTTATCCAGTTGACATTCATATTACCAATGACACGTGGTCTATGTAACCTTAAGTGATGATCTGAGGTGTATTGTTCTATACCCCTACTCATGGCGTAAAGATGAGAATGGACTGATCTGTGATTGCATGATAATGTTGAAGGGCACTTTACAGTTATTGCTCTTACTTGAATTCAATAGCATGGGCATCTTGTACAGTGTTCAGTGAGGTAACCACTAATACAGGAAGACACTGCCTCAAAATGACCCTGCAGGTTGTTCATAGGGTGATAAACCCAGCAAAGAATCAAATAAGCCCATGAATGCCAACATGTTCATCACTTCAATACATAATGACAAAATTTTAGTGATTGACAGAACAGGCTCCTAAAACAAAATCTCACTCCTTACCTTGTCCAGTTAATACCAGGTCTGAACGGGTCATGGCTCCAGGCCTGTCCTTTGCAGGGCCATAGATAAATTCCCTCTTGTATCTTGGATTCACTATTGGTAGGCATACAAAATCAAACCTGGAAATATAAATTTCTAAAATGTGTTAATAATCAGTTAGTTGATATCAGCCCATTCAGGACTTTTTACAACAGTATTTTAAAATAAGACTTTTAAAGTTGAAATGGAGAAAATAATGTAGAAGTGTTTATTTCACACTCCTTACATAACAGTCACAGCCATATGGAGAAGGGTGTCACTCTGTCTACAGAGACACATATATGTACAAAAGACAAAAGTGATCTAGGTGCCCACCATTAAATGATCTTTATTGGTTCCATGCAAGACTGACCTTTCCTTAAGTTTCTACTTTTCACTTCTTTCCCCTTTTTGTCTTAATCATTTGATGACAATGGAAACCTACACATGAAATCTTTAAAAAGATCTTACCAGAGCTGTAACAATCAAAATCCAAAATCTTGGTTTTTTCCACTGGTTTGTAATTGGGAATTTTTGTCTCATTTCGGGAAGAATTAAGAGAAGCAGAAGTGAGAAGAAAATGATTGCAAATTGCCGAAATATGAAAAAAGGAATGGGGTCGATAATTGGCCAAAAAAATCCTCAAAATAGCCTTAGAGATGGTCTCCTGTCAGCCATTTAGTTTTAGTTTTTCTTGTATAGACAAAAATTTGAATGGGACCTAGAGAACCTAGTTATCAAGTTGAAAAATATTTTCAGTAATTCTCAAGAATTTAGCGAGAGAAATATCTTCAAATATCACAATACAAGATGGTTACCCGTTATTCATTTTGTTTCACTGAACAGACTCAAAACTGAATGGGCTTGACTTTAGAGAGAGGGACATAAAAATTAAGTTTGAGAAATATCCATCCCATACATCACAAGAATTAACAATAATAAGAAGTGTTTACTGATGAATGGTGTATGACAGACAGAAGACTGACCATGGACAAGGGCAATTTGATCTGAAAATGGTAGGCTAAAAAGAATGAGGTGCTTCATGTTGTTTAATGCCTGTGATATATTGTCTTTCCCTTCACCACCTGTACTTATGATGTTCTATCAACTTTAATATTGGTCTGGACTCCACTCAAAGCCAATATATAAAAGTCAATACAACATCAGATTAATTCAGCGTAGTCTCACCCTTGCCACCTGTACTTATATTACCTTTTAAGATTTTTTTCGCATATCCTTTCTTTTGCTAATTCAGTGACCTTTTCAAAATCATGAAATTTGCTTGTTTTCTTCTTTTTCATTTGTAAACACATGAGTAATACATCTATAGACTAATATTATGCTGGTCCATGCTCATTTTATACATGTTATCATTATGCAGTTTACCCTTTAAGCAGTTCCGCCAGCTCAAGTTCATATTTTACATAAGGAGCCAGAATTCAGTGTCCGTTTCCCAGTTAGATGACTTTAGAGGTTTTGTAGTATACACCTATTGTGCACTTGGGAGCATAGGTACTTGTGAACTCCATTTCAATAGCATTTGAAAATAACAACACAATAGCCTTATTAGTTTTTATAAGGCTATTGTGTGGTAGGCTATTGTGTTGTTTGTTATTTTAATGCTATTGAAATTGATTGCACAAGTACCTGTGCTGGGAGGTATTCAGCTATATGTTTTTTCGAAAGAAAACTGTAAAGGTAAAGGGAATGGGTCTGCTTTAATGACGAACCTGAACTATTCTTGGTCTGTGAATATCTTTTAAAACTTTTGCGACATTAGATGGAACTGCAAACGCACGTGCGTTGTTTGATTTCAACGATATTTCAGTGTATGTCGGATTTTTGCAATTTCGAACAAATACATTACACTTACCCAGATTTACAGACATTGTCTAACGTCGTATTAATGTCGGGACAGCAATGATAGTCACGACCACAAGATAAACGACCCGTCATTCTGCGAACAGGCATGGTAAGCGCCGGAAGTATACTCTAATCGATACTCCTCGGACTTTTACCTATAACAATGGCTACATTTGGGACATCTCGAGTGGTATCCACCCTTTGTTTGGTTGGCAAGACCTCAACAGTTAGGCCTACAAGTATAAATCTAAGATATGGCAAAATTAAGGAAATATGGAACCATACCTCTGTATGTAGTGGAAGACCACAATGAAGTAAGAAACATGACCACTGAATGCACTGTTGTCAGTTGTTTTGCTTAATTTATTCAATGAAACAAATTGGTTTGTGGAGGGCATTACTTTCTTTCTACTAACTGTTGTATTCATTGTAAATTTAGCCCCAAATACGATGATTTGATTTTAATTTGATTTTTGTTGGAATGGACATGAAATTGAAAATGTCTGAATTTATAATGGTGCAGCTAAATGTGTTTTAATTGAATACTGGCTTGAATTCTTATTACATAGATGTTACATTAAACATTGTTTTTTGTTTTTGTTTAAAAAGGTTGTACCATTCATACACAGAGCTATAGGTGGACGATACCTACCTATGTCAGACATCATCTTTGTGCATTTTGATTCTCATCCAGATCTACTCATCCCAGCAGAACTTAAGGCTGATGACATTTTCAACAAAGATATCCTTTATGAGTAAGTAAAATAAACAACCTCTTTTCAATTTTCTGTTATAAGTAGGACTAGAAGTATTTACATCACAGAGAGGACTAAACATGGTTGATTGTTCAGGCCAAATTATAAAATGTTTGCCTCTCACTTCTGATCAACTTTTTATGGTAGCCTGTTACATCAGATTTCTTACAGTGGAGTTTGCTTAACCATTAGAAGCCTCATCATCTTGTGTGTCTAGTACCACCTTAAGTGACCACTCCTTCTCTCCTTCCTTATCACCTTGTGTGTCTAGCACTGTGCCAGCTGACCACTTCTCTCCTTCCTTATCACCCTGTGTGACTAGGATCACACCTGTTAACTGTTTCATCTCTCCACTCTCGTCAACCTGTGTGTCTAACACCTCACACAGTGACCACTTTATCTCTCCTGCCCCTTTTTCTAGGTCCTTAACACTGCACCTGGCGATCACTTATCCATTTCTACTCCTTCATCACCTTGTTTGGCTATACCATGCTTGTTGAACAATCTGTCTGTCTTCCCTCATCGCTTTTTGTGTCTAGCACAATGCTTGCAAACCACCAACTCTACTGCGTCCTTAGCCTGTGTCTTGCACCAAACTCAGTTAATCCACTTCAACTCTTCTCCCTCTTACTCTAAAAAACAGCTAGAAAACATTTTTGTGTGCCAGCTTGCTACCCCAAAAAGTTTAATCTTTGTTGATTCCATAACAATTATACTGTCACAGAAATCACCATAGTGACTTACCATGATCCCCATGATCCCTGCTGGTATACATGAAATTTATTCATAATTCAACAAATATTTATGAAACAAGTAATGGATATGGTAGGTAATCCCATTTCTTTACACACCTTGGTGAAAGACTTTACTATTACCACTGTGACTGCTTGCCCAACCAAGTCTTCCATCCTGTCTTCACATAGCAATGTCAATTCCATATGTACATTAATAATATGCTTAAAGCTGCAGCACCACATCTAGGCATAGTGGTGTTGGAGCTTATTTCTATCTGCACATTGAAGTCATGTTTTGTGGTTGTAGCATTGTGTGATCCTATCCTAATGATACTTTGTTTTACGTGTGTAGGAGTCAAAGCATAGAAAACTGGATACTACCAATGGTTTATGCAGGACACATCAGTAATGTTATCTGGTTTAAACCTCCCTGGTGTGAACAGATCAGAGACAAGACAATTCAGTTTGATGTCGGGAAATGTTCCTCAACAGGTTATCTCAGGTAATTATCAGGGAATAAGATCATCATTTGTATCAATTACTTATGAATCATTAGAAAGTTATATTAAGAAACTTATTTTCTCCTACTTTCTTTATGTGGCATTTTTCAATTTAGTGAATATTATTTCTGTTGTGTTGAATTGTGCACATATCTTTATATTCATTAGGTGAAAATATCAATTACTCAAGGTCAAAAGGTCAGACTTCCTTTAACAACAGTTTACTGGGTGGCTTTTGTTTATTGGTTTTAAAAAACTTGACCAGGGTTTTGTCTTTGTTTAATTTCACTTTCACTGACCAATTGTTGAATATCAATTTTACAGAACCAGCTGTAAGGAAAGTTACTTCGTCAGTGAGACGTTATATAGGCCAGCAGAAAATCTTCTCAACAGAAAATCTCTCACTTTGACTGTCATAACGGTTCAACCAACCAACTGGTCAGAAAAACAATCAATAAATACATGCCAACAAAATGGTGTAGGTAATGGACAAAAAGAGAGAAATATGTGCCATTCAGATGAGAAAACTAAATCAGAAGTTAAAGAAGATCTTCATAAAAATACAGATGTTTTGAGTCAAGGAGAGTCTTGCAAACTGGACACTGGAAGTAAACGTGTTTATGACACAGATACATTACATTCAGATGTTTGCCATGAAAGTATTTGTCCGAAGAAAAAGCAACGACTAAGCCCAAGTGAAAACAGTGATAGTAGTCCATGTAACCTAAGTCAGGAATCATTGTCACATGAACTCATTTTAAAGTTGGAAAATTTATTTGAAAATTTCAAAGATCGTCACATTGTTTTAGATATAGATTTAGATTTTTTTTCAACTAAAAATCCATTTCAAGAGTTGTATAGCCCAAGACAGTTTCAGCTACTACAGGACCTGTATGTGTATTCCAAGCCTACAGATGACTCAGATGAGGTATGCATCACTGTTTCAGATTTTCATGTTTGTTCGGATCTTCCTTACTTCTCACAGTATTTCTCTCTGGAAAGATTTGTACAAAAAGAAATTTTACGGATTTACCTTTTATTTTGTTTAGTTTGTGAAACATATGGTACATGAAAATTGTTTCAGATGCTTTTTTGAAGTGCTTGATGGCTTATTTTGTTAGTTGACATGCTATTTATGGCCTTGGTAAGATTTTTGGCTGTTGGCTCAGTCACAGCAGAGTTGATGGACTTATCTATGTCTTATGCCAGGATGATTTTTTGGAAATTTTCAGATTTGTAAAAATTAAAAAAGTCCATTTTTTCCTTGTCCAGTAATTCTATATCATATCTCAGGTGTTGAGCGATGATTTAAAGCAGTACTAGTCACTTCACAACACAGCTGCTTGACCCGAGGTGCTCCAGCAACGTGCTGATAACACAAATTATCTTTTTTTTAAAGCTTTGTTAGGGGAAAAAATGAGCACACAAACAAAAAATTGAATGGTTTTGTTTTTGTGAATCAGAAACGCTGGCAATGGTAAATTTTTCATATCTAAATGTCAAAGGTCATTGTTGGTGGTACCACTGATAGCTTGAGTACCTAAATCACTATCAATGAATAAAGAAATTGGTGTTCATACAATAGCTCAAGTTGACTTGTTAAGGTAATGCCCCTACCTCATTTAAACAAATCCTTTTTTTCTTTTCACATACTGCAGTCAAAGTCATAATACATTGATGACCTAAATTTTGCACCAAAATTCAACGTACGTGCCGCTATCCAAAATCAATCTTGTTTTCATTTGAGGAATCACTGTTACAAGAAATTTTTATTGCTCTGCAATACATGTAATTTTGAACTGCTTGAGTATAATTTATTCATAAATTCATGTAGCTAGGGAATACAGCGAGCATGAATTTTGTGTTGGAAAATACCTGCATTATGTAGTTGATGTGTTCATGAGAAACAGACAAAAAAGATGAAAATTCAAATTTCTGTTGAGTTATTGAAATTTGTCAAGTTTATTTCTCACACAGGCCATCACAAAATGTGTAGAAGAAAGAGAGGCCCAACTGTCTGAGCTAAAACAGATATTGCAGTCAATGGGGGATAACCCAGGTGTGATTCCAAAACATGACAGGTAACTCAAGTGAAATCTTGTAGATAAGTTAGATGTTTTAAATACACCTGTTTGATGCCAGAGAAATATTCATGATTTATTTTATCAAAAAGGATATAAATATGGCAACAGAAATCATGAATGTAAAGAGGGGTAAACAGTGCTATCTGATTTAATGATGAATAAAAATCGAAAGTTTTAAAGAGGCGTGTTGAAAACTGAAAGAAATCTCTGAACAAAATTGTATTCCTGAAAGGAACAATAAACATTATTTTTTAAGAACTATTGAATCAAAATGCTGTTCATAAGAACACAATCTCATGTTGTTTTAAAGTATACCAGATTTCAAAGAATTTGGTCAAAAACTGAGAAAGGAGATATCTGGAGAAAATAAAAATTTGGAAAAAAAAAACCAAAGGGCAGTAACTCCTTCAAAAATTGTTGATTGAACTGCTGTGTAGGAAAACACAATTTTATGAACATCATTATGAAGCTTAGGCAAAGTTTGAAAGAAATTGGTTGAAAATAAGAGAGCTGATAATCGGACAAGATTAACATTATGAAATGACAAGGGGAAGTGACTCTTTGAAATACAGTAAAATCAGGTAAACACAAAATTGTGTCTTGATAATTAAGCCTACTAAGTTTGCAACAGATTGGTGGAAAAGTGTGAGTGGAGATCTCCAGACAAAAAAAGTTTGAGGTGGGCAACATCATACCTTAATATTTCCCATAAAAATTTTTCATGAACATAGAAAAACCAAGAACACAGGACAATATTTTTCTTCAGAGATCTTTACATCAAGTCTCATCTATATTTACAACAATTGTTATAGATTAGCAGAAAACACATTCAAGTACATATATAGCTAATACTGACGGAGGACCTAACACACAATTGTAGAGAAAACAGTAACATTATGAAATACTTTACTACAGATCTGAGCTGATCCTAACTCTGGTTGAAGACCTAAGACAACATTTTGGAGAAGATGGTGTGGACTTTGGGTTACTACATGATGCTGGCTGTACATGTGATGATACAGAATTGCCTCATCATGTCAGTAGCCAGGAGCAGATAACTCTCCTAGTAGACTCTGTTCAGGAACTACTGTGTCACATGCACAAACCAACTATTATCACTATGGCGAGGTAAATAGACACTGGGAAACCTTACATTTATGCAGTACAAAAGTTGTCCTTTCTTCTGTCAAACTATTGAAATAATTCACCTTATCATTGTTAAACTTCAAAGATGCATATTGTTTGACTTGCCTGCATGTTGTGTTACTTTATAGGGAATGTAACAGTTGTGTAATTATTCTGTAATTAAGATAAACTGGTTATCTAGTCTGTACCCACAGTAAAATAGACCAAGGTACTACCCCTCTGTAAAAGAATGTGTAACAATACTGCCTCTACAGCAAGCAATAGATTAGACTTTTTATCTATTTTTATGCTCCCCTAAAATTTTTGGAAGCATATAACTACTACTTTATCCTTCTATCCCTTCCTTCTGTCTATCCTTTCATGTTCAGATCATAATTTTGCCCTTGATGAAGCAAGGATAATGAAACCTAGTGTAGAAATTGGTAATAATAAGGCAATAGCAACATACTAAATTAAGGGCCCCTAACTTTTCATTTAAAGAGTTATCACCCTCTAGGCTCTATTAAAATTCTTGTCTGGGGCATAATTATGGTTGCATTTAAACTAAGATAATGAAATTAGCTGTATACTGTTACATAGATCATACCAAGACAATTAACAGTGTACCAAATTCATGGCTTGCAACACCTTAATTACAGAATTATTGCCCCTTGTTAAAATTTTTGTTCCAACAGTCATTTTCAAGGAGCATTCATCAGTTAAACTAATACTAATACTGTTTTCCCAACAGGGTCAGATGGCAAGTTTTTTACTCAATTGACATGCACAATGTTTTGTTTTTTAATTATCATTGTGGTCTTGACAAGATAGTGTGCGAAAATATTGAAGTCAGTGTCCATTGACATTAACTAACAAGGACATTTTTGGAAATTTATTTTAATTTGGTTGATGCAACTCCCTCTCTTTTTTAGATCTTTGTTTGTTTAATTTTAACTTTCCTTGATTTTGTCATAAGTCTAAAATGGATGAAATGGTTGTATGATGCAGTGTGACTTCCTTACCATCTTTTAAATTTGCATTTGTGTTCCAATCCATACTCATGTGTACTTTTTTAACATTCCTTTTAGTACCCTTGAGTGTTCATGTATTATTGTTGTTCCAGATCCAGTAACGATGACTACTGCCCTCCAGATCAAGTGGATTACATACAGGATCAGACCCTTGAAATCTTACAAGATCTTTACTTAAAGCTCAATCTTACTGCATCTTATTGACCAGGAAATCTAACAAATTCTCTACACAAAGCTCAACCTGACTGCATCTTATTGACCAGGAAATCTGACAAATTCTCTACACAAAGCTCAACCTGACTGCTTCTTTTTGACCAGCAATCTCACAAAATCTCTACCCAAAGCTCAATCTGACTGCATCTTATTGACCAGAGTCTTACAAGCTCTGTATCTGACTTTCAAGCTGACTGCATTTGATTGATCAAGACTTTTGACCAGATCTCTACCTGAAGATGTGATACTCATCCGAAATATTCTAAAGTGATCAGATTCTGAAGAAAACATCACTACAACTCATATCACCTGTGTTAAAATTTTATTATATAAAACTTAAAATATTAATCAGCGAGACTTTTTTTTCTTTGTGTACTTCTGGGTTTTTTCTTCTTTAGTGTTTGACATCTGAGTGAGTAGGTCCTTCATGCCCTTGTCCTTGATATGGTATCCTTTACCTTCACCTTTATAACCTTGTTTGGACCTTGGCTGCCAGTTCTTCTTTCCTCCGCTAAAAGTTGGTTCATCATCCTACCAACAATATAGATCCATGATAAATATTGATGCTGTATGCTTGAGTGATTAACAATAACCAGACATGTAAGCTTGCATTATTACAACAAAATAGTTCTGTACGCTTGCAGTAACAGGTATATATTTCTTTCATGCACGAGTGATTGACACAGTGAGTCCGACATAGATTCATAGAGAAATTCAAAAATTAAATTCACTTCTGACTTATGACTCCTGTAATAGTTCAATCAACTGAAACATGTAGAATGGCACAACCATGTGTTTACAGCAATTAAACATTGAACCATACATTAACCACAATAAATACAGTAACTAAATACAGCAGTGATAAGTACCCGATACTAACAATGTGTGTGCTTGGTTTAGGAATATGTTCATTGATATCTGACCAATTATACCATAGTGAGTTAGGAAGTCTGGACTTACCATATCTAACCGTAGAGGGTTTGCCTCCATCTCATGGTCCTGGGTCCCTTTCCAACCCGTTTCTTTTCCTTTAGCCTTTTTCCCAGGTGGCCCTAAACACAATCAACAGGTTAAAGGTCAACAAATCATGTTTATGTTGGGTTAAAGGTCATTAGCTCTGGTTTACATCTGTTAGATTAAAGATCAGTAGATCATGTTTACATATGTCAGGTTAAAAGTCATCATCAGATTATGTTTGTGTTGGATTAAAGGCCATTAGCTCGTGTTAACATCAGTTAGGTAAAACGTCAGCAGTTCATGTTTACATGTCTGATTGAAAGTCATCAGATCATGTTTACATCTGTCAGGTTAAAGGTCATCAGATCATGTATACATGTCTGGTTGAAAGCCATCAGATCATGTTTACATGTCTGGTTGAAAGCCATCAGATCATGTTTACATGTCTGGTTGAAAGCCATCAGATCATGTTTACATGTCTGGTTGAAAGCCATCAGATCATGTTTACACGTCTGGTTGAAAGTCATTAGATCATGTTTACATCTGTCAGGTTAAAGGTCATCAGATCATGTTTACATGTCTGGTTGAAAGTCATTAGATCATGTTTACATCTGTCAGGTTAAAGGTCATCAGATTAGATCTAACTTTGTGATGTTAAACACCATTAGGTCATGTTTACATTTCTTTAGTTAAAGATCATCATGTTTACCGTACATATGTTAAGTTCAAAATCATAAGGTCATGTTTACATATGTTAGGTTAAAGGTCAGAAGATCACATTTATATCTGTCAGATTAAAGGCAGGGCTCTCACACCCCATTTTGGGACTGGGGCCCGGGGCCCTTAGAATTGGGAAAAATAATGGTGTTTTCCTTAGAAATGGGAAAACGTCGGGTCTAAATTGGGAAAAAAAGATACTATTTTGCATTAGGAATTTGGCCCCAAATCTGGCAGATCGAGAGCCCTGAAAGGTCATCAGATCATGTTTACATCTGTTAGGTTAAAGGTCAGCAGATCATGTTAACATGTGTTAAGTTCAAAATCATAAAGTCATGCACACATGTGTAGGGAAAAAATATAAAGTCATGCACACATGTGTTAAGAAAAAATATAAAGTCATGTTTATATGTGTTAAGTTCAAGATCATAAAGTCATGCACATATGTGTTAGATAAAAAGATCATAAAGTCATGTTTACATATGTTAGGTAAGGATATAAATACTGTGTTAACGACAACACTCTAAGATATCCAATGAATAACAATGGGTAGAGGTATAGTGTTTTTACCTTCATTGAGAATTTCATTGAACAGTTTTCGTTTCTTCTGACTCTGTCCTTGGACTTCCTTCCACTCCTGTAGTCGGTGTTTGTAGTGAAAGATGCCACAGTTTTTGTGTACATAAAAGCCAAATCTGTCGCCTTGGAGCTTTGACTCATTACGCCCTAACTCCTCTGCCACTATGAGTTTCTGATTTAGGGTTGCACATTTCCACATGTTGTCTAGAGTTCTACTGCCGTTTTTATCACAGGCTATGTCCATGTACGTCCCCTGGACAAGTAAAGTTTGGTATATTGATTCAAAATCATCTATAGTTTTAGTTATCTCTCACAAAATGTTTAAAAATTAGTAAGAAAGAAGTGCACAGTAATGGTATATCAGTTTTAGGACATGGCTGGTGTAAACATAGTGTACACAATATATCTACTTTGTTTCTGTAGACAATAGATATCAACCAAGTTTCATGAGAATCATGTAAATTAAATGTGTAGAATCAGACAACACTAATATCATAGTTTAATTAAAAATACCCGGTACACCAAATGTATTAATCTGAAGCAGCACTTTAAACAGATAGTTTTGCCGTATTAACTTATTTTATCTTCTTGGTTGTGGGATGCTCCTTACAACATAATGCCTTCAAATTTGTTACGGTATGTAAGAAATTCTAGAAGTATACAATATCTCTAGCAGTCAGTTATCTATGATTATCAATGAGTCAACATGTGGGTTCAGATACATTACTTGAAAAATGAACCAAATGCTCCAAACAGAATGATAAAGCCTTTCATAGCTCCACTTATCAATAAGGAGGAGGGCATGCTCTGATATAACAGTATACTGTACTGCCTACAAATGGACCTCAGAAGGATCATTGCATTATTTGTTTCTTAATCCCTTAATGTTGAAACATTTGTCTCTTCAAATTTACTTGACTGAAACAATTAGCATATTCAGACGATATTGAGATCAAGAAACATGTTGCACTATGACTTCTACTGTTTACACTTGTTAAAGTAACAGTAACAGATCAATGCAAAACTTCAGGGTATCACACTTGTTAATATGATTAGTCAAAAAGATTTAAACCAACCTTCATTCGTTTGAAAAGCAGATCACGACTCTTTTCCCCCATGGAGGGACTTTGACAGAAAACATCAACAACATGGCTGCCACAGGGATTGCACACTAAATTACGTAGCTCTGCTGGTGCGAGGTCCAGAATTCCACTGACTACAATCTTAGGGTTACCAAAGCGCAGCAAGTTTTGCATCAACACTGAACCATGATAATTTATGTTCTTCAAAACAGGGACAATTTTCTCCTTCTCCTGAAACATCAACATATTCTCTAATGTAAAACAATATTTCTGGATCTGTGATCCTTTTGTTCTGTAGAGTTCATTTCCTCATAATAAATGGATATTTAAATTTTGTCAGGAAAGTTTGAAGATGTATAAATAACATGCTGTTTATAGTGTTTAGTATTTTTAGCTTTAAAAAGTAAAATAACAGTGAACTTGACCTTGATTATATTAAGCAGTTTTTTACATCTACATATCATTTTGAAAAAATCTCCAGAAATGTGAATGGACATGAGGAAAGGCAGACAGGCATGTGACCATAATCATGATGAAGTAATCTTATATTGATAACAATAAAATCATGTTGTACCTCAGTTTTTACTGATTTATCAGCATTATCTGCATCTTCATCGATACCAAAGTACACTTCATATGTGGAAAGAGATAGCAGCAAGGGAGACAACTTAGTCTGTCTTTCCACTGGATCTGCACAATGAAATGCTCCCATAATGCACTAAAAACGAAAAGTTTACTGATAAAGATCACTTCCTTTTCATATCAATATATTTAATATCATTTTTATCATCAACATACTCTTTACAATTTTTTTTAATCCAACCGATTGGTGAACATTACAATGAAGATATATTTTCAAACTTTTCCAATTATTTCATGAAAAAGATTCTATATTGGACTTCTGAATTTAACTCCCAACTTAGTAGCTATTCTAATCTATATCTCCTGCATCACATTTGGGGGTCAAAATGCTTCAGTTTATGTAAATCAAAATGACAACCTTTTTATGCTAGAGCAGACAGAGAAAATGGTGATTCAGAAGACTTACAAAAACAAGGAGTTTGAGGGATTTAATGACTTAGCTAGGGTTTTAAGCCTTTATTAGCTTACCTGGTAATTTAGGGCCATAAAGAGATGATGATCATCATGAAATAATAGCTCAATCCCACTGGTGAAATTTTAAAAGTTTGAAATAGGTGTTGCACAGGAAAACCATGATTGCGCAATCATGTTACAAAATGGCCTCCCTGGCTGCCGTATCATAGTTTTGAAAAGGTAGAAAAATAACAACACTTTGTTGGCTACCTTTCATTAACATTCCCACCACTTTTTAGCGTAATGGCACCAGTGGAACTGGAGAATAAGTTTAAAATATGTTTTACAAGATGGCTATATGGCACCATCTTGGATTTCAGACATACCAGAAAAATAACAACATTTGGTCAGGACCATCTCAGGATCATTTCATTCAAGTTTGAACTCGATCCCATTGGTGGATCTTGAGAAGAAGTTTGAAATGTCAAAAGTTTACGCATGGGGACGATGATGGACTAAGCACAATTTTAGTTGAATTTGTAAAAAATAGGACCAAACAGAATTTCAATTCAGCTCTACAAAATTAAGAACAAGAAGAGGTATTAACCAAACATTGATTATTTCCAAAAACCTTTTAGACAAATAAGACCAGCAACAATTGAAATTCAAAATGAACTTCAAGCTGATCCAGAACCTTAGAATATGTTACAGCATGGATATTGTATATTGGACCTACTTTAATATGTTTCAGAGTTTTGTTTGTTTTTGTAAAATTAGGTAAAAATACCTTCAGATACCCTGTAGTTAAAATATTAGCCATTAAAGCCAATTCTCCATTGGTATTATGTTTATCTTAAATTTTCTGTACCATCATGCAATGTCTACTTACCCTAACCAGTTTTTCTTGTCTACACCCTAGTCGGAGACAAGTTTCAGCCATTCTTGTTACCACACCCAGGTGATTGAGAGCCAAGAGATCCTCGATTAGGACACTCGCCTCTTCAAACATCTCCTCAAACTGTAGCACAAACAGCAAACCATTTATAGCTTGTAACACACTTCATACAGATGCAGCTTTTGTTCTCTACATATATGATATTTAATGGTTTTCAATTAAATATCAGAAATATGTTACAAGTATGACAGCATAAAGATATCGCATGACTGAAAAATACTGTGTATATATATTCTGTAACATGAGAGCGATATACCATATTCAAAGAAAAATCATAAATTTTTTCTTTTTTTTTTACATTTCTGGAAGGAAACAAGATATGTTTGAGAAACACTGCATTCTCAAGGGAAAGCCACTTGAGAAGGTTAAACAAAGATCAGGGTAAAACATTACACTGAGAGGAAGTTTTTCAATACATTGAAGGTGAACATGTGGTACCATCATGCGAAAGGTCATGAGGAATGCACTAAATAAAAGAGCATTTTCTAAAAGGATATAAGAAAATGCTTGTTATAGCAATTACCAGACACACAACCCCAGCATATATTTAAATCCACTAAATGAAGAGAAGAATTTGTTGTTTTTACCATTTCTTCTATTATTTTCATTATTAGAGTCCTGTATTATTTTCACACCAGGGCACTCGGATGTTGGATCTCATTTTGATCAATATTGAACTCATCTGAGATCACACCGATATCAACCAATATAAGAAAATGGTAAATATCTGACATTATTAATTCACGTTCTCTTATATCGCTTTATATGTATTTTACGACCTGTGTAATATTACAACCAAAATCAGCCAACACCATTATGAAGCCTAAACAGTAATGGCTGAATAAATTATACGGCCAAACATTAGCTGATGACATGGAACATGTGTAAACTCTTAATGTCATGTTCTGCTTATTATCACATTTTTCCCTGACAAATAGGACATGATATTATGCGAGTTTCACTGTACTACTAAACAGGAATATCTGTGAACTTCAACCATTAGTAATGGAAAGGAACATTCATATTGGTCAAAACTACAAACATATCTCCTCACTGGAAAAAGTAAATCCTCACTAGATGACAAAGATTTTTTATATCATCATAAAGTGATAAATAAAGCATCTATAAAATTGATATTTTTTATATTTCATGAGCAAAATTATAATAAATAGAGGATATTTAATAGTGTCTTCAGTAAAAACAAATATATTTAACAAAAGTGTCTAATATTATAGTATCTTTCACCAGTGAAAATATTAGACATACCAATGACATATATTTGTTATCACTGAATACACTACTAAATATTCTATTTATTACATTTTACACGCACAAAATAGCCAAATGACTGGCATATTTAGTACAGATATAAAAGGAAGAATCTGACTGTGCTTGTTGCGGATACTACTCACTCATTATAACTTTGCAGTATGCGACAAAATATTGTCCCTTTTTTTTAATCTTTGAAAATATATAAACACAAAATTAAATTTCAATGTAAATTAATTTTTATATTAACAAAGAAAAAGTTACTTATTAATGTAACTAACAGACAAAATTTGCATTCAGAGAGAGTTTAACATGTGACAAGTTACTACACAGCTAAGAATATAGCAGCAACTTAGCTGTTGCTATTGATGACACGAATACTTTTGAAATGTCTAGATCTACTTTCAAGATGTTTGACTGGGTTTGATCTCTGATAAGGTAATTTGAGCTGCATTGTTTGCTGACTTCCTGCTGACTAGTAAACAACCTTTCTAGGTTTCTGGTTTTGTGATCATTTGGGTTTTATGATTTGTCAATTCCATAAGATGATTTTTCATAGGTGTATGTCTGCAAAATTTATTTTCCACTAGTTTTATCAACAAGATATTTCACAGGCAAAACAACATAATAATATATTTTATTTCACATATTGAGGTATATATATATATAGATGTTGTGGACAAATCTAAAGAACAGAAATACTTACAAGTTCTTTTTCCTTGACATTAGAAAGAAGTTTCTGTAAAATGAAATTGGCAACAGGATGGAGGGCATAGTACGTAAGCTTTCCTTTGAAAACTTTCTTGTAGATATCTCTGTACATGTCTTCAGACCCAAGATTTAATATCTGCTCCACCAGGAATGAACCGATCTCATCTGTTGCTATCGCTGGTAGACTGAGAACAATAAGTAATAGAATAACAAAAGTATCATGGTGACAGGTAAAATTAATTATTGTGAAGTTTCCATTGGTGAAATCATACTAATTTATGGCCAGTGGAACTTCAGGGCTCTCGATCTGCCAGATTTGGGGCCAATATTCGGCCCCATTCCCAATGCTAAATAGTATCTTTTTTTCCCAATTTAGACCCCAAGTTTTCACAATTCTAAGGAAAACACCATTATTTTTCACAATTCAAAGGGCCCCGGGCCCCAGTCCCAAAATGGGGTGTGAGAGCCCTGAACTTAACCTGCCTCCCACAAAACATGGTCTAGCCATGTCCCCCTATCGTAACACATTGTCTAGTAATTTCTGAACAGCGAAAGCCTTATCTGGAATTCTTCTCCATATCAGAACAGAGAGAGAATTAGCTCCAATCAGCCTCAACTGCTGAACAGACAGCCTTGCTTTGATTTCCCTCCTTTATTCCAGAACAGAAAGAGCTTTACATGAAATACTCTTCCATTTCTAAACTGAGCAAATCTTACCTGGAATCATTCTCCATTTCAGAACACAAATCAGATGTGTTGAGGACCTTGAGCAGGTATTTTTTATTTTCATCTTCCTTTTGATGGTGAACCAGCAGCAGTGTTTGTATGACAGGATTGGTGGTGGAGGAGCACAAGCGATCTAAAATGTATTTTAACCTACACATTATCAGCTATAATAAGGTGTAAATATCTTGTCTTGTTTTTTTTATTTCTAATAATTTAGATTTCATTTTTCAAAGAATGTCTGCAGCAACAGTACAGTGATTTTTATACTAAGTTAAACACAAATTTAAGCATCAGTACTTTCTTTCACACGATCCTTACTGCATTCAGATTAAAAATACTTTCGAACTCCATCCATTGTTTCAAGATCAGAACAATTTGACATCCAGGTAATGAGACAATTGAGTACTTCAATATGATATTTGATATTTGGAAAGTTGGATCATTCTAAGCACCTTTATAATACAACAAAAATTGATGATTAGGAATAGCAAACATGAAAGATTGAGCTTACGACTGTTAATCTTTTTTTTTCAAAACAAAATTAGGTTTACCTTTAAAGTCTTCCATGCGAAATATTTCCTTTGTCATCTTTTTCAGCATTTTTCTAAATAAATCTGGCGGTTCAAATTTGTCAAACGTTGGTAACATATTTTGTTGATTATCTGAAATTATAAAATGTTAGGTGGAAGTTACATTTGCATATAATCATTCATTTGTTTAGAAGTTTCTAAACATTTACCACTTAAATGAATTGTGATGAAACTTCTACATACATGAGCACATATTAAAAGTGACCATTTTATCAAGTTTTACTTTTCAATCATACATTGTCCAATTTGAAACACACAGGTTGGGTTTATTGGTAAGAATTTCCTTCCTCTTAAGATAACATGTATATCAATCAATCATGAATCTAACCTCTTCTTTGGTTCCTTGACAATCTACTTCTGATGACCTGTTCATCCACTGCAACACCAGCCAGAATCTGAAGAATCACTCGAACAATATGTGAACTGTAAACATCCAAACTGTTCATTAAATTATCCTTCACGTAACAGCACAGGTTTAAAAATAAACCTTCTAATGTAAGATCCTCCTCAGTCTCCTCTACATCTTCTGATTCCAGCTTTGTTTTCAGACACCTTGGCACTTGAGCTAAAGTGTTCTGTAAAACATGGCTTGCAAAGCGGTCAGTTAACATGTCTGACCAATCTGATTTAAATATCTGTAGAAGAGTTCTGATGTGACTTGCTTCACTAAGCCCTATCAATCTCTCGAATATACGACTGGTACTAGCCAAGTGACAAACCTTTAAACCATCCTCTTTCAGCTGACCAAATACATTATTCAGGAATATATCTGTAAAACAAAAGTTTGAACATAGTTATATGCACATTTCTATTTAAGCAGGAACAAATTGCTTCTATTAATTAGATTGGTTACCATGCTATTGTTCAACTGTAAATAACATCACAGCTGTCTGAAATTCTAACTGCAAATTGAGAAATACATCATATAAAATGAATACATGTCATTCCAGTCCTCTAATTGTTAGATACTTGTTTTGTCTTTTGACGCAAATTACACCTATATTGACTGTAACTGTGTTGGGGTTTGGATCAACTTGGGGCTAGAACGACTTGATTCAAATAAATTTCTGTGTACATTGTATAATGGGAGAAAAAGGTTTTAGTAATGCCCTTATTTTTTTAGATTTCTCAATTTACAACCAGAATTTCAAGCATTTGTGAAATACATGAAGTTGTCTCACAGGCATTAGCTTCGTCTGTCAATACACCCATATACTAATACATGTATATCGGTGTATGATTGTATTGACAGTCGTAGCTAGTACCTGTGCAGGTTGCATTGGTATATGTAAAGTGCAGTGGTATTTGTCAACTCGAAGTCCAGTCCCACAGACAAATATATCATCAACGTTTACTTTAAAGACAAAAACAAAAACTCGCATCCAGTGAATGAAGCTTTACATCGAATAAACTCTGTCAATATGACTGCAGTATAGCAATGAACCAACAACAGCAGGCTAATCAACGAGTACCTTTATCTTCACTTGAGTCAAATTCTTCGTCCAAAGTTTCTGATACCCTTTTGTAGTAATTAATCACTTCATCTGGTATTCTGTCCTTTTTCTTACTCTCTTGTGATTTGTCTTTCCCTTTCTTGTGCTTAAACGTTGACATTTTAGAAGTGGTGTAGCAGAGCAAAACAAATACACGTGCTCCGATTTTCCCGGAAATGGCTTTTCTAAGTACGAAAATGTGACTGTGCTAAAATGATTAAAGTAATACAATGGAGATTTTATAATAATTTAAGGTGTGGTAGAGATCAAAATACAAAGTATGTATTGATGCTTAATAACCTCACCGGAAAGGAAAGCTGAATAATACAAAAATCATGTTAAGAACCATCGTGATACGAAACTATTTATTCGAGAACTTCCGGGGAGCAATGCTAGCTAGCAGGCAAGCAGTAACCTTTGGGGAACTTTGTAAACACATCAAGATGTCTCACCGTTATATGACTTTTGGTCGTAGAGGGAGTGTTCTTCTGAGGAACCTCTTTTCGGAACGATCAACAATTACTGAAGTATGCTTAATTAAGATGATATTTGTGAAATCTGATAGGGAAAATGCACTGTCAACTGAAAAGCTGATCATTTAGGCCTGCGTTACACAACCAAACAATTTTTATATAAAATATGCAGTGCCCAGAACCGAGCGCAGTTTGATCAATGACATGTACAATTGATATATAAAACGGGAGTATTACTGACAGTGCGTGAGTGTAGACAAAATTCCATGTCATACGTTTATATTCGTATTTAGTCGATCTGCCAACGGCCTTAAATAGAATATATTCAAAGTCTGTGGTTAAACATTGAGCATAGGCCAGTTATTTCACAAATATACGAAAAATCAATTGTCTTAAAATATGAGTCTGTTTGCTGTTCAGAACATGCTCAGAAATCAGAATTTTATCTGTGAATTAAGATATTATACTATTTAAATCACAGAAGTTGAATGTTTTTTTCATATTTTGTATATGATCCCTGCAAGTTTAGTAACTGCGGTATAATTCATATATAACACTACTCAACCCTGTGAAACATTACCCTCTTCAACCTAATGCAGCTGTATATTATGCAGACAAATAATACATTGTCTATTCTAAAGATGGCCAATACAGGCAAATAATGAAGAAATAAATTGTATCGACCATGTTACGTTAGTGTCTTTTCACTGTGGAGAATATTTTTAGTGCAAGAAAAGTCAGTAATGTGCAGTTTGAAAATACTTACCATTTCCCTTTTGATCTAAAGATCCTTTTGATCTAACTTACGTTTTGAGTTTCAATAGAAGACATTAAGTAAATCGTTTTAAGCCCAATGGGCCAGATTCATGTATTTATGAATAACTTTGTCTTGTGTGATCAAATCAGTTTTGCTTTTCGATAAAAGATTAAAAGGACTGAATTGAGCTGTCTTGTTAAAGCTTTTAGCTGGATTAAGGTAAAGAAATTAAAAGATGGTTAATCATAAAGATTTAATTATGTTTATTCTACCAATAAGTGTGAGCAAATTTTATCACACATGAGAAACAATCAAAAACCTTTTCAAAATCAACCTTTCAGTGATAAAAACACTGGGCTCTTATCATTTTTCCAGCACTAAATTGCAATCACCACATATAACTATCATTCTTGGACTCATGAAGAATTTCTGCTGTTTTAGCATAAAAGGTTGGGCTATTAGAATTGGGACCATATAATGTAACTGAAGTCAGTTATTACCTTCAACTTCTTGATCCAAAAGAAATTCCCTGTCAATATCTTTTCTTCTCCTTTACCTCATCTCAAAGTTATCATTGATAAGTATTACTACCCCCTCTGGAGTTCCATTAAATAGAATTAAGATATTAACTTTATCTTCATTCACACTGTAAAATATCTTCATGTTCCTCTGTAAAGTGATTGTCTCAAAGACAGTAAATATTATATTGCTTGTCTCTAAAATAAGTCACAAAATCTTTGCACTTAAACTCGTCACCTAGACCCCGACATATGGCAGATAATATTCTAATACCCTTCACAAGTGTTCAACAGATTATAATAACTGATAAATTTAAGCATGAACCCAAATATTTTTCCTTCGCAAACTTCTTGTAGTTATTCTGCTTTTGTATTGATTTTGTCTAATAACATCAGAGGAAATTCAGGTATCAGAAAACGTATTGCTTCTTGGTTCAGTTGTACAAGAGCATAGTTGAAGAGTAAATCAGTTAATTATTTGTAAAGGATGGTACAATTACTATTGATAAAGTAAGAATTTCTGTTTAAATGTTTGATCAAATTGTTTCAGTGTTGAAAAAAGTTTATTGTTAAAAAAGATCTCCCTCAAGTTCTTATTCTGTAGGAATAACAGGATTTTGCCCAAATTTGGTCCTAAGCATCCTTGGTTAAAAGTTGACTTAATGTTTGGGTAAAAGTTGACTTAATGTTTGGGTTTTTTTTCTGCAGATCAATAGAGAAATAACAATGCTGAAAAAATTTTTGCGGTCAAGGGAAATGGATTCTCTGATGCGGCATTTCAGCTCCACTGTTCCAAGGCTTTCAGACAAACTCCCAAAAGGGTTTGAAAATTTTAAGGAAAAGGTGAAAAACAGATCAAAACAAGACGGTTAGTTTATTGTTCTTTGTTACTGTAATGCTGAACAAAACATTAAATGACTATATCAATTGATTCCACATACACAATATTTAAGGCATTTGAGACATAGTCTCATGATGACCTGTTTCGATCACCTTTTGTCCGATGTCATGTGTGTTGTGTAACGTTAACTTTACCATATTTTTTTTTATTTCCATTTTAAAACCCCTGAACTGATTTCACAGAAATATTTCAGGAACCTTTCATGGACAAAATTAAACCAAAAAAATCACAGAAGCAAAAGCATGCTTTTACTTTTCTCTTATTATAAAGCTGATGATGATCGCTGCCTTTATTTATATCAAATCCAGAAACAAAAGAGAGGGATTCCAAGATAGAAGACAAGGAGGACAAGAAAGATGATAACCAACCGTGGGCAGATCTGCAAGGAAAAATGTTTGAAGACATGAAATTAGCTTTTGAAAAGTATAGAAAGGAACAAGAACAACAATCGGAAAAACCAAAAGCCCCGAAGTAAGATGTACATACATGTCAAAGAGTGTGAACCTTGATTGAAATTATATGGCTTTTGGTTCATATGAGTACGTTTATCACACAACTTTCTATGACTTTGCCTCTTTTTTTATTTGCATTAAATCTAAGATCTTGAAACTTGGTGTATACATTTTTCGTTCTAACAGAATGTGTTGTATACCAACTTCAGAGTCTGCAACCCTTTAATTGCAGAATTATTGCCCTTTGGTAAAATTTTGTGTCCAATGAAGTTGTTTTCGGAGACCACTCATCAGTTTCACTGATTTTATAATTTTTTTACATACATTTATTTCTTTCTTTACATAATTTTTTTTTTCCAGAAATGACTTTACGCTGCCGATCACGGTTTTTATATTAGCATCACTGGTGCTTTATTTAGCTTCATCAAACATGGTAAAAGAAGTATCATTCAAGGAATTTATCAACAGTTACCTCAAAACTGGAATGGTAAGATGGAAATAAGTTATCAATGGTTTTAGTTATTATTTGTGCCCCTTGATCATTTTGTCTTCATTCCATCATAATTCCTTTTCTGCTCATTTACTTTTTACCAGATATACTTAGATGTATTTCAGTGTTATGGCTGTTTGGGTTGAGGAATTTTCATTAGAATTTTCACATTTGATTGATAAACAGCTTTCACCTGTTGTCAATCAATCATTTGAGATAGAAATATTCTTGATATAAAACCTCTTTGCATAAGAAATTATTTGTTTAACTTTCTGTTTTATGTCCCTTGCAGTTGAGAATAAGCTATGAAATTGTACATCTGGAGATGTCTATATGTGTCAATTGTTAGTTTACCAGTATAAGTCAAAATGACAAATATTACATATGTCAAATGTATATAGCAGTGAAATTTTATATTAAATGTCCCCACAGGAAATAGCAGACCTGAATCATTTGATAATAACTGTGAACTATATCTTTAGATTTTATTTCTAGGTGAAAAGCCTTATTGTTACCAACAAAGAACATGTGGAAGTGAAATTCAAACCCGAGTTTGTAAGTACGGGTCTACCATCCCTTAAAAATACAGGTTTATCATCCCTTGTAAATACAGGTTAACCATCCTTTTAAGTGTGAATTTACCATCCTTGGTAGGAATAAGTTTGCCATAACTTGTAAGTACAAGTTTACCATCCCTTGTATGTACAGATATGCCATTCCATGTTAGCTCACCTGCTCTCTTGGCAAATGAACTCATGCTGTGGTGCTGCATCCTCTGTCTGTTCCTCATAGGTAGATAGATCCCAACAAAGAGAAGTGCAATCTACCAGAACCATCACTCTTTTGCATATTTTAGGAGTTATTGCCCTTTGTTATTATGGAGCATTACATTTAAAATATAAGGGGTATCGACATGAAACTTCATAGGTAAACAGATCTCAACAAGGAAAAGTGCATTGCACATGAACCATCACTCTCTTTTGAATAATTTAGGAATTATTGCCCTTTGTTATTTTTCATACTTAAATTTTGTCCCAATTGGGGAGCATAACGTGTCTCTGACCTTGACCTTGATCTATGTTTAATGCCACAGGGGGAAAATTTGTCAAAACATTTAAACAAATCCTGGCTTACAGAAAGGTCTAGAATCATGATATTTGGCTGGTGAGTTGAGATAATGAAACCCAACAAAGTTTGCGAAAATAAACGGCATTGACCTATATTCAGGGTCATGAGAGTAAAAATAGTCGAAATATTTTATCAACATCTTGTGAAGTAATAGAAGGCATGGAAGCATGATATTTGGTTGTATTAGGCTTAAAAGTGTTTTGGATGAAGACCAATAAAGTTCGAAAAAAAGATATGACCTTAACCTGTATTCAAGATCACAGGAGTCAAATTTGTCAGAACCGTGAAAAGATTTTTTTCTGCACTACTTGAAAATCTAGAAATGTGATATTTGGCTGTGAGGTCTTTTCTAAATGGAGGCAGACAAAGTTTGCAAAAAGAAATGACCTTAATCTGTATTCAAGGTCAAAGCGGTTAAATTTTTCAAAACTTTTAAATGGGATAAAGATGGACATTGTTTGACCTATATTAAACACAGGGTCATCATGATAATAGATGGTAATATCACAGGGTGAATTTGCCTAAAACTTTTATTTTTGGGACTGATCAGAAAAGCAAAATGGCTGACTGGTATGCATTAGAGATTTTGTCTATGGAACATTGTTAGCATTATTTCTTTAAAAGTACAGGATGGTTCTTTCTCAAAGTTCACATGTAGGTTCCTTTTTATGCCTATTAGCACTTGTTAAGTTTTTAAAGGAATGGCTCTCCTTGGTCCCTAGTTGTGTCTTTCTGCTTTTGGATCTGATTACAAAAGCAAAATGGCTGACAGCTATCTTGGATTTTGACTATTGAAGTTTGCTGTCACTATTTCTTGAAAAGTAATAGATAGGCCTTTCTCAAATTTTACACTTGGGCACCCTTGATCCTTTTATGGCACTTGGTTTTGGGTTTGATAAGAAATGGCAGCACACGTTGGTTTTGATAGTAAATGTGTGTAGTTATACCTTAAGAGGTACTGGATGAACTAATTTCAAATTTTGTTTGCAAGTTCCTCTCAGTCCCACACCTAGTTATGCAGGCAAACTAACGAGCACCAATCATGTCCAGCTTCACATTGCACAAAGAAATGAAATATTTTTTCAGTGAGATCAATATGATGACCATGATACTTCCCTGTAATTTTCATCACCCATCATCATTTGAGACCTTGTGTTACCAGTTTGTCTGTCAGTTGACAACTTCTATGAAAATTATGATAATGGGCGTAGGCTCTTGAATATCAAATCAACTGTCACACCATAGGTTAAAATGCATTAAAACGGTAACCCAGATTTGATAGCACTATGAATGGTAGTTAGTAGTTTTGTCAAAGGTTTGGTTGGACAGCTAGATGATTCAATTAAACAATGTTTATATGGGATCTTGTGAAGTTTAGGAATCCAATATAAGTGGAGGAGGTCTTTATCCTTATCATTAACTGGCAATCTAAATGATTGTAATACTGATGCATGATTATCCATTTTAACAAGATTTATTCTTTCATATACTTCTTCAATTCTTCAGGAATGATGTTATTTTGTCCAAATTGGTTTTGAATACATTATTGGGTGAAGGGGAATCAATTTTGTGTGAAAAGTCAATCTGAATCTGACCACCCCTGAAGGGAAGAAGGATAGGGCCCACTATGACAAACAGAAGAATCACTTTAAAATCTATCATCTTTTGTTACAAAGTATTTTGACCAAGATTCGTTGTGAATATCCTTCTGTACATGGGACTCAATTATGTAAATCTAAGGTCTGACCCCCTAGGGAGCAGAGAATCAGATCCAAATATGGGAAATAGATTCAAGAGATTAAAAGCATTTTTTTTCTGCTTTGATGTAGGTATATCGTCAAAATTTAATTTGAAGCTTTAAAAGCCTTTTTCTTCTGATTGAAAACTTATAATGATATACTTATCAAAAGAAATGTTTAAATATGAAAGCTGAAATGTCAAGGTGAGCGATACAGGCCTCATGGCATTCTTGTCTCAAGACTTTGAAAGTGATCTTCTAAAACAGGAAATGTGTCTACAGTTTTAAATCTGTGTCCTTTTGATTGCTTAAAGAGTGCCCTAATGAGACAAGTGGTGTTCAGAATAGGAAGTGTAGATGTATTCGAAGAAGCATTGAGGACAGCTCAAGAGGAAATGCAGATAAGCAAACATGACTTTGTGGATGTTAAATATGTCGAATCTAACTTCAGGTAAGGCCATGTTCAGTTATGCATTAATTTTTCAGATTTCAATCTTCTCAAGTTTCTCTAGTGGGATTTAGCTCAGACTTGCATGAAATGATGTAGAGAGTTGGAGCAAATGTTTTTGGGTTTTTTTTTTGACGACCATTTTGTAATATGATTTCGCAACTGTTGTCATTCTTAACAAAACCTGCCGCCCTGCGGCGGGAAGAGGGTTGGGGTCTCATAGCGGAAACAGAGCAAATTCTTTAAAATCCTTCTTCTCCTTGAACTGAAGACATCCTAGATATTTGTTGATAAGTATTGCATAAATCTTTTTTATACACCCATCAACAATGGGTAGTATTATGGTATACCATATGCTGTCTGTCTATTAACTTTTCCTGGTTAACTATCGCTTAGCTTTATTTATAGACTAATTTTAATGAAACTTGCTACAAATATTCCATACCAAAATGGCTGAAACGAGTTTGTCTTACAGAATTTCTTTCAAAGTTGATATGGTAATACAAGAAGGGAAACGATTTGACAAACATGACAGGTTTTTCATGCAACACTGTATGTTATGCATCTTTTATTGTTTTCAAAATGTTAACCTTGCCTGAAGATCTCCTCTCTCATTACTCAACAGATTCATTTCAATCTTGGTATGCAAAGTCACTATGACACAAAGTTGTGTTTTTTTCTGAATGGGTGTTTTTTTGTATTTGGAAGAGTTACTTTCCCTTGTAGTTATCATTATGATTATATTTTCATCTTATTTCTGTGAATCTTGATAGGTTTAATCAGCATTTTACTGGACATTTTGTTTTCCCTAATGACATTTTATGACATTTTAGAGTTTTAGAAAGAAAGAGTTATTGCCCATTTTTTGGGGTAACATTTTAATCTTATTTTCTCCCTCAGATTTTAACCATTTTGATCAAGACATTTTAGATTTGAAATCATAACATGAGCATTTAGATTTTACCATATTTCAAATTGTTATTGCCATGTTTTCTTTTCAGTATTTCAATCTTGTCCAGAGATTGTTTTCTTCCTTATTTGAGTACTTCATTATTGCTATTTCTTAAATTGTGCTGACTAGATTATTCTCAAATTAAGTTCCCATTAGACCCATAGTGTGCATTTGATGACATTTTGGAGCTGATCTTTAAATGAAAAAAATAAAAAGCTTTCTTTGTTGATGAAGCAAAGGATTGATTCACATGTCAATACAACATATAATAATTAGTAAATATGAAAAGTATAGAAAAGAAGAAAAAGAGAGGGAAAAATCCATCTTATTAAAGAACTGATAGTGGCATGTATCATAGATGTGTGGGTGTCAAGATCCCTGTGGATCTCTTGTTATTTAATCATATAGGGATTTTTGAACAGGTGTCTAGAATACAATTTTGTGTTATATACCTTCTGTAGGTACCAGCAGGTTGTTTATAGTTTTGAAAATGTTATGGGTAGGTTGTATTTTGCATATTGTGTGCATTTCAGACTTATCAGGTTAGAAAAATTTCCAGTTTTATTTGTACAAGTTTGATGTGTTTATGTTTCCAATTGAGTGACATCGTCGTTTTTGCCTTGACATTGCAATAATTGTTGTGTTTGTGTTTCAGCTTTAGTGACATCCTCGTTTTTGTCATTGACGTTGCAATAATTGTTATCTTCCTAACATTTCTGCAGAGAGTAAGTACCTGTCAAGCTGGAATACTTATATTAGCCTAGGTTGAAGTCTTAGAGCAAAACTCCAAACACTTGCCTACTAATAGGATCAGAAAATCAGATATTCTACTTCAGTCTAAACATGTTAGTCTGATATGGTATAACATGAAAGTCTGGTGTTCTACTGGTATAACATGAAAGTCTGATGTTGTACTGATATAACATGAAAGTCTGATGTTCTACTGGTATAACATGAAAGTCTGATGTTCTACTGGTATAACATGAAAGTCTGATGTTGTACTGATATAACATGAAAGTCTGATGTTCTACTGGTATAACATGAAAGTCTGATGTTGTACTGATATAACATGAAAGTCTGATGTTCTACTGGTATAACATGAAAGTCTTATGTTCTACTGATATAACATGAAAGTCTGGTGTTCTACTGGTATAACATGAAAGTCTGGTGTTCTACTGATATAACATGAAAGTCTGATGTTCTACTGATATAACATGAAAGGCTGATGTTCTACTGGTATAACATGAAAATCTGATGTTCTACTGATATAACATGAAAGTCTGATGTTCTACTGGTATAACATGAAAGTCTGATGTTGTACTGGTATAACATGAAAGTCTGGTGTTCTACTGATATAACATACTGATATAACATGAAAGTCTGATGTTCTACTGGTATAACATGAAAGTCTGATGTTCTACTGATATAACATGAAAATCTGGTGTTCTACTGATATAACATGAAAGTGTGATGTTCTACTGATATAACATGAAAATCTGGTGTTCTACTGATATAACATGAAAATCTGGTGTTCTACTGATATAACATGAAAGTCTGATGTTCTACTGGTATAACATGAAAGTCTGATGTTCTACTGGTATAACATGAAAGTTACGATTTTCCATCTTTATGATAGATGAGATTCTCATAACCTAATTGCTGTGAAATTATGATATTATTGTTGGTCTATTTCATGTTTTGTAGAGAGTGGGTGGTATGTTTTCTGGAAAAGGTGTTGGTGGTACTCAGGGGATTTTTGGTGTTGGGAAATCCACAGCCAAGATCTTTCAACCAAATTCAAATGTTGTTGTGAAATTCAGGTTTGTATGAAATCTAGCAAGAACATGTTCTCTTTTAACTTGTGATTCTCCTGAGAAACTTAAAAAAGACAAGTTTGTTTTAGTATTCAGTGTTGTACTTAATATACATAAAACTAGAACTTAGTACCTGTAAATCCTTTAGTGTTCAATATTGTACTTGATATACATAAAACTAGATTCAAGTACCTGTTAATCTCTGTGATCATATTTTAAAGTGTCTGTAGAGTACAAATGTGAAAACTTTAAACTTAATTTATGTATATCACTGAAATAGAGGTAGATGTAATACTTATTGATTATGGTGCCATGACTCTAGCATTTGAAAACATTTGCGGAAATTTCAAACTTAAAAAGTTTGAATATTATTCAGAGTGATACCTGAATGTATTGAAAAACAAAATGAAACCATCAGATAAGAATTCAGTTGCTACACAATTTCTCTAGTGCTCTGAACTTTTCATGTGACCTCTGACATTGGTAGGGTATCACACACTGGAATATGTATCCTATTTCTGTCTGCAGTGATGTAGCAGGATGTGAAGAAGCCAAATTAGAAATTATGGAATTTGTGAACTTCCTAAAGAATAAGGAACAATATCTTAAACTTGGTGCCAAAATCCCAAAGGGAGCCATGCTGACTGGACCTCCAGGAACAGGGAAAACACTCTTGGCCAAGGCCACTGCTGGAGAGGCAAATGTTCCATTCATCTCTGTGTCCGGATCTGAGTTCCAGGAGATATTTGTTGGAGTTGGTCCTGCTAGGGTAATATTCATTTAAATGCATAAAGAAGTGTCAGCCATTGTTTGTGAAATTAACTTGTCCATCCCCCTTCAACCCTTTCCCCACCACCACCACCACCACCCCCACCACCACCCCCACCATCACCCCCACCATCACCCCCTTCCTCACCAAAAAAAAGTCAAAATAAATAGCTGTGTTTTATAGTAGTGTAACCTAACTGCCTCAGAGCATTTGTTCTTCTTGTCAAGTTCTCCATGAGGTAAACCATTCTTAATGTCAGTGAAATATAAGTGCAATAGATTTTCATCTAGTTTTCCATTACTTTAGAGCTTGAAATGTCATGTATGCAGTCCGTAAGCTGGTATCTATTGTCATATTCACATGTGGGTGTGTGACTGATATCTTATGTACACACAAAAAATGTATTACTATGCATGTGCGGGGAGAATTGGAGCCTTAAAAATATTATGATTGTACTTGCAGAAATTAAAGATACTCAAAGATTTAAGTAAATTCATTTTCAGACTTTCAAATTTCATATGACTTTTTCTCTAGATCCCAAGTAATGCCCTTTTGATTTGAGATAATCAGAAAAATAAAACAGACAACAGGCAACCATTTTTGGATTTGGAATCTAAATGTTTGTGTCTCTGGAAAAAGGAAATCATGATTTATTTTATATTATTAGTGGTAAAAATAGAATCAAAACGTGTTTAATATTATTAGAGGTAAAAAAGAGAAGTCCTAATATTGGTGCCCTTATTTGGTGGCAATATCTCACTCTCTACAAATTAAGAACTTCTTAAATATCACTACACAGCATTGTTTCGGGAAAAAAATATTCATATAGCTCTACAAAAGTGCCTATATGTAATACACTGTACATAACAATATAGATTCAAATTTCTCCTCACTGACTGACTTTACCATTTCTGATTTTTATGATATTGCAGTTTTCATTCTGTAATATTTGGTCTTAACTGTGTATATTTTTACAGGTCCGAGACATGTTCAAGGAAGCCAGGAAAAACGCCCCATGTATACTGTTCATTGATGAAATAGATGCAGTAGGTCGAAAACGTAGTGGTTCACAAATTATGGGGAATTCAGAGCAAGAAAGCACCCTTAATCAGTTTCTAGTAGAACTTGATGGTAAGTAATTTGACTGGCATTCACTTCCTTAAATGCACTCGCCTGTTCTGATCTCTGCTTTATAACCAACAGTGTTTGATGATCTGTGTTAGGGTAGTGATCATTTCAGCTCAGATATAATCAGCAGTGTTTGACCTCTGATATTTTGACCAGAAGTAAGATATAATTCAATATAAAACAAATTCCAACACAATGTCTTGGTTGTTTGCCTTTTTATGTATTTTGTCACCTCTAGTTGTACTAATTACCTGAAAAATTGGTGATTTATATGACATTTTGAAGAAGTTTCGGTCATGGACTACATTTTTTTACAGTGTAGTTGGTGATGTTATTCTGTTAATATTTCAACAATTTCAGCATTTTCTGGTTGCTGAGGTGCTTTTCTTGGTTATAATTCTGGAAGTCTTGGCAAGATCCAAACTTAATTATGTGTGAATCATCACCACAAATCACAGATTTCAAATTCATGAATTCAGACTTGATAACCTGATTTTTCAGACTGGAAAATGAATTTTTTAGCTGGTTTCTTCATTTTGTAAAAACTGCAAAGATTGCAAAATATTAAGCACAGAGACCCCCTCGAAAATTTCTGTATCAAAACTTAAAATTAGAAGAAAATGTTTAATACTAGAAGATCGTTAAATAAAAGGTATCTGTATTTTTGCAATATTTTCATTTTTTGGTTGCTAGGCAGTTTAAAGCTCATGAAATTTCAGTATTTTCACATATTTTTTCTTAATGTCCAAGTATCATACCCTAACTACATAATGAAAGATGAAAATTTATTTCAAAAAAGGTTGCTGTGAAAATAACAGAGAATGTCTCTTATTCAGGAAAAAAATATGAATAATATATGGAAATGAATGATTTCCTCTTAAACATATTCTGAAAAAAGTTCTGTTCTGGAAAAAGTAGTGCAATAACTAACTAACTAAATTAAGTTTTACACTGAAATGTTTTGCTCCTCAGAGAAGTACATCCGTACCATTAATTAACAAATAAAAAACCAAAAACAAAGTGTAAATATGAAGTGTGTTTTAGGTTTCAGTTCCCAGTCAGGAGTGGTAGTCTTGGCTGCCACTAATCGCATAGACGTCCTAGACCCTGCCTTACTACGAGCGGGTAGATTTGACCGCCAAATCTTTATTCCTCTGCCAGACATCAAGGGCAGGTGAGATGTGTGAAGTATAGGAATGTGACTTTTGGTCATTATTACAAATTTTGTGGTACTTCGGACTTAATTACTTACATTGAATATCATTGCATTCTTATTAGCTAGCTTTGACAAAGTACCTTTATCCATTTTTCAGAGCAAACATTTTTAAGGTCCATCTTGAAGGTATCAAAACAGATCTTTCCAAGGATGAATTAGCCAAAAAACTGGCTGCTCTAACCCCCGGATTTTCTGGTATGTGTTTAGGTGTTGGAACCTTAAAGTTGTTGATCTGATTAATTTACTAGACTAATGTTTTTTTCTGTCAATTTAGTAAAAGTTTGATTGATCTGCAAGTGTACTGCAAAGTTGACCCTTGTAGAAAATTCTGTTTTATTATGAGTGACCATTGTAGAAAATTCTGTCTCATTATGAGTGACCCTTGTAGAAAGTTCTGTCTAATTATGAGTGACCCTTGTAGAAAATTCTGTCTAATTATGAGTGACCCTTGTAGAAAATTCTGTCTAATTATGAGTGACTATGGAAGAAAGTTCTGTCTAATTATGAGTGACTATGGAAGAAAGTTCTGTCTAATTATGAATGACCGTTGTAGAAAATTCTGTCTTATTATGAATGACCCTTGTAGAAAATTCTGTCTCATTATGAGTGACCCTTGTAGAAAATTCTGTCTCATTATGAGTGACCCTTGTAGAAAATTCTGTCTAATTATGAATGACCCTTGTAGAAAATTCTGTCTAATTATGAGTGACCCTTGTAGAAAATTCTGTCTAATTATGAGTGACCCTTGAAGGAAATTCTGTCTAATTATTAGTGACCCTTGTAGAAACTTCTGTCTCATTATGAGTGACTGTGAAGAAAGTTCTGTCTAATTATGAGTGATCCTTGTAGAAAATTCTGTCTAATTATGAGTGATCCTTGTAGGAAATTCTGTCTCATTATGAGTGACCCTTGTAGAAAATTCTGTCTAATTATGAGTGACCCTTGTAGAAAATTCTGTCTAATTATGAGTGATCCTTGTAGAAATTTCTGTCTAATTATGAGTGACGGTGAAGAAAGTTCTGTCTAATTATGAGTGACTATGGAAGAAAGTTCTGTCTAACTATGAGTGACTATTGAAGAAAGTTCTGCCTAATTATGAGTGATCCTTGTAGAAAATTCTGTCTAATTATGAGTGACTATTGAAGAAACTTCTGTCTAATTATGAGTGATCCTTGTAGAAAATTCTGTCTAATTATGAGTGATCCTTGTAGAAAATTCTGTCTCATTATGAGTGATCCTTGTAGAAAATTCTGTCTAATTATGAGTGATCCTTGTAGAAAATTCTGTTTCTCGTTGAATCACTTCTGAAACTTACTTTTAAATTTTAACAGGAGCTGATATTAGTAATGTTTGTAATGAATCAGCGCTTATCGCAGCTCGGGATCTCAATGAATCTGTCCTTGCAACCCACTTTGATCAGGCTATTGAACGGGTCGTGGGAGGTAAGCAGCACTGTATTGGTAATATTTCATGGTGTTTTGTTGTTACATATATCAATAAATTGTGTATATATTTCTATCTGAAAAATGTAAGTGGAAAAAGTGGCTGTATACATCTGGTCACATTATCTTTTATTCTTCCTGCCATAAGTTTTGCTCTACATTCAATGTGTCTTTAAATGATGAATTTTGATACGCTCAGATCAGTTCTATTGTCTTTTTGCATACTTTTTTTATAGTAATAATATCAATATTAAAACATTCCACATGTAGCTTGTCAAGTGATTCAGAACCTTAAACCATTTTTTCCTTTGAAGGATTGGAGAAGAAAACACAAGTCTTACAGCCACATGAGAAGAAAACCGTGGCATACCATGAAGCTGGCCATGCCATTGCTGGATGGTTCTTAGAGCATGGTGACCCCCTGCTGAAGGTAAACACTAAAACTGAATAGTTTCTTTGGTTACTCCCTACTGAATATATATAGTAATGTACAGTGGACTCAGTCTACACTAGACAACACTGGGATAACATAATTTGGTCGGTTTGTAAAGGTTTGCTGATACTAGAAAGTCTGCATTTAGACTATAAATAAAACAGCTATTATTAAAGAATCATATTCAGATACGTATGTCAGAGTGTCTGGGATACTGACCTATTTGAATGAAGATAAATTATGTAATAGTGTTGTAACAAGCTTAAATTACATGGCTTTTTCATTCTTGTTCATTATATACAGTCACATGGTCAACATTGACGATAAACAATCATGAGACTCTCAGTGGGAAAATATGGCCTGTGTAAAGCATTTTTGTATTAAATTGTAATGATTTCTGTCCAACTGAGACATGTAATATCTTTAAAAAATGCCTTGTTTCCGTGGCAGTCAATGGTCAATTGATAGTTTGTCGACATAGCTATCAGGACTGTATGAGCTTTTGATGCACACTAGATGAGAATCTACTCAATGCCAATTTGCACAAAATAGATTTACAAATGGAAGGAATGGGATCCTAAAATATCGCCAGAATACAGAAAGAACGATTACAGGAGAAGGCAATCAAATAACCACTTTACAGTTAAAGAAGAATTTGGAGGAACCAAATTATTTGATCTGACAAATTTTAATTCAGTTTGCTGGATTTATTGTCCTTTTAACAGTTGGGTCATTTTAAGGTAGAGTCTCCTTGTTGTTGGTAGCTTCTCCACAGAGCAATATACAGACGGCTTGTTATATGGTCCATCCAGAATAATTTGGGTAAAGTGTTTGCCCAAGGACACAACCACATCAGCACAGACTAGTCTGTTTTTAGGTTTCCTGAAAAACAACTTTCGCAGGAAACTAGGGAGCATTGAACCACAGATCTTCATCTAAGGCAATGCTTTAAGGGACTGAAAAATCTTGTGGAAAATGCTTGAATATCTTTTCAAATCTTGAATATAAAGTTTCTTCTTGGTCCTTAGTTATGCCTGATTAATTCTGATATTACTTGGATTAATGAAATAGCTATTTTGATGTACACAGCGCAAATTTGTTATCAATTTATCTGAGACAGTGCTTGATGGATCTTCTAAAATCTGATCACATGGAAAAGTAGTAACACAGTCACCTTTCTCCTAGGCAACTGGGATTTATTTCTTCCATTAGACATGAAAAGGTAACAGGGTTACCAACTCAACCATGTGGTCTTTCTACAAGTACTCCAGTTTCTTCCCATAGTGAGACCCCTTTCGTGCTTTAATCCAGCTAAACAAAAATGAAGATATTAGCTTTTTTGGTTATTGTTATTATACAAATAAAGTAAATAGTTTGAAAATTTCAAACACAACATTGTCAATGTTTTAAAATAAAGTAAATAGTTTTAAAATCACAACTGTAGATTTCAAACGCAGCATCGTCAAAATTTTAAGATAAAGTAAATAGTTTTAAAATCACAACTGTAAATTTCAAACACGGCATTATCAGTGTTATAAGCTGTTATCACATTATTTACCCAATATCAATATAGATTTATTCAAAAGAAATAAAGGAAGATATACATGCATTGAAGCAAGATGATAAGCACCACATGTTAGATCTGTAAAATATCTCTGTTATATCATTATCTTCTATATAACAAACATCCTCACTTACCAGTGACATGTGTATTACTGTTGATAAGTATCTAATTGATATACAAATTATGAATTTCAAAATCTTTTAGAAATATTTGTTGATAATGCTTCATTAAATTTCAGGTGTCAATCATACCTCGTGGTAAGGGCCTCGGCTATGCCATGTATTTACCCAAGGAAAACTACCTAATGACTCAAGAACAGGTACGATTCAGGATACGTGGTTCTATCAATTAGATCTGAGTGTTGATTATTGAAGTACATGTTATTAATTCTTATTTGATCAAAGGTTTATAATTCAGATCTCACATTTTAGATTTGCAGTTGATGTATCCATTCTTTATGTATCTGGATTCACCTATGTGATATATGTATATTAATGTTCATTAAATATCATTATTTTATAGTTGATGGACAGAATGTGTACCTTACTTGGGGGAAGAGTTTCAGAGAAAATATTCTTTGGTAAAATTACATCTGGTGCCCAAGATGATTTACAGAAAGTAACCAAGATGGCCTATGCTCAGGTAAATCACGAAGATTCATTGTCATCAACACATGACACATGTTTATAACACCGGATCATTGTTATTTACACAAGACTTCATAGATACATTGCCACAACACAGGATACATTGTCACTAACACAGGATACATTGACACTAACACAGGAAACATTGTCACTAACACAGGATACATTGTCACTAACACAGGATACATTGTCACTAACACAGGATACATTGTCACTAACACAGGATACATTGTCACTAACTCAGGAAACATTGTCACTTACAGAGGATACATTGTCACTTACACAGGATACATTGTCACTAACACATGGTACATTGTCACTAACACAGGATACATTGTCACTAACACAGGATACATTGTCACTAACACAGGATACATTGTCACTAACACATGATACATTGTCACTAACACATGATACATTGTCACTAACACAGGATACATTGTCACTAACACATGGTACATTGTCACTAACACAGGATACATTGTCACTAACTCAGGAAACATTGTCACTAACAGAGGATACATTGTCACTAACACAGGATACATTGTCACTAACACGGGATACATTGTCACTAACACATGGTACATTGTCACTAACACAGGAAACATTGTCACTTACACAGGATACATTGTCACTAATACAGAATATATTGTTGTTAACACTTCTCTATTGTTCTAAACTCCCTCCCATACCATTTGTGATTTTGACACTTTTCCTTTGTAGGTAACCCTTTTAGGTATGAATGATAAAATAGGACAGGTAGGCTATGGCCAGCAGGAGGGATCGTTCCACAAAGCCTATGGTGAGGACATGGCTGAACTTATTGATGAGGAGGTTAGAAATCTTGTAGCCAAATGCTATGATCGTACTATGGATCTGCTAACTGAAAAAAAGGATCTAATAGAGAAGGTGAGTTAAGTGTGAGACGTGTGACTATGATTTGGCCCTACTGTTTCTGTAATAAAATAGCAAATCAGCTAGAGGCCAAATGTGAGACATGTGACTATGAATTGGCCCTATTGTTTCTTACTCATAACCAGGCCCTGGAATTGCTGTAAGAGGCCTGTTAGAACTACAGTTCACTTTTTACACATCTTAATGTGAACGTCAAGTACAATTGGAAAGGATCATTGGCCAAATACAGATCCTTGGTTTAGTAGACATTTAAGACAAGTTACCTTAATACTTACTCAAGGTCATTCATTTGAACAAGCTTAACATTTTTTAATTCTTCCCACCATGCTAGGATATGAACACAACAAGTGTTCTCTGTTGTTTGATATGGAGATGTGAGGACGTTGATATATCAATGAAACTCCTTCCTGTTAGACAATTTTTCTGTATTACACTATACGTTTTATATTACATGTATTATATAACACTAATTGTAGATTCATTATAAAATTATAAAATGACCACTGTAACAACATAGATATCTCTGTGTTAAATACCAATTACAGGTTGCTGTGTTACTACTGGAAAAGGAAAAGATAGACAAGACTGATATGGAGGCAGTTTTAGGCAAGAGGCCTTTCTCAGAAAAGTCAACCTACGAGGAGTTTGTAGAAGGTACTGGGTCTATGGATGAAGATATCTCACTACCAAAAGGTCTAGAAAACTGGAACCAGCCCCGCGAAACAAAATCCACATCAAAGTCTGATATGTCATTTTCATGACACAACTGAAACAGGAATAAAAAGACATGTCGGAACATTATTTATATTTTTTGAAACTTGAAGAAGCAATCAAAAGACCAAAACACCATGACTGCAGAAGAAATCAGAAATTATATCACAGGTTTTGAACCATTATCAGCCATCATGTCAGGTTTTTGTTCAATTATCAGTACGGGGAAATGTACATAGTTCTACTAGGAAAAGAATGTGATACTTGTAAAGCTTGCTGAAGAGGTGTATCGTCTATGGTGTGCCCTGTATGGTGTAGTATACATGGTGTAACCCCCATGGTTTATCCTCTATGGTGTGCCCTGTATGGTGTAGTATCCATGGTGTAACCCCCATGGTTTATCGTCTATGGTGTGCCCTGTATGGTGTAGTATACATGGTGTAACCCCCATGGTTTATCGTCTATGGTGTGCCCTGTATGGTGTAGTATCCATGGTGTAACCCCCATGGTTTATCGTCTATGGTGTGCCCTGTATGGTGTAGTATCCATGGTGTAACCTCCATGGTGTATCGTCTATGGTGTGCCCTGTATGGTGTAGTATCCATGGTGTAACCCCCATGGTTTATCGTCTATGGTGTGCCCTGTATGGTGTAGTATCCATGGTGTAACCTCCATGGTGTATCGTCTATGGTGTGCCCTGCATGGTGTAGTATCCATGGTGTAACCCCCATGGTTTATCGTCTATGGTGTGCCCTGTATGGTGTAGTATCCATGGTGTAACCTCTATGGTGTATCGTCTATGGTGTGCCCTGTATGGTGTAGTATCCATGGTGTAACCTCCATGGTGTATCGTCTATGGTGTGCTCTGTATGGTGTAGTATCCATGGTGTATTGTCTATGGTGTGCCCTGTATGGTGTAGTATCCATGGTGTAACCCCATGGTGTATCATCTATGGTGTGCCCTGTATGGTGTAGTGTCCATGGTGTAACCCCCATGGTTTATCGTCTATGGTGTGCCCTGTATGGTGTAGTATCAATGGTGTAACCTCCATGGTGTATCTGTACCTTTTGTGGTGTGCCTTTTGTGGTGTAGTCTCTGTCATCTAGTCTCTATAGTGTAACCTCTGTGGTGTAGTTTGCATGGTGTAGTAGTGGAGCCTCAAGCTCAGTGGTATAGCCTGCATGGTATAGCATTTGTGCTATAGCCTCCATGGTATGGTGTAGCCTGTGTGGTGTAGTCTGTGTGGTGAGGCCTTCATGGTATGGTGTAGCCTGTGGTGTTGCCTGTGTGATGTATCCTACATGGTATATGGTGTAGCCTGTGGTGTTGCCTGTGTGATGTAGCCTATATGGTATATGGTGTAGCTTGTGGTGTTGCCTGTGATGTTGGCTTTGTGATGTAGCCTCCATGGTGTGGTGTAGCCTCCATGGTATGGTGTAGCCTTTGGTGTTGCCTGTTTGGTGTAGCCTATATGGTGCAGCCTCCTCCGTCGATAGCCTGTGTGGTGTAACCTCTGTGGTGTACCCTTTGTGGTGTAATAATATTTTGAAACCTCATTGTTGGCATTGTTGGTGCATGCATTACTTGGGCCTTCAATTTTTATACCTAACTGAAAGTGCCAGTTTTACAGTCTGAAGGTTAGTTTTCATTTAATGGTTTCTTTGTGATCTCTACAGATCTCCTAATAGGCTATATATAGCCTATACTTTTGTTGAATTCTTCCTACAAAGGCTAGCACTATCATTGATGTTGATAAATGAAGTTTCAAAAAATAGCTAGATCATGAAACAGGTAGAGGATCTCAAATTTCAGCATATTTATTTGTGAATTTTGATTGTAGTTTTATAATTCTTTGATACTTGGGCACACAAGTCTGTGATTTCTGATGTGCCGACCTATGATTATATCGAACAGGTGTCTTTATGACCAATTAGGTTATGGCATCATATAACGGATTGTGAAGGGACATCAGACTGCTGTGATTACACTGCTTATATGTTTCTGTGTGAGAGATGTGTGATGAACCTATATTGTTACCAGACAATTTGTTAATAAAATACAGAAAATTACATTATATAAAATTTTGTTTTTTTTTTATTTTGATTTATTAACAATAAAGTATTATTAGCTCACCTGCCCTAAAGTGCCAAGTGATTTTATGGCATACCACAGCGTCTGTTGTCTGTCTTTCTGTCCGTCAACTTTTTTGTCAAAATCACTACTAGTCATAAATGACTTACAGGATTTCGCCTAAACTTGGTCAGAAGCATCCTTGGAGGGAAGATAACAAATTTTGTATAAATGTTGTGTTCAGGCCCAAAAGGAGAAATTGGAAAACCCTAGTCCTTTTGTAGGAATGATTGGATTTTGCCCCAATTTGGTCAGAAGCATTCTTAGGGTAAAGAGAATCAATTTTGTATCAACAATGTGTCTTGGCCCCTGGGGCAGAAAGGACAGGGCCCAATAAGGGAAATAGTGAAAATTCTTTAAAATCCTACTCCTCTTGTAGGTATGATTGCTTGTAGGAATGATTTAATTTTGCCCAAATTTGATCTGAAGCATTGTTGGGTGAAGGGGAATCAATTTTGTATCAAAAGTGGGTCTCTGCCCCCTAGTGTGTGAAGGGCAACGCCCAATAGAGGAAATTGGAAAATCCTACCCTTGTAAGAATGATTGAATGTTGCCCAAATTTAGCTTGAAGCATTCTTAGGTTATGGGGAATTAATATTAAATAAAAAGTAGGTCTCAGCCTCCTGAGGCAGGAGGGAAGAGGCTCAATAGGGGAAATAGACCAAATTCTATTCAATCCTTCTCCTATGAGAATGCTTGAAATTTGCCCCTTTTTGGTCTGAAGCATTCTTAGGTGAAAGGAAATCAATTTTGTATAACGAAGGTTCTCAGTCTTCTTAGGTGGGAGAATCGTGACCCAACATGGAAAATAGAGCAAATTCTTTAAAATCATATTCCTCCTTTAGGAATGATTGGATTATGACCAAATTGGGTCTTTTCTTAAGCATCCTTGGGTCAAAAGGAATCAATTTTAACTGGTGAGAGATACAGGCCCTATAGATCTCTTGTTATTTTATGTTGTTGCTTCACAATTTCTAAACTTCTCCCTTTCTAAGAAAGTAGACAATCTTAAAAATAGGATGGAGACTTAAAATCAGAGGGCATGTATACTGATCAACCTACCACAGTTACACAAATTCTCAAAAAATCTGAATTTATTAATTGTGTTACATATTAATAAAAGATAGAAGGAGAACTACTAAAAGAAAGATATATGTATCAGGAAGAGATATAGACATGTTTCCCTCATATGAAAACACTTATAAGATCTTGTATGTATTCAATTTTTTTTCAAATTATATCCTAAATACTAAATTATCAATTTGATTGATTTCAGAATTCAACATTTGTTCAACATACATATTATTATGATAAGCCAATTTTGATCAACCAAAGTTTCTAGATTTTTTTTTTTTTTTTTTTTATAGCTCTTTCTGTAAGACTTAGGAGCTGTAGTTCCATTCATCAACAGGTACATACTGCATCTACTACTAAAACCTATTTATACAGTGCTAATTAACAAGGTGTCATTTATCTATACTGCTGTTTTGGTAATTCAGTTTTGGCATATAAAGCCATTAATTTGACTGGGAGGATAAATGATGATATATCATCTGTAACTTGTGATTGTTATACTAAAATGTTGATCTTGCATATCGGTAATATATTTATATGATTTCATAGCTAGAACTAGATGATAAAATTAAAGCTTTGATTGTCAACTGTATTTATTACCTTCATTAAATATTTATTGTTATACCATCAATTTTCATCTTACTAGGGTATTGGTTAGCTTGGGGGAATGCATCAATTAACCAGATTATATTGAACAATTTTTCAAATGAAACGTTTTAAACAGAATTACAAATTTATTTCTATCTTGTTGGAGACCATTTCCTTTTATATTTTGTATCAAATTATGACGTTTGAATTTGATTAGCAGTTATCAACATTTTCATTTTCCTCGTGTCGCGTGGCGGAGTCGCATTAACTATTATATGTTCGTCAACATGTGCTTTTCTAAAAATAAAACACATATGAAATTTCAGCCAATGAGATTATTTTAGCAGAATCAGCCCGGAATCTAAATCACGATCCTGTGTTTACTTCCGGCAACTACCACAGAAGTAGCGATGGGAAAGAAACAGCATCAGAAAGATAAACTGTAGGTTTTCTGTGAATGTTTACTTCAGATACCTTGACTAGATAATGATCAATTAAACACTGGGACTAGAACTGACTATCATTCACTCCCAGCATATACCATAAACACTGCTTGGCTACAGGAGACGAACTTCATGAAAATGACTTGTAGACTTGACAAATAATTTAGTTTCCAAACGTTTTTATTTCCCCTTCCTTTTTTTTTATTAATAAACTTTTGAAAATATAGATCGACACGAATCGTCGATCTTTTTCATGGTTTGTTAGTATTGGTCTGCTTAGGTCTAATAGTTCATTTCATTAACCCTCTTTGAAAAACTGTAAGCTTAATGGAATTTCCAACAGCAAATACAAAATTTACCTAGGCCTGTACGATCAGATTTTACTCTACGGTTATTACCTCACAAATGATGATGAAGTATTTTAATCTCCTTCCAGTGCACTGGGAGTGTTTAACAGATTTGATGTAAATTTAAATCTGTCTCGATCGTGACTGATGGTAATACTGATATGTGACTTTGACAAATAGTTTTCAATGAAGATGGAGACAGTATCTTCCTTTCTGTGATAAATTACCAAAGAATATGTCTTCTGTTGACACACGATTGATGATGAGAGACTTTTACTATTGAAAACTGGAATGTCTTAAAAATGTTATTGAACAAAAGTTTTGTAATAACTAAAACCAGTTTTGGAAGATGCATATTTTAGTCTTTTCTATTTCAAAGAAAAAATAAATCGTCAGATTGTATCAGGATAACATGTTTCAAATGGTTACTGAAATGTCTGTTCTTTAATATAAATCTAAGGAAGATTCACAATTAGGAAATTTGAGGAAGAAGACATACTTGTATGCCAGATCATATATTTGTTTTTCTTGGAATGGTTGGTAGCTACTGGGAATGAAGGTTTCTGTTTATAACTTATATGAATATGGTGAATATCCAATGGAGCACTTTCTGTTTGTTGCTTTATATATGTCACCCTTTAAAGGTAAGATGAAAATATGTTAGTTCTGTTAAATTTATTTTACATGTTTCTCCACATACAATAAATCTGGGGTTGATTTGTTTTATAAAGACTGACTCCTTTGTTATATTATTAACACATTGTGTTCTTGTTTATTTTTGTATCCATAGTTATCTGACCACTACAGAATGGAAGACAACATATGGTGGTTACAAGGGAGACAAGTCCCTGGGAGAAAAGTCGCGATTCAGACGACTTCCTTTCTCCTGCTGCAGGTGAATAATATACATATTTTTAAAACTTGACTATAATTGAAGTCAATTCTTCATTACTAGAGGACTCATTTTTCCTCTCATGATGCAGTGTACTGATGTAAGATGAAATAGTTCCTGATATTTGTTGCTGTATTCTCAGTCTGCTTGAAGTTTTACATATGTTATTTATAAATCTTACATCAGTGTAACTAATTAAAGACAATTACAGTGAAGTGTTTAACCACCATACTTGACCAATATGATAATTGTTTAGAAACACATTCTAAACACTGTTTGGTTTTCTACAACTGTAACTGTGCTGCCTTTGTAGTACTCTATTTATGTAGAGTATGCATATATACTGTATATTTTGTATTTTCCAGTATCCAAGTCTGTAACTAGAATAACTAAGTTTTCTTTTCATCTTTCAGTCTGTCCATGCAGCCATTTGAAAATCCACTTTGCACAAAAGAAGGAATAATATTTGATCTAATGTAAGAATATTTATATAAATGATTAAGTACTATTGCTTGAGATCAGATTAGAATTTTTGATGTGTAATAGCCATAATGGTGGTCCTGGCACAAACCCTAACACTACCCAATATAAATCTCTTCTCTCAGCTCCTCTCCCCATCCTCCCCTAAAGAAAAGCAAGGTAAAAATAACAATGCAGCTAATGTTGTTTTGTTCCTCTTATATTACATGTGGACAAATTCTAAAAATTCTACTTCAAATTGATCAAAATGTCAGAACTATCAACACATCATAGTGGAACATGGACCATACTTATATTGGTTTGTTATACTTCATCAACATAAAAAGAGATATTGGTATACAAGTGTCAAGAGATAGACACACAGACAGACAGACATACAGACAGACAGACTACATTCTTTAAGTCCCAGACAGATAATAAGAATAGAAATCTTTAGTCCCAGACAGACAAAAAGAATATAAGTCTAAAGTCCTGGACAGATAAACAGAATATAGACTAAGTTATGTTTGTGCCAGACAAACAAACAGAATACAAACCTATAGTTCCAAACAGAAAAAAAAATTAAACCTTTAGTCCCAGAGAAATGAATAGAATATATATGTGTAGTTCCAGACAGACAAAATACAAACCTTTAGTCCCAGACGATCAAACAGAATACAAACATATAGTTCCGACAGACAAGCAGAATACAAACCTATAGTTTAAAACAGATGAGCAGCATACAAACCTTTTGTCACAGACTGACAAACAGAATGTAAGGCTTTGGTTCCAGGCAGATATATGGAATACAAACTTCTCATCACATACAGATGAACTGAATGCATTTTACACATCTTTAGTTCCAGAAAGACAAGCACAATACTAACCTTTAGTCCCAGACTGACAAACAACACTCCAGTTCTCTCTGTGACTGTAGTAGTGAGGAATGAAAAATGTTGTAACACATTGTTAACTATGATTATTTCTGAACATTTATTTTGGTTTTGTTGATAGGAACATTGTTCCCTTTCTGAAGAAGTACGGCATTAGTCCAGTCACAGGGGAGGTAAATCAGAATAACTTTGTTGATAAAGTGGTATTACCTGGTAACTTGACAATATATATGAAGAAATAATCTGAAACTTCCTATCAAAGAAAGATGTAATTTTTCATTTTTTTTTATACTGACAATTAATCTTAAATTTTCTAGTGGAATAAAATAGTTTTGATTTTTTCGAAGATATTATAACAATGTTTTGAGTTACTATGTACATGTTCTGACTTTTCGTTGTTGACTGTGACAAACATGAATTCAATATGCTGGTACACAGTTTAAGTTCGAAAGTGAGCAAATGCATTACAGAGATTTTTTCTTTCAGAAAATGACTGCCAAACAGCTAATAAAACTCAATTTCAGCAAAAATTCTGAAGGTAGGTAAAGTTTACAAATCCCTCAAATGTGTAACCTGTTGACAAGAGAGGGGGATACGGAGTGGTGTATTTTCATGGGGATACCTAGTGGTGTATTTTCACAGGGATACTTACTGGTGTTTTTTCATGGGGATACCTAGTGGTGTGTTTTCATGGGGATACCTAGTGGTGTGTTTCCATAGGGATACCTAGTGGTGTATTTTCATGGGGATACCTAGTGGTGTGTTTCCATAGGGATACCTAGTGGTGTTTTTCCATGGGGTATTTTCCATGGGGATACCTAGTGGTGTGTTTCATGGGGATACACATAGTTGTGTCCATAGGGATACCTAGTGGTGTGTTTCCATGGGGATACCTAGTGGTGTGTTTTCATGGGGATACCTAGTGGTGTGTTTCCATGGGGATACCTAGTGGTGTGTTTTCATGGGGATACCTAGTGGTGTGTTTCCATAGGGATACCTAGTGGTGTATTTTCATGGGGATACCTAGTGGTGTACTTTCATGGGGACACCTAGTTGTGTACTTTCATGGGGATACCTACTGGTGTATTTTCACAGGGATACCTACTGGTGTATTTTCACAGGGATACCTACTGGTGTTTTTTCATGGGGATACCTAGTGGTGTGTTTCCATGGGGATACCTAGTGGTGTATTTCCATAGGGATACCTAGTGGTGTGTTTCCATGGGGATACCTAGTGGTGTGTTTCCATAGGGATACCTAGTGGTGTAAAGAACCCTATAGATATGGGAATAGAATGAAGAAAAAGAAGAGAACCAGCATCTGAAGCCAGATTTATGAACAATACTGTATAATAAAAATGACATAAATCAAATTTCTGCATCTGATTTCTGTGGATTTATTTGTGGTTTACATGTTGCAGCCAGCTAGCCTAGCCATCAACAGAAAAGCAGTATAAATATTTTATAGCTAAGGTCAAAATTAAAGCTCAGTCATGATGTAATTATCATTGTCTTTATCTCTTGGTAATGACAATACTGTGTAACGTTTATTGGATATCAGTTATATGAGCTCTTCTTGGTTCTATTTTGAATGATTATGATATATTTTGTATGTACAAAAAATGAATGGAACATTCACAGCACCAAAATTCAAAACTTTTTACTCCTTTCATAAAAAATGTTTTTTTTTTCTCTCATCAGGAAAATACCATTGCCCAGTGACATTTAAAATTTTCAATGAAAACACACACATATCTGCGATAAGGACGAGTGGCAATGTATTTGCTCATGAGGTAAGCACCTGAAAACCATGAAATTTGTTATGTTGAAGTTGTCTTTTTATATCTAAATCAGTTCAATTCTAAAAATCATTAAATGATAAAATGAAAAAATCAATTCAGACACATATTTGTGTGCTGTTTACACATGTCCATGAAGCCTGGATATAATGTATGATGTGATGTTTGTACAGAGTTTGTTATTTACTGTGTTATTAACCATAAGATAAAGGTGATTTGTTATTTATTGTGTTATTGACCATAAGATAAAGGTGATTTGTTATTTACTGTGTTATTGACCATAAGATAAAGGTGATTTTAGTCGTAGATCAATGTGTGCTTTATAGTTCGAAACAACATTGCATTCTTTCTGTGATGTCATATATCATTTTGAGTATTGTGTTTGTTTCCATGGTTTCTGTGATGTACATACTGTGTTGATTAGAGTGATTGTTGCCATGGTTTCTGTGATGTACATACTGTGTTGATTATAGTAATTGTTACCATGGTTTCTGTGATGTACATACTGTGTTGATTAGAGTGATTGTTGCCATGGTTTCTGTGATGTACATACTGTGTTGATTATAGTAATTGTTACCATGGTTTCTGTGATGTACATACTGTGTTGATTAGAGTGATTGTTGCCATGGTTTCTGTGATGTACATACTGTGTTGATTATAGTAATTGTTACCATGGTTTCTGTGATGTACATACTGTGTTGACCATAGTGATTGTTGCCATGGTTTCTGTGATGGACATACTGTGTTGATCATAGTAATTGTTGCCATGGTTTCTGTGATGTACATACTGTGTTGATCATAGTGATTGTTGCCATGGTTTCTGTGATGTACATACTGTGTTGATCATAGTAATTGTTGCCATGGTTTCTGTGATGTACATACTGTGTTGATCATAGTGATTGTTGCCATGGTTTCTGTGATGTACATATTGTGTTGATTATAGTAATTGTTGCCATGGTTTCTGTGACAGGCAATTGAAAGACTGAACATCAAACCCAAGTATTACAGAGATCTTGTGACAGATGAGGAATTTACAAGATCAGACATCATAACAATACAGGTACCACTGATTATTAACAGTTTTACTAATTCCTGTAGCAGCCTTATTTCATAAGTGATATTGAGAACCTTTGTGACATTTGTAGAAGTGTTTGTTAATTATAATTTCCAGGTATTGACCAAAGTCATCATTACTTAGTGTAGAAAATTCTAGGAGGCAGAAGACAATTTTATCTATACTCACTTATTCCTTCTTACATTGTAATAACACTCTTTATTTCATTTCTTTATTCTCATCTTCGTAAATACTGTCATTGCTATGCTTTAAAGACCAATGACAAATGTCAGCTATTCTTTTGTTTTTAGAGAAAAAAAAACAATGAGTTCACAAAAATTTGTACTTTATCATGGACATTTCATTTGTGAAAATTTTTGACATGGATCTTTAATTATTATAGGACCCGACAAATCTTGAAAAGTTCAACATCAGTTCATTTCACCATCTCAAACATAATCTCAAGGTTGGTGATGAAGGTATGTAACTTGTAACTCTATAAACTGAAGATAACGTTAGTAAAAGAAGTTACTTTGTATAAGTTACTTCTAATTCAATTACACTAAGTCAATGTTTCCTATAAAAACTTTTTAACTATGAATTTTGTTCATAGATGCAAGTATTATATACACAAAAAATATAGTATCTCACTGAAAATTTTATTTTAAGTAAAGTATTCGTATCGATGGGCATTAAACAATGAATGAACCTTTTACAGATGAAGAAATTGCAAAGAAGAATCCACGTTACCATCTGAAAGCCCTTAATGCTGAAACTGCGGAGGCATTAGATGAACTTGAAAGACAATATAAACCCATGGTAGGCAAGGGAGACGACTTTTGCAATATTTTGTAGCTAGAGGGTTCTACTAAACAATAGAGGACACATGTAATGTTGAAGGGGAAAGTAAATTAAGGCCAATTGAACACAACTCGAGAGGAATCTTCAATGTGAGAAATAAGAGGATGTTTACAAAAGTAGTTTCATTGGATACCTAAAAATTCATATTTTTCTAATTTTTCAGGAAAAGACACCAGAAGAGAAGCCCATGGCTGACTCATTAAATGCTGTAAGTATATGTATACTAGTTATTGATGAATGACTTGATTCAAGCTTTCAAATGATCCTAGGATATCCCTAGATCACAGTTATAAGAGTAAGTGTGATTTCTGTATGCATGTATGCTCTGATCCAATCATACCTAAGACACTGATAGATTAGAGATCATGATCATTGAAAACTTTTCATGGTATGGTATATGTAACAAATGAATGTTAATAGCTGATTTGTAATGAGGAGAATATTAAAATTAGCAGACAAATGAGGATAAATAGCCACAATGGTCAGTTTGACAGTTGTAAGCCTACTGTTTTAAAATATTGGTCGAATTCATGGTCATTATGAAGTTTAAACTGATCTGGCCTGTGATATTATATGATGTGTCATTATACAATCCTTTGTCTATTTTCAGGCTCACTACTCCACAGGACGGGTAGCAGCGTCCTTTACCTCAACTGCCATGGCACCAGCTACTTCACATGAAGCAGGTTTGTCTTGTGAAAAATATGTTTTCCTTGTCCTTAAGATGTTAGGTTTACCTGTCAGATTTCCTTGAATTTGTGACTCTATCTGTTTACTAAGGCCTTTTTCATTTCTTAACAATTACCAGGCACAAGTGAAATCTGCCATATATCCCCACACTTTGGATTTATCACATCCAGGTATCTCTGACAAACCAGAACCAGTTTCTAACCTTACCCCGCACTTAGAAATTAGTGGTCACATTGTAGGTCAGATTTTTGCCGGTTGACTCTTCCGTCAGATAAAACCACCGTTACCACTTGGCTATTGCTACCTCTGACAAACCAGGTATTAGAGACCTCCTTATCTATACAAGGAGTGAAGCGTTTTCAACATCTGTTGCTGCTATATAGAATCAAACAATGATAACATACTAAAACGTAATAGTCAATCACAACAAGCTCAGTTAGTATCTTTATTACTTATGTCTACTGGTTTTGCCTGAACATGTGGGTTTCTCAAGGTCCTGAAGAAGCCCACATGTTCGAACAAAACTGGTAGACATAAGTGATAGTTACTGATTTCATTATCCTGAGCTTGTTGTGATTGATTCTTACCTTTTAGTTCCTACTATCCTTTAATTGTACTGCATACCTGGAGGTATCCAAGCAAGGGATAACGAAACCTGCGCTATCTTTACAAGAAGAATGACATTGGTTCTACAAATCTTAAGATAATGGCATTCTGTTTTTCTCTGTCAGCCATTATTGATGAAGACCTACTGCGATATGAGAGGGTGAAAAAGAAAGGTTATCTGAAGATTGTGACCAATTTGGGTGAACTGAACATAGAACTTTACTGTCACCAGGTAAGGCTTCAGTTAAGGAATGGTGATGGTAATTTATGCTAAGCTGGATATTTGGTAGATTTCATACCATTTATTATCAACCTAGTCCTATTATCCTTTATATAGAAGAAAGTTCAAATCATCAAATGTATGTCATTCAAAGTACAGAGTTGTAAGTCTGATTGAGTGTCAAGTTAATGTTGGTTATCTAAATTTGCAATTCAAAATTCAGAACATTTTGTAATATTACAGAAAAAAAGACCCAGCGTCAGGTCTTGTAGATTCAGTAATATCGGCAGTCTTCCTAGGATGGGTTCCTAGTGGAATACAGGGGTCTGGTTCAATGATGTTTAAATAGCAAATATAGAGGCCCAGACAACACCCGTAGGAAGAATTAAAACGGTTTGAATAGTTGACATGTTTCGGCAGACTAGTTATGCCATCCTCAGAACTGAGTAACTTCTCAAAATACCAGACTTACCGGTATATACTATTTCTACCTATCAAATATGCATGTTATTTACAGTTGAAGTCATATGATACACAGGTTACAATGATGTAGTCTGTTAGTAACGTCATAATTTACAAACTTGAATTACGCTAGACACTGTAATATTGGTAAAATGTCACTTCATTAAAGTTATTGGTTGTCTTTGTTAGGTGCCAAGGACATGTCACAACTTCCTGAAGCTCTGTGCTAGTGGCTACTACACTGGAACTGTATTCCATCGATCCATACGCAACTTCATTGTGAGTATGGCAAGGTCACGGACAGACCATATACAAAATTCACCATTCATACCTGTATTCTTGTGGTTCAAGAAACTTATCTCTAGCCAAATGGTATATCGCGGCTAGTACTTACAAGGGTTACATTATCTGTACCCAAGTGGTATATTGTAGCCGGTATTAACAAGAGTTATAAATGATATCTATGCATCTGCCATTACAACGACTACTTTTTTCCACATATAAAATGTGATTTGTCCTTAATTTCAGCTTATAACAAATTCTAAAATCACCATTCTTGTTTTTGTATTACAGATACAGGGAGGTGATCCAGAAGGTACTGGACTTGGTAGGTGTTTACGTGTCTGCAGAAAATTTCATTTGTGTATTTACCTATTAGATAAAGAAAACACAAAAAAGGAAGGGAAAGTCTAACAGATAACTAAAAAATTCTTCTGATGGGAACCAAGTATGTTTACCTATCTCTTGTTTAAATGTACTTGGTTTCTGACAGCATCCATAACCTGTATCTCTGTAAATTTGTAAATGTTTAGAAAAATTAATATGTATTTTGATTTCAAGATTTTGACTTTAACACTCTCCTTTATTCGATAATTATTTATCACAAGGTAAAGAATAAGTAAGCATTGATTTCATTGGATGATTCAATTAAGGTCAAGATTTATTAAGCATTGATTTCAATGGATGAGTATTTAAAGTTGGTCTTAGTTTAACAATATTTTTATTCAATATTCAACAATCACATATACATATAATACTTAAGGGATGGGAACACAAGCTTAAAACCTATATCTATTTCATTGGTCTTGATTTCATTAGATGATTTAAGATGTAAATGTCAAGATTTAGTAAAGTTGGTTTTACAGGATGAATATACATGTTTATATAAGATGAATGTGGCCAGCACTTGACCTTAAATAAGTTGCTGTATTACCTAGAACATTAATCAGATGCTTGTCCTGTTACAGGCTATCATCATACAGGTGTTCATCAATGCAAAATTGCCTTGATCTTGATTTTAAAATGTTGCATAATCTAAAACATCACATTTGAAATGATACAGTTTAATATTATGTTTACAACAGGTGGACAATCAATATGGGGGAAGCCATTTGCAGATGAACTGAAGCCCAACTTGAAACACACTGGTCGAGGGGTACTGAGTATGGCTAACAGTGGACCAAATACAAACAAATCACAATTGTAAGTTACTCGTCAAACCACCTCTTTGATACACTTACCTCATTTTAACAAAACTACATGTGTCAACGTCATATTCACCTGTTTCTTTTGATCACGATGATACAATAAAAAGTTGTACCATCACTATCTATTGTAAAGATTGTAAGTTTCAGTTATCAGTGGTACTGTACTTTCACAATGGGTTACCTGACATATATATTTCTACCTGTACTGTACTGTTACCTGACATATATATATGTCTACCTGTACTGTACTATTACCTAACATATATATGTCTACCTGTACTGTACTATTACCTAACATATATATGTCTACCTGTACTGTACTATTACCTAACATATATATGTCTACCTGTACTGTACTGTTACCTGTATAAATTTCCACCTGTAGTATCTTGTTACTTGTCAATGCTTCTACCTGTACTGTACTGTTACTCTTCAGTGTTTCTACCTGTACTGTATATTCCAAGTGTATTTCTACCTGTAGTAAACTTTCATCTGTACACTAAACTGTTACCTGTATAAATTTCCACCTGTAGTATCTTGTTACTTGTCAATTTCCACCTGTACTACACTTTTACATGATTCCATCAGTTTTATTTTAGTTTATTTTTTTTCCTACTACAGATCTAGATGCCCTGTATGTTATGAGCTATCTTTCCCTAGATATCTTCACTAGTTGATACCATTCTATATAACAAGACGTACAACATATATATCTAACATTTTATCTACCAATCATATCTTTATCTTATATTTTTGCTGTAAAAAGTGCAAATTACAATTTTGAATGTCCTACTCCTGATTTTTGAAGCTGTGGTATGAGATTAATTATTATTATTACTTTACTGACTGATTTTTAAATGTGATTTCAGTTTTTTCACATATCGATCGGCAAATCATTTAGATGGAAAGCATGCTGTGTTTGGCAAGTAAGTATTAAAATGAAATTTGATGTTTTGAAAATGAAAAAAAAAATTCAAAATATTTGCAAAAATTTTTCAATTTTGTCTTGCAGTAATAATAGAACTAAATCAGTAATAGAAATGAACTTTTTCAATCTGTGTCTACGTCATTACATTAAGAAGTTAGGTTAAGCTCCGAGTGTCAGAAAACATATCAAGTGAAAATGTAGAGTTTAGATATTTTCATAAAAGTTTATGTATATGTTCACAAACAATACCTCTGGTTTGAATGTGAATGTGTGTTTCTGCTGTGTAGGGTCGGGGCAGGGCTACTATAAACAGAATTTAGGTGTCATCAGACTCAACTTCTTATCCTAAGATCATAAAACTCATATGTTTTTAAATACAAGAAAATTAAAGACAAGATCACATTTACTATGATAAGAAATTTATGTCCTTGCTCCACAAAATTCAAAGATTTTGAAGGAGTTTGTTTAAGACTTCAGGTGAAATGTGGACAAGAAAAATAGTTGAGATGAGTGTAAATTTATCTACATTTGTTCTTTTCAGGGTGGTAGGTGGACTAGATACATTAGATAAAATGGAAAAAGTGGAAACAGACAAGAAAGATCGACCTAAGGTTGGTATTCACTTCTGGTATTGGTGTTATATCACCTTGTTCATCAAATATACAGGTCACTTTATCATAAGCACTGATACCTAGTATACCAGTTCAGGCTGCACCTGACATCACAATAATCATGACGCCAGCACCTGACATCACAATAATCATGATGCCAGCACCTGACGTCACAATAATCATGACGTCATTAATGACACTGACTGTTGCAGGATAAATCACATAAAAACAACACTTCATATACTTTGTATTCCCTGTTTGTCTCATTAGCCAAAATATCGAGGGTTTATATATCTATAAGTGTTATAATCTGAAAGTTAACAGTTGATGGTTTTTGAGTAAAACAGAAAAATATCGATTTTATTGTTTCAGGAGGAAATAAAGATAGAGGAATGTGTCATCTATGTCAACCCATATGACGAGGCAGATGAAATGGTAAAATTCTCATATTGAAAAGTTTTATAATGATCTTTAAATTCACCATACTGTAAAATTAGTTTTTATGTTAATTTATGAAATCTGGTGTAAGATCATTAAATATGTTACCATGGCATTGTGTCTGTTCCCTACAGATACATCTCATTAAACCCATAATATACTGATTCTAAATACACAAGGAGGGCACTGTTTAACAACTGAAAGTATACTAATCATTTTACTGTGTGAATTCAGCTGCAGCAGGAAAGGGACAGTGCGAAGCAGAAAGATGTTGATGAGAAAGAGGAACAAAGAAAAAGAAATCTTCGGGGAAAACCAGTCGTTACTGATAAACCTAGAGCCTTCAAGTCTGGTGTTGGCAAGTACATTAACCCAAGTACATTGTAAGTATACAAAGATACTGTAACTTGTTTCTTCAAGTGAAAAGTCTGAAACATATATGTTATAGTGCAACTTTCAGAACAATTTTCATGTATTTTGTTAGTCGGTACAATAATTTTAAAAATATGATTTCTGTAAGGTTGTATTTAGTAAGTATGGTTTCTGAAGTACACACGGACTGGATATTGTTTATACTGTGTATGGTGTCTAAATTCTAATTTTCTTTGCTAAAGAAGGAAAGTAAATGCCTGAGAAAATACACAAATCAGTCTGGATAAAAGGGTCCACAGAACAAGTATTCTGTACTTGGTGACTAGAATTATTAATTTCTCCTGTAATTATTTAATTAAATTAAATGACTCCTTAAGTGGTTCGTTGTATAGAAATTTCTTCAGAAAAAAAAATGTAAGTGTCACATTTTAGTTAATCATATGTTTAGATGGTAGACAGTGGCCATTTTGGATTTTGATTTTCAAAGTTTGGTAATCATTATTTCAAAAGAACTGCTGAATGGACATTTTGAAATGAACTGGACAAGTGAAATATGAGTCCTTGTCTTACATGTCACATTTAAGTACAATCAAACACCACCAGCTGCCATTTTGTATTTTGATGAATTCAGTTTGTTAGTGCTGTTTCTAATTACAACTGAACAGATTTCAAAACTTTAGCAACATCTTCTAAAATCAGCCACTGTATTGCATGCAACATATAGATTGTGATAAGGTGGCTGCCATTTTGGGTTTGATGGGATTCATTAATTATTAAATTGTCAGTACAATAGATAATAGAGAAGCAAAGGTCAAGGAGGATCAGCCAATGGTTGGCACACAAGATCCTTCTCTTTAGTGTGACAAATAACTGATGTTTTTCAGAAATAAAACCATGGAAAGACTTTCATGAATTTGATCATTTTAATCTCCCTGAATACTAAAATTGACTTGAAACATGCTGATAGTAATATTAGGTATGTTGGAAATTTTTCCTAACCTCATCGAGTACAGATCATTGAATCATATTTTTCTACAACCATATACATATAATATTATTGTATACTACAAAAATATAGCATTCATGATCAACGAGAAGAGGTTAAAGTTTCATGAATTTGATATTAGATAAGGTTTAATAACAATTCCAGGGAATTATGATGAACCAGTTATAAAGATTTGATTTGATTGTTGTAGGAAGAGGCCAGTAGAATCATCAGAACCAGCAGAAAGTGCTAAGAAAAGTAAAGTTACTGGAGTTCAGTTTGGAAACTTCAGTTCCTGGTGAGGCGATTCACCACTGAAAATCTGAAAACCTGAACAATCAAGGAAAATTACCAAAACATTTGGTTCCACAAAAGCCCTGCTCCAAGTGAAAACTGTCACTTCTTGGTGAAGTGTCCGCTGGACTATTTAAGATATACTTTTATGTAGTAAGAGTGGCATCAACAAACTGTCGTGTCTGGAAAAATTACTCCGAAGGAAGTTGACATGAATATAGAATACATAACATAATAACTTGTCAGAGAATTTAGTCTAGAGAACTGTTTTGAATAAATCGTGTCCGCTATTTGAGATGGGAATTGAATGTAAATGATGTAGATAGATGTCCACGATAAAGGTATCTTTAATTGCTATAATGATAAAGATCATGATTGGATGCAAGGGAGATTCACTTAGATAGGATAATATATTATCTTTATGGGGAATGGATTTGATCCTTAAAACACATTAAATAAATTGATATTCTTGAAAAACTTCAACATGGACAGTTTATAATGTGACAGTGTAAAATGTTTTACTGGACATACAACTGTTACAGCCTTGGAAACTCTTTAGAGTTATAGGTAAGGAAGGTCTGTGTCAGCCTTAGTGAGGATTGTTAATGTCTTAATGATGGAAACCACTCCATCGTGATCTGATAACTACAGGGATATGCTCCTCGAGATGTGTGATAGGGGGACTGAGATGCTGTGTGTTATAAGAGGTATGCTTCCTGAGATGTGTGATGGGGGACCGAGATGGTGCGATGGTGCATATTCTGAAGGTGAAAGAAAAATAAACAATCAAAATAAAAACCGAGTTTACTTTTGTAAATTGGATCTGTTGAAATACTCATTGGGTATCCATTATTTTTCCCCTTGAAACATCATGATAAAGAGTAGAAACACAATTGCAGGAAATTCAGAACAGCAATGTGATATAAGTGAGGCATTAAAGCCCACATGACATGCACATATGACAGGAAACACCTTTAATGTGTGTAATGTTTGATATCTAGGACCTTTAATTGTGGTATTTAATTTTCTACCTTCCCAGTGTTAAACTGACTCTTTAGATTAATTTCTCTTACTTAGAAATTGCTCCAGATACAAAATTTTAACAAAGGACAGTAACTGTAATTAAGGGATTGTTGGACCCTAACATTGGTAAAGAACACATTGATTTAGTATGATCAATGTATGTATCATTTCTTGACTGTGGGCAAGGTTATGCTATGAACATGAAAGGACAAAGACAAAGCAGGGACTAAATGCTCCCCTGAAATTTCAAGACTATCTACTACCAATCAAACCCATTATTATTTGTATGTAAAATATGCAAATGATAGGTGCTAAACTTCAAACAATTGATTGTGTGGAACAAAAATATTGCAGTGAAAGGTCACTATTGACCACATAGATACAGAAATGATGAACAACAACTGACTTAAAAACATAATCAAGTGGACCACAAACTAAAGGGTAGTTAGGTATACCTAATTTGTTACAAGAGCCAATTTATGGACAGAATTACTTTATTTGAATGTGAACCTCCAAGTAAAGATGCCAGCCGAGGAACCAAGGCCAAGAGAACTTCTGCAGATTTTCCTGATGTACCCGCAGTACATGATCTTGTAGGAGATTCTGCACCACTGGTAGATATCAATATCCTAAGTGTTGCAATGGGAAACAGCAATTTTGTTTTTGTCTCTTAATGTCACCTCAGTAGAAGATACTGAAGAAAACCTGCAGAGTATGCCTTTTACGAACATGCAGTGGCATACAGCAGACCCTATTCTTGGGTTACCTGTTGTAGTAACTTAGTCCAGTTTGGTGGTGAGATCCAAAGACAATTGATATAGCTATGGGAACAAATTGTGTCCTTCCTTTGGCTGACTTGTTTATTTTCATTAGAAGCTGCATTTGTGGAAGAACTTATCAAAGCAGTTCACAAAGACATTGTCGGTGCCTTCATCTTATTGGTGATGCCTTGTCTTCAAACGAAAATGATTTATTGACCATCCGACATGACCACCAGCATTTTAAAATGAAAGGCAGCTTAAAACAGGGGCGGCTCTCCACGATGTTGTTTCCATTTCTCGACCATGCTATTCCTGCTTCACCAGTGTAAAGTGGGATGCATGTTCAGAAATGGATTCTTTGAAATTGGAAAAAAACAAATTACCACCGGTCTGCCGTCATCTTAAATGTTTCTTGTTTATAATCAAAAACGGTCTGTTCACTTCTACCTCCTAAACTTTCAATAATAACAATAATTACAGAATCCCACAATACAGACTTTCTCTTACCAACTCCTTTTTATATCCTCGTCTCCCATGTAGAATGACCTGGATGAAGAGACTAGGTCTTTACCTTCACCAGAAACTTTCAGAAGAAACTTGACACGCGAATCCCAGAGTATATACCTAATATACTTTTATTTTGGAGATAGAAGGACTAATATATTACACACTAAACTGAGACTTCGATGTGGCCAATTAAATCACGACTTGTTTGAGTTCACGTTACCAATAGACTCCATTGTAGTTGTGGAAATGGTTATGAGAATGCTTATCATTATTTCTTTGAATATTAAAATTGTTACCAGTAGAATGGTCTTATTTGATCAGTTATGAAACTTTAATGATAATATAAATATTAGTATTTTTAGATACGTGCATAATTACATCAAGCCCGGTAACAGAGTTTAGATTTGAAACATGTATAACTAATTGTTACAGTCTAGGTTCGCTGAATGTTGTATTGATCTTATTGTATATAGAGGGCGCTACTTAAGTTATAATAAATTTTGTCCGACCCCTTGTCGTTATTTATTTTAAACACAGGTACTTCAATGTCCTATTTGGTTAGATATTCGATGTCAGGATTTTCATGCAAGATATCAACAGCTGACGATAAACACACAGGACAAGATATCGACAGCTGACGATAAACACACAGGACAAGATATCGACAGCTGACGATAAACACACAGGACAAGATATCGTGAGATGAGGAATATTATAGATAAGTTTTAAGGTCGTGACAATGATGTAAATATTAAGTTTCCTTGTGCGTTATGAAGTTTGAAGCTCATTAGTATGTCTTGTGGTTTCATTGTTGTTGACCTTGATCTCACTAGGAACTTCACATTACTTGGACTGACATACATCATCGATGAAGCAGAGGACGCTTACCCTTCAGGAACATTCCGCCTTAGTTTACTTGTCGATTATGTTGGGTATCCGCGTAATATGTTGTGGTTAAATAAGCCTCGACCTGTCTGTAGACAGGATAGGTCTGGACGTAAACAAACCAGAATGACAAGTTCACAGTTCAATCATCGGGATCAGGTAATGTGGCGAATCTATGTATTATGATTAAACATTGAAATTTTAGCTCCAACCTTTCTTCAACGGCGAAAAATCTACAAATTCGAAGATCTAAATGAAGGCGCCAAGGTCAAGGTCACCGTTACTATTTTTAGGAAAAACTTGTCAGCAGTGGCTTTATTTCTTGAGGTCTTGCGAATTTTTATTTAAAATCACATTCATATTAAGGACTTTATCATCACGGACGAGTTCAAGTTTCAGAGCTAGGGTCAAATTCAAGGTCACCGGTACTACCTTCACAAATGTTCCTATCAGCATTCCAGTGTTTTCATTCCTAAGAGGATTTTGATCAAACTTCACACACATAGCCATCTTTCTGATCGAACACCAGTCGAGGTGGAGCTGCGAGAGGATTTGTATCGTTTATGATGTTTTGTAAATAATCTTCGTCTAAAAGGCGCACGATACTAAAAAACAACTGTGATATATAATTTGTGTTTTAGGAATTTAGTTTCTGTATATTTTAAGGTAACGATGCAGTGATCTTTTCTTTAACATACTCGAACAATCAATATTTCGATCTTGCCACGAGTTCAGTACATGACTCGGAGGTTATTTTTGTTTTTGTTTTTGTTTTTGTTTTTTTTTTTGTATATGTAATAATGTTTAACACTACAACAATGTTTTCTCCGTGGGAGTCTAAAGGTCTTTTCCCCAGACTTTCAAACTTTCAACATGGAATCCAAATGAAGCAGATTTTGTCACGTGGAGCGCTTTACTTATTGTGGTGTAAGCGCTATCTGCATGTGAGAGGAAAATTATCAAACTTTTTAAAATTTGATTCTTTATCACTTTTTTTTCTCCCATCTATATGAAGAGTTTCAACCTCAACCAAACAGTAATTTAATACCAATCAATTCGAGTTACCTCCCTTCCCCTACCCATATACACATACACAACTGTGGCGTGGATAAAATATTCGCCCACAACTGACGTACCAAGGTATATCTGAGATAAATAGGCGGCACGCTTGTCACATCATACTACAACGACACTTGACAATTCACACTCGGTAGACGTAAACATGACCATGCATACCAATCGATAGTTGTACCCCATTTTCAGTACTAGTGAGGACACAGAAGATGGCTGCCTACACGTGTTTATTGTTCGCTACAGTGGTGGACACTGTGACGTCTATATGGGTTTATGTGGCCAGGGATATGCCGCTCTCTATCATAGCCCAGGTGATGTACCTGCCAGGTGCCATGTCACTCGCCTTTGTGGATTACGTCAGCGCCTTTCTATGGCAGATAATAGGCCGTCAATCGGTAGGACGTGATTTTGGGACTTCTAGGTCGATAGTCAGTTGTGATCGTCAGCGTTTTCCATTACGAAGAGAAATTTATCCTCAGAATTTCATTGGTTGCATATCTCATCTTGAATTCGCCCTTTTACCTTTACATGCAAATTTAGATATCTAGATAAATCTATCACGTGTTCCAGCTGAAATATAAATATTAAATATTCGTGAAAACAGTCGGAACTATCAACAGTATTACCATAGTACTGAAATCAACATTTCTCTTAATACTTCGCACTATTTCTTTCAGATCTTACTGTAAAACATATTTTATAATTGTTAATGTGCCGCGCAGATAACTCACCAATAGTCATTGTTACTACGGAAAGCGTTGATAATATTGGATTTAGTGGTGAACCTAAGCGTAAAAAACAAAGAAATAAATACCAATTAGAACTGAGGATAGAGAGAATGTTGAAAAGATGAAATGGGCTGATAAAAGTTATTTAAAGAAGGGTTGAAAACATAAGGGAATGAACGGATTACACGTGTAGTAACAATGTTTTTTCCTGTTTCAGTTCTACACTAGCGTTATCTTCTCCGGGATGGCAATAGTGATGACTTACGTGTTGGTGTACGGATGTGTAGGACTGGGTGTCAGTCTCGGATGGGCAGGTAAAGTATCCATCAAATTAAGGGTAATGTACATACAGTAGGTTATCTGTCAACACCTTCAGTTATCTCCCTTATATAACAGATCGGCAATAAAGTAATATTGTACTTATAAAGCCAATGTCAATATTGATATTTTTTTTTGAAGAATTGAGCTGTATCTACATTAAAAAATGTTTCAATGCTTGTTATTTTACTCACAACAAAATTGTATCTGAAAGAGCAAATTCTTTAGGGTGACGATACAATGAAAGACTGGTACATCCTGTAGGGGAAAAATGTCGTGTTTTCTATAAATGTCAAAATTATAGCATCCGGGAAGTCTGTCAATGTTCTAAACTCCACGTCACACCACCCTTTGCAACGATTGGTCCACTGATTCCAACAGTGTGTCCAATTATCTGACAAGTTTCCGATAGTGCCAGGATATAATGCTTTTTACTGTTAACGATTTCAACCCAATTTGTATTTAGTAATAAAACATATAATTGTAAAAATGCACGACAGATTTCCATAATCAACAATTACCTAAAATCTGTATGAAATAATCCAAACTCTACAATACTATCAAACAAAGCGCTTAAATATTTCAGCACCATTCATACGTCATTTGTCGTTGTAGTTAAGACCAAACCTGCTCCACTACCTGCGCGAAACCCGGTGTCGATCACAGGATTTCTCAGAGCAGCCGGAGAGGAGATTGGGTGGCGCTGTTACCTTCTGCCCTGTCTTATGGCTTATTTCACACCACAGATAGCGCTTCTGATCAGGTAAACCTCCACGGTTCTCCCCACACACCTCATAGGGTGCCTCTCATCAGGTAAACCTCCACGGTTCTCCCCGCACACCTTATAGGGTGTCTCTCATCAGGTAAACCTCCACGGTTCTCCCCGCACACCTCATAGGGTGCCTCTCATCAGGTAAACCTCCATGGTTCTCCCCGCACACCTCATAGGGTGCCTCTCATCAAGTAAACCTCCATGGTTCTCCCCGCACACCTCATAGGGTGTCTCTCATCAGGTAAACCTCCATGGTTCTCCCCGCACACCTCATAGGGTGCCTCTCATCAGGTAAACCTCCATGGTTCTCCCTGCACACATCATAGGTTGCCTCTCATCAGGTAAACCTCCATGGTTCTCCCCGCACACCTCATAGGGTGCCTCTCATCAGGTAAACCTCCATGGTTCTCTCCGCACACATCATAGGGTGCCTCTCATCAAGTAAACCTCCATGGTTCTCCCCGCACACCTCATAGGGTGCCTCTCATCAGGTAAACCTCCATGGTTCTCCCCGCACACCTCATAGGGTGCCTCTCATCAGGTAAACCTCCATGGTTCTCCCCGCACACCTCATAGGGTGCCTCTCATCAGGTAAACCTCCATGGTTCTCCCTGCACACCTCATAGATTGCCTCTCATCAGGTAAACCTCCATGGTTCTCCCCACACACCTCATAGGGTGCCTCTCATCAGGTAAACCTCCATGGTTCTCCCCGCACACCTCATAGGGTGCCTCTCATCAGGTAAACCTCCATGGTTCTCCCCGCATATCTCATAGGGTGCCTCTCATCAGGTAAACCTCCATGGTTCTCCCCGCACACCTCATAGGGTGCCTCTCATCAGGTAAACCTCCATGGTTCTCCCCGCACACCTCATAGATTGCCTCTCATCAGGTAAACCTCCATGGTTCTCCCCGCATATCTCATAGGGTGCCTCTCATCAGGTAAACCTCCATGGTTCTCCCTGTACACCTCGGAAGGTGCCTCTCATCAGGTAAACCTCCATGGTTCTCCCTGCACACCTCATAGGTTGCCTCTCATCAGGTAAACCTCCATGGTTCTCCCCGCACAACTCATAGGGTGCCTCTCATCAGGTAAACCTCCATGGTTCTCCCCGCATATCTCATAGGGTGCCTCTCATCAGGTAAACCTCCATGGTTCTCCCCGCACACCTCATAGGGTGCCTCTCATCAGGTAAACCTCCATGGTTCTCCCCGCACACCTCATAGGGTGCCTCTCATCAGGTAAACCTCCATGGTTCTCCCTGCACACCTCATAGGTTGCCTCTCATCAGGTAAACCTCCATGGTTCTCCCCGCACACCTCATAGGGTGCCTCTCATCAGGTAAACCTCCATGGTTCTCCCCGCACACCTCATAGGGTGCCTCTCATCAGGTAAACCTCCATGGTTCTCCCCGCACACCTCATAGGGTGCCTCTCATCAGGTAAACCTCCATGGTTCTCCCCACACACCTCATAGGGTGCCTCTCATCAGGTAAACCTCCATGGTTCTCCCCGCACACCTCATAGGGTGCCTCTCATCAGGTAAACCTCCATGGTTCTCCCCGCACATCTCATAGGGTGCCTCTCATCAGGTAAACCTCCATGGTTCTCCCTGCACACCTCATAGGTTGCCTCTCATCAGGTAAACCTCCATGGTTCTCCCTGCACACCTCATAGATTGCCTCTCATCAGGTAAACCTCCATGGTTCTCCCCGCACACCTCATAGGGTGCCTCTCATCAGGTAAACCTCCATGGTTCTCCCTGCACACCTCATAGATTGCCTCTCATCAGGTAAACCTCCATGGTTCTCCCCGCACACCTCATAGGGTGTCTCTCATCAGGTAAACCTCCATGGTTCTCCCTGTACACCTCGGAGGGTGCTTCTCATCAGGTAAACCTCCATGGTTCTCCCTGCACACCTCATAGGTTGCCTCTCATCAGGTAAACCTCCATGGTTCTCCCCATAGGGTGCACACCTCATAGGGTGCCTCTCATCAGGTAAACCTCCATGGTTCTCCCCGCACACCTCATAGGTGCCTCTCATCAGGTAAACCTCCAGGGCACACGCGTCTCAACTCTTAGGTTGCCTCTCATCAGGTAAACCTCCATGGTTCTCCCCGCACACCTCATAGGGTGCCTCTCATCAGGTAAACCTCCATGGTTCTCCCCGCACACCTCATAGGGTGCCTCTCATCAGGTAAACCTCCATGGTTCTCCCTGTACACCTCGGAAGGTGCCTCTCATCAGGTAAACCTCCATGGTTCTCCCCGCACACCTCATAGATTGCCTCTCATCAGGTAAACCTCCATGGTTCTCCCTGCACACATCATAGGTTGCCTCTCATCAGGTAAACCTCCATGGTTCTCCCCACACACCTCATACGGTGCCTCTCATCAGGTAAACCTCCATGGTTCTCCCCACACACCTCATAGGGTGCCTCTCATCAGGTAAACCTCCATGGTTCTCCCCACACACCTCATAGGTGCCTCTCATCAGGTAAACCTCCATGGTTCTCCCCTGCACACCTCATAGGTGCCTCTCATCAGGTAAACCTCCATGGTTCTCCCCGCACACCTCATAGATTGCCTCTCATCAGGTAAACCTCCATGGTTCTCCCTGCACACATCATAGGTTGCCTCTCATCAGGTAAACCTCCATGGTTCTCCCTGCACACCTCATAGGTTGCCTCTCATCAGGTAAACCTCCATGGTTCTCCCCGCACAACTCATAGGGTGCCTCTCATCAGGTAAACCTCCATGGTTCTCCCTGCACACCTCATAGGTTGCCTCTCATCAGGTAAACCTCCATGGTTCTCCCCGCACAAATCATAGGGTGCCTCTCATCAGGTAAACCTCCATGGTTCTCCCTGTACACCTCATAGATTGCCTCTCATCAGGTAAACCTCCATGGTTCTCCCCACACACCTCATAGGGTGCCTCTCATCAGGTAAACCTCCATGGTTCTCCCCGCACACCTCATAGATTGCCTCTCATCAGGTAAACCTCCATGGTTCTCCCTGCACACATCATAGGTTGCCTCTCATCAGGTAAACCTCCATGGTTCTCCCTGCACACATCATAGGTTGCCTCTCATCAGGTAAACCTCCATGGTTCTCCCCGCACACCTCATAGGGTGTCTCTCATCAGGTAAACCTCCATGGTTCTCCCCGCACACCTCATAGATTGCCTCTCATCAGGTAAACCTCCATGGTTCTCCCCGCACACCTCATAGGGTGCCTCTCATCAGGTAAACCTCCATGGTTCTCCCTGCACACCTCTCTCTCATCAGGTAAACCTCCACACACCTCATAGGGTGCCTCTCATCAGGTAAACCTCCATGGTTCTCCCCGCACACCTCATAGGGTGTCTCTCATCAGGTAAACCTCCATGGTTCTCCCCGCACACCTCATAGATTGCCTCTCATCAGGTGAACATCCATGGTTCTCCCCGCACACCTCATAGATTGCCTCTCATCAGGTAAACCTCCATGGTTCTCCCCGCACACCTCATAGGGTGCCTCTCATCAGGTAAACCTCTACGGTTCTCCCCGCACACCTCATAGGGCGTCTCTCATCAGGTAAACCCCCATGGTTCTCCCTGTACACCTCGGAGGGTGCCTCTCATCAGGTAAACCTCCATGGTTCTCCCTGCACACATCATAGATTGCCTCTCATCAGGTAAACCTCCATGGTTCTCCCCACACACCTCATAGGGTGCCTCTCATCAGGTAAACCTCCACGGTTCTCCCCGCACACCTCATAAGGTGCCTCTCATCAGGTAAACCTCCATGGTTCTCCCCGCACACCTCATAGGGTGTCTCTCATCAGGTAAACATCCACGGTTCTCCCCGCTCACCTTATAGGGTGCCTCTCATCAGGTAAACCTCCACGGTTCTCCCCGCACACCTTATAGGGTGTCTCTCATCAGGTAAACCTCCATGGTTCTCCCAGTACACCTCATAGGGTGTCTCTCATCAGGTAAACCTCCATGGTTCTCCCCGCACACCTCATAGGGTGCCTCTCATCAGGTAAACCTCCACGGTTCTCCCCGCTCACCTTATAGGGTGCCTCTCATCAGGTAAACCTCCACGGTTCTCCCCGAACACCTTATAGGGTGTCTCTCATCAGGTAAACCTCCATGGTTCTCCCCGCACACCTCATAGATTGCCTCTCATCAGGTAAACCTCAATGGTTCTCCCCACACACCTTATAGGCTGTCTCTCATCAGGTAAACCTCCATGGTTCTCCCCGCACACCTCATAGGATGCCTCTCATTACAGGTCAACTCATTATCAATATGCTCCCTTCACACTTCATTGTCCATAGTAAAGAGATCTTAACAGCAAGCTGGACTCTTTGTTTAATATACTTATAGATAAACTTTCAGTTCTTAAAAATTGTTATATATCATATCATATATAAAGATAATACTTGACCTCTTGATGCTGTTTTTACAGTGGAATTGCTTGGGGATTTTTTCACGTAGCTGTCATGATCTTGCTTACTAAGAAGTTGAAAACGGAACATCCGGTTCGGACGATCGTTGTGCAATGCTTGTCTTGTGTAATATCCGCCTTTCCGCACGGCTGGCTCGCCATTAAGGCTAGGTAAGTGGCAGCAGTAGAGAAGTATTTTTATACATTATAAATTTTAATGGGTTATTCTCGTTGCTTTCTCGTGATTAATCGATTTGTGTATTTTCAGCTATTCCATGTGGCCGAGTACACTGCTGCATTGTTGGTGGAACAGTCTGAACCCCCGGGTCCTCGGGAGTATTTATACCAACACCCCCGGGACCTACTGCGGACCACAGTGGAAGATAAACGGCGAGGGGCTGTCTGGTTGTATTATTATGTTGCCCGTAGCTTTATTCATATGTCTGGAACTTAATCAAGTTGTTTACTGACTTTTGGGAGCTCTTTTTTATTAGCAGTCGCCCTGCCGTTTACCACTAATTTATCCAAAACATTAATATCAAGTTTTTTTTGGTGATATTGTGTTAACTAGAACCATTTACGGAATTCATGACCATATTTATATTAAGCTGTTTTTTGTGTGTTGACGTTCTGATAAATCTAATTATACATCCAGGAAACCATGAAGTGGAAAATTTAATACCTCAAGGGAGTGTGCTGCTTATGTCAGATATATTACCACATGGAGTTTTTACCTGATGGTGTTTGAAAACGTTTTATCATTTTTAAGCATAATATGTAACATTATCCTGGTTTACGTAAGAATGGGAATAGTGTTTTTAGGTCAGTTTACCCAAAAGATCATGATCATGATGACTTAAACTCATCCCGTTTCGTCCGCCGTCTTGCCATAACGAAAAATACGTAAAATTTTAACTGTATGTATTGTTCTACCATACGTAAACTTTCAACCATGTATATATTGTTTTACTATATGTAAACTTTCAACCATGTGTATATTGTTTTACTATATGTAAACTTTCAACCATGTGTATATTGTTTTACGTAAACTTTTCACAGTTTAATATTCCCATTGGTGGAATTGGTATGCACATGTACCATAGACTGAACTGAAAGGTACCAGATACCGTATCATTACTTCATATGATCTGGCGTACATATCCAGTGTACCGTTGCATCGCTACACCTGATCTGGCTCACATATCCAGTGTACCGTATCATCACTTCATCTGATCTGGCCCACATATCCAGTGTACCGTATCATCGCTACACCTGATCTGGCTCACATAACATTACAGTCATAAGTCATAACATCTCCTTTTACTTGGAAAATGTCTGATATATGATCAGTTATTTATCATTTTTGTGTTTTTACAGGTCGTAATTTTATCTACAATATTGCTATTGTACATAATTTTAACACTGAGAGATGGAATAATATCCCTTCAAACTCGGTTGATATCTGGCTGGTTTCATTATAGAATCTATGAACTATTTTTAATAATAGACACTGTTATGTTTGCACATAAAGGTAGCTGTATGTAAACCATCCACAGATGGTCAAAGGGGAGGTAACTTCGATAACTGTATTACATGATTGCCTCCCTTGTTTACCGTTACTCTCATGTGTTAGGAGGAGAATAAAGAAAGATAGTTGAAGAGGTTGGTTGTTTTATGTATTTTCCCTGTCACTAACCAGAGCCTAATTCCCGACAGCACTAAGTAAATTAATTCGAATGATCTTGTTAGTTAGCTGCGAAAAGATTGTACAGAAGACACAGATGAACAGCACCATTCAATACAAATTTATAATTAGAATCAAACACTGAGTTAAGCTGCTTTTATTACGTCCTTCTAGGAATCCTCAGTGATGCTTAGAGTTAAAATTTTTAAGTTTTTGAGACGACTGAAGAAAAACCGAGTGAAAGAAATGCTAAGCTCTAGTTCCGAAGAGAAGCACGTTCAATTTCGAGATTTTTTTCTTTTATAATAACAGAAAAATGTATAGCATATATGTTTTACCTGACAAAGAAATCGTCTGTATTTTTATTACTGGTTCGTTCACGCGGTTGTCTCCCCTATTACACACAGTCGTTAAACATGACGATATTAGATAAAGTAATGTAGATTTATGTATACAATGATAGAATAAATCATGATAAATATATGGTAACATAGATAAGATATTTACATAATTTTAAAGCATGGAGGCAGTGGCGATAAAATCAAGATAATGAGAAAATGAATGATATTCAACGTAAGAATATACATTACGTAATACGGTTCTATAAGCGGAATAAATTAAATCTGTACTAATAGGTAGTTACTTGGTCAATCAATCAATTACATGTAAAACAGACATGTCATTGCATATTGACTTCAATGATTCGGAGATCAAAGAAAACTAATAGCATACAGTACATTATTATTCTTATGATATTAGTGAAACTTACTTCACACCTTTAACTATGGGAAAGTATTGGTAATAAATCATTTGCTACCATCGTTCATTCATTGCATACCTGACTATGAAAGGGGCTGGGTACAGTGGACTGTGATGATAAAGACATTGGTTTGTAAGGAAATGCAAGATAATTGATGAGTTAGAAATTATGGAGTCGATAGTATATACAGCGGAAAGGGCAAACTTTAATGATACATTAATGACAAGTTATAATTTTTTAAAAATTGTACAAGACACACAAATCACTAACACACGAAATACAAATTTAAACCTGGGGTTTTGAATGGTTCTGATGAAATATCACCTATGGTGTGAAACCGGTCAACCGTAAAAATGTAGCAATTAGAATACAGAAACTGCCGAGGTGTGTTGTGATTGTATTTCATTTCTTCCAAGTTTAAACCTAGATATAGTAGTGACAAAAATGAAATAAAGTACATCAAACAGATGTTTAACATTTTTCATATATCTGATTGATTTTGAAAATTCTATAATCAAGAAAAGAATAAAAACAAAAGTTTTTTAGGAAGTTTGTATTCACCATTAGCAGTTTACTTTTGCTCACGAAACGACAAATTTGGACGTGCTTCACTTTGACCCAACAGGAAATCCTCGAATTACTTGTGGGGTGAAAATTCTGCGTGTATGGAACTAGTGTAAGTATTCTTTGCAACGTCTTGAATAATTACGCTAAGAATATGAAATTTCTTTTTCACTTTTGTCAAGCTTCTGAACTGATTATTCTCGCTCGTGTCAATTATCTTGATCTAACTGTTGAACAGACTCTCCATGCAGTCTCTTGACACCACTGGAGCTTAAGTCACCCAATTAAACTGACTACATAGTGTTCAATTTTCCTAATCCTCAGAATATTTTGTTTTGAAATATTTTTTAAGTAAAAAAAAAACACAAAAAAACGCACTCATAAATTACCTTCATAGGAAAGTTATCCTTGTGTACATTATAATGGATAATGACAGATTGATACAAGTATTAAGCCAGGAGTCCCCTGGTACCGAACAATACTCACCCGTACAGATGCAGGTCAGTTATATAGAAATTAGTGAATAGTTAGGGTATTGAGCTTACAAGGCCATTTTTGCACTCTGTGAAGTATTCAGAAAGTCAGTTAATGCATGCTTTCCCATTCCTCGGGACTTATTTCACCCTACTTTCGATCGGTTTTCACAAATCCCTTGTTACCCAAAAGCCGTGCTATAACCTATAAGTTGACGGAAGATTGGTCTTCGGAAAATACAAACCGAAAACGTATCTACCAATGGTTACGTATAGGAGAGGTCGGTGTGCTTTGAACGAAAAAAAAAGTCTTTCGATCACAAAGGCACATTTACCTCCACTCTAGATGTGTTGTACACACGAGACATCCTATAAGTTAAGTATACAACTCTGGTGGAGTTAACAATACACGGGAAAACAAAGAAAAGGTTGCTGCGGTCACGCGTGTCTCGAACGGCGACTGTCATGATATATTTAACAATCATTCCAGCACATCCAAAAACAAAGAGATAATGTCAGAGGGCGCTTTAACACGTATCGGGTTCCTCCTTAGTCGGGGCCAATGAATAGTCGACAGTTATTGAACAGCATTAACTTCTGACGAAGAACAAATAGTTTTTACAACAATAAAGAAAATTACGTGTAAATGAACAGACACAAACGTCTTGATGATGGCAAATATTTGAATTCAAAGCAATGAGATCGTGTGAAAGATATAAGCGTTTCTGAGGACTCCGTTTGAGCATGTATGTAAGATATGTTTTGTTTTAGGTTGTCTATGTTTTTGTGTGGCCACGAACGCGACCCGTCCTGTACGAAATTGGATCGTACATTGCACCAATCACACGCTGCCTATTGTATCTGTCAATTGTATAGTATATGTGACTTATAAATAGATATTTATTGTCCAGTCGAAAGTATAAGCAATCTTGTAAATTGTCTTTTGTGTACAGTTCGAAACATTGTTCTGCGTGTAGCGGTAAAATTTCTTCTCTTTGTGTCTAAAATCGGTTTGGTTTCCGAAAAAAAAGCGCATGCTTTGTAATTATCTGAAATTTCAGTTTCTGAGAGTTGAAAAGAAATACGAAATTCAAAATGGTATTAGCCATTACAAAATGTTTAGCCACAGATTATGAGAATGCGAAACCGGACCACCGTCGTGGGTTGTATTCATGGCGTCGTCCATTCAATGCAGTTTTGTCTCTTGATAAATGAGCGGTGGGGGTAGGGGGTGATAAAAATGATAAATTGACATCTATTAGTGTATTGATACTTCATGGTTATGTTGACTGATGATTTTACCTAACTTTGTACCTGTATAAGTCTGCATGTGTAGCTTATGTTGGCGTGGCATCGCATGTAACTTTATATTAAACTGCAGATAGTACAGATACGACAGCTCCAAACATGTTTGTTCATGCCTGGAAGTCGAATTATATTTATCTACATCGTGAAATATGCGTATGTTTGTGTGTCGGATGATAAATTTTAATATAATGTGTTTTTCTTACCCTTGTAATGAAATATGTGTGCGCATGTATGTGTGTCGGACTATGATTATCAATAACATGTTTTCTTATCATCAAATATCGGAGCTTAAGTAATTTCTCATTTGACGACATCTTTACAAGTAAAGTATGAAAATTGACAAGTTTTTATAAAACCTCATATTAAATGGGAATAAATTTAGTGTACTATATCACATAACTAAGAATATATATATATTGACAGGTTTTAAGGATACCCCTCGGATGTTTGACAAGGAGTAGGACATACTCAATACGAAATTAATTCCAACGTGATATCTTAGACTTCTGTGTTTTTTTATATACTTTGTTAGCTGTGGCTGTACTTATAATCTGAAAGGAGGCGCTTTATATAACGTTTTGAGGAAATTTCGCTTGTGGACTATTTTTTGACGGCGTACTTGACGGCGTAATTTGGTTAATAACGTCAACAATTGCAGCATTTTCTGGTTGCTAAGGTATTTCTATTGAATATAACTCTTGGAGTCTTGTGTAGGCTTCAACTAAATTTTACATGAATTATCATCACAAATTACAGATTTCAAATTATTTTCCATATTGTGACATGATAATCGATTTCAGATTGGCAAAGCCGATTGGAAAACAAGTCTAAGGTATATTACACTGGTGAAAAATACACAAAAACATTTCATATACTGGATAACAAAAGTAATGATTAACAAACTATAATTTTAACGTGAATGGATGTGTGGGCAATTATGATTATCAGGATAAGATATTTTCTGGTCCTTATAATGAATATGAATTGTGTTTGCGTGTCGAATTTCAATTATCCGTATTAATATGTAGTTTTATGTGTTCCTCTTCTGGACATGAGCATTTAGTTAATTTGAAATACAATTTTACATATTTTAAATTTATGAAACACATCAGAATTCTGATCGGTCATACTCTTGTCCAAACTATTCAGTTTTC